CTTGATAGCGAAAGGTACTGGGTTCGAGTCCCAGAGTGAACATCAAATCTGAGATTCAGGTACATTCAGATGATGAGTCTCAAATAGGACGAAACGAGCATCCTAGATTTCACCACTGGTCACCATCCATCATTGCTTATGAAGCTTGTGAATTAAGGCATTATCGAGGCAATACGCACAGTATGCACATATGCCAATAAGAGACCGACCAGTTGCAGTCCAAAAACATCAATGGAAAGATTCAAACAAACAATACTAAGTTGAATTTAATATTCAGATATATTGGTTGTTTGAATCTTCCCAGTGTCCTTTAGGACTGCAGTTGATAAACCTCCTTTTGGTGTATGTGCATACTGTACGGATTGCCTTGATATCACTATCAAGCCACAAGCATTTAAATCAGAATTGGATAGTTGCTAGCGGTAGAATCATGGACACAGGTTTCGTCCTATTTGGGACTTGTTACCTGGACATACCTATATCTCTCAGTTATAGCCCACTCTCGGACTCAAATCGGGTAACGTATGCTTCAAACGTCATATCATTAACCACTTAGCTACTGAGCTATGAATTTAAATTAAAATTCACCTTAATGTGTAAGTTATTGGTTGTCCAGATTCTACAACTAAGTGGATAATGACTTGATATTTGAAAGTAACGGTACTAGGTTTGAGTCCTCAAGTGAACAGTAACTTTAGGATGCAAGTATTTCTAGCTAACAGATAAAAATAGTGTCCTTTATTCCATTATTGATTTCAATTAACAAATATTTTGATTATTAGTGTGTATACGAAATGATAATGAAAATTCAACTTTCTTATCATTTAGTTTTTTGTCTGAATGACATTGCACAAGACATGGTTGGATGAAGAAAACCCTATGTTCCTCCATGAGGGGTAACAAACATAAGTGAATGAGTGAATGACATACTGATCTGATATAATATAATATAACATTGCCGGTCACTATTTCTTAATAGTACTCCATTATTTCTAACCAGAAGTTAGTCATTGATAAGCACATGAGTATTATCAGTAATGAATGATTTGGACTTTTGAGGAGTCCCACATTAGAACGAAAGAATAAATTGTAAAATTTGATAATATATCTGTTTAATAGAATCAACCGTACCTGTATAAATGATAATCAGTCAGTCAATCACAACGTAGAACTTCGTACGTACGAGCATCAGTTCCAGTTGCAATACCACATAAGCACAGAGATGCAGTTGTCGAAGTAGTAAGAGTATAATGATTAATGTGAAAGATTAGGGTCTGAAGATGTTACTGAAGTAGCATAATCCAATGAAATAAATTTGAAAAGAGAAAAAAGAAAGGGACATGAAAAATTCAGAAGATTAGAATTTGGCAGAACACAAACAGTGGATGCACCTTCACCATTGCAAACGATCCTCAGCCATGTCACTCAAGGTCTCGAACCATCGATTGCTATCATCTCATGAATCCCGACCAGGTAGTCTACACCTACCAACATGACTTAGTCCACTTGTCAGTGACTTCATGGATTTGTGCCCCGTTTTGATCTGGCCGCCTCTAGCGTTCGTCCAACCTACTCCTACATTATAAAACATCGCACTGACGATATGGTTAAGTTGTTCAACAAAATATTGATATAGAATATACATTCCTCAAAGTTTAGAAACCGATGAGAGGAAAACGTATCTTTGAACTAACTATGCTTTTAGCACTTGAAAAGATTATCTATACAACCGTAATATTCATAATTGAATCAAACAGTCTTGTTTCGAAATGAAAACTTTAACTAATTATCAATAGTACATACTGTGATGATGAACTCTTCATTATAAAAAAGGCAACGCCAGTGCGTCATAAAAAAAGCGTAAACAGTATTTGAACGGTAACTACACATTAATCTGTGTTTGTTAGTTTACATGCGTTTACGGTGAGACATATATCAGGGCCCCCAAATGCCTTGGTATGGCTGAGAGTGAGGAGAGTCCGCTCTCCCTCTCCAAATGCTCTCACATGGCTACCGCGCATATAACCTCTGTCAGGGAAGTCATACTCACTACCTTCTCGTAGCACCGGTGTTGTATACGAAATTCAGAGGACGAAAAACGAATGTCCGGTGCTTTAACCAGGTTAGTGGACACAGAAAGTCTACCTAGGGGAGTTGGAATATACGAATACGAATATAAATAGTTTAGTTAGTTAACAACTATACAAATAAAAATATACACATAGTATTGGTTCATAAATAGTCTTCAAAAGTTACCATTCATAATTCTCTTCAGGGTATAGCAGAAACGAAAATTTCGTTGAATATTAATGAATACTACACTACTCATTATTGTAAGTCAATATTCCTCGTTATTTATATGATCACAATAAAATTAAATTAATTAGACGGTTTGGACTTTACAGATGACCTAGTCCTCCTATCTCATATACATGAACAAATGCAGACGAAGACAACTAATGTAGCAGTAGCAATAGGCCTCAACATACACAAACGAAAAAGAAAGATTCTCAAATACAACATGGAGAACACCAACCCCATCACACAAGGTGGAGAAACTCTGGAAGATGTAAAAACATTCACGTACCTGGGAAGCATCGTTGATAAACAAGGAAGATCGTATGCAGACGTGAATGCGAGGATTGGCAAAGAAAGGAACGTAGTTCTACAATGGAAGAACATATGAAACTCGAAACAACTGTCAACTACTTTCCACATGGGAGTCTTCAATACGAACATCGGGACAGTCCTACTGTATGGAGCTGAAACGTGGAGAACTGCTACAACCGTCATCAAGAAGGTATAAGTAATTATAAACAGTTGTTTACACAAAATACTCAACATTCACTGATCGATACTATCAGCAACAGCGTTTTATGGGAAAAGACAAACCAACTTCCAGCTGAAGTGGAAATTACGGAAAGATGTTGGAAGTGGATAAGACATAGATTAAAAAAATCAAGAAACTGCATCACAAGGCAATTCCTAACTTGGAATCCTGAAGTGAAACCGAAAAGAGGAAGGCCGAAGAACACATTACGTCGGGAAATAGAATAATATATGAAAAGGATGAATGGTAAACTAAAAGGAACTTGAAAGGATTGCCCAGGACAGAGTTGGATGGAGAATGTTGATAGTTGGCCTATGCTCCTTCACGAGGGTTAACAGACTTAAGTAAGTAGTAAGTAGTAAAATTACTTATCAACCTTATGAAATCATATTGAAACATACAATAACTAAATGTATAATTATATCTTATACATACAAAACAATTTCATTACAATCAAATTAGATTATCAACACTTTGATATAACTAAACGGAATGCCATTTATAATAATAATAATAACAATAGGGTCAACAATGTATGACGATTGTCTATACCCAAATGTCAGTAATCTACTGATTGTACTAAAATCAATATTGTCTATATCATACTATAAAATAGATAAGGAGTCCAAAAGTTAAAATGGTACCCATCGATTGAACAAACAAACGACAACAACAACAACAGTAATTTGTCTTGTTCATATGTCTCTTTCCTTTCTTTCTTTCTTCTCATTAAAATTCATATTCACTATAATGAATGTTAATTAGTCAATGTTAAAACTATTCATGCCTATCTACCTATCTATCTATCTTTCGCTGTCTCTCTGTATATATATACCCTCCAAGTAGATCACCATAAAGCAAGAATTCACTTATTCCTTGAATACCTTCCATTTTAAAATGAAACCTATTCAAACATTTTGGTTTACTATAACTATTATATATCGTATATTAAGTTCCATTAATATACTATTAGCTATGATTATTGGTTATTATTATTTGTATCCAAATCAATCATTTCAATTGATACATTTTATAATCTTATTGAAATATATCCATTTCATTATAATGGTATGTTAATTATTCATTTAGTATTGTTTAGGTTGAATCTTTCTATTGATGTTTTTGGACTGTAACTGGTTAGTCTTTAACTGGCCATACTGTACGTATTACCTAGAGATAGCATTAATTTACAAGCATTATAAGGAAAGATGGATAGTGGCTAGCAGTAGAATCCAGTTTGACGCGTGTTTCGTTTTATTTGGGATTGGTCAACTGGATGTAACTACATCTCAGACTCGTTGATGTTCACTTCGGGACTCGAACCCAATGCCGTTCGCTTCAAATGCCATCGTGTTATCCACTCAGCTACTAAGTCCTGATTGCCACTTACTTGTGAAATGAGGTGAAGTTTAAATTCACTTAGTATTACTTGTTTGAATCTTCCCATTGATGTTTAGAACTGCAACTGATCAATCTCTAATTGGCATATGTGCATACTGTGCGTATTGCTTCGATATTAGCCTTAATTCATAAGTATTATAAGCAAACATGAATACTGGCTAGCAATAAAATCTAGTTTGATGTGTGTTTCATTTTATTTGGGATTGGTCAACTAGATGTAATTACATCTCAGACTCGTTGATGTTCACTCTGGGATTTGAATTCGGTACCTTTTGTTTTAAACACCATCACGTTCAAATGCCATCGTGTTATCCACTCAGCTACTAAGTCCTGATTGCCACTTACTTGTGCAATTAGGTGAAGTTTAAATTCACTTAGTATTACTTGTTTGAATCTTCCTATTGATGTTTAGAACTGCAACTGATCAATCTCTAATTGGCATATGTGCATACTGTGCGTATTGCTTCGATATTAGCCTTAATTCATAAGTATTACAAGCAAAGATGAATAGTGGCTAGCAATAAAATCCAGTTTGACGCGTGTTTCGTTTTATTTGGGACTGGTCAACTGGATGTAACTACATCTCAGACTCGTTGATGTTCACTCTGGTACTCGAACTCGGTACCTTTTGCTTCAAACGCCAGCACGTTATCTACTCGGTCACTGTTTACTATTTCATTGTAGTTTTATTAATGTATCCCCTCCCCCTCCCATTTAAAAAAAAAATATTTTTTTCAATTCCATTTTTCAGTGTTTATTTCAATTATACATGATTATAGCAACAATAATTCAATGGTATAAACACTATACAATACATAGTTGTATGTATACATTTATGTCTACTTATATATTGGTAAGTATTATATATCATCCTCTTTACTTAAACTAAACAAACATTCAATTAGACATCGTTTCATATTTATTGGTTGGTGTATTTCCTTGATTCAAATGCAATAATCAAGAATCCTGAATTGAATAAATTACCATTATATTATATGCATTTAATTGTAAGTTCATTATAATTTGTAAACTTGAATGTATATGCTTTCATTCCTTTCATTTATAAGCATCTATAAATGATTTATAATCAATTAATCACTGGGTAGTAACCAAATGGTATGTATATCAAATCCTACTTATCATTGATTAAATGACCTATCATATGATCAATATTTTAAGTGACTGAACATTGCGTACTTTATTGAAATGTGAGATGATAGTTGGAGATAGTTGATAGGAAACGTTACATGATTCAGGTTTCGTACTATTTAGCATATATTCATAGTTAAAAGTGAGTCAATTGAAGCTAAACCACCATGGAAAACCTGGAAGCACTGCTTGACGGTCTTTTCGTCCTATTATGGGACTCCTCTTTGGCAGTGCTCATCCACGATCCAGCACTTGAGAGATATGTCTGACAGTCGTGTTTTTAATATTAAGCAAACTTATTTATTTATTTAAAAACATAAATAATGGTACAAGGAAGCACCAGATATATATGTGCCACACAAATTTCATTTGATTTGTGTGAGGGCTGTGATACTGTCCGGGTGCCTAAACCGAAGCAGGTGGTTTTCTTAGGGGGCCAAACCCAGAGCCATTGACCTAAAGATCTGATCCACAAGTCAGTGGAGCATCGTGAGGAGATGCATTCCCATGATAGCCGGTGACAAACAATTGGTTCATACGCCATTTGTTCCTTCAGGATACTGGAGCCCATGTGCACCATTGGTGTGGATTTAGGGTTTTTCAACTCCCCTAGGTAGACTTTCCGTGTCCATCAACCTGGTTACAGCGTCGGACATTCGCTTTTCATCCTCTCACTTTCGTAAATAACATCGGTGCCACGAGAAGGCAGTGAGTGGGACGTCCTTGACAGAGGTTATATACGTGTGGTCATGTGAGAGCATTTGGAGAGGGAGAGCGGACTCTCCTCACAATCGCCGTACCAAGGCATTTGGGGGGTATTGCAGAAACGAATGCTTCTTGGAAGATTCGATCGATCAATAGTCAGTACGTCAAAGTCTCTAATCCCGATTTAGATTGTTCAATGTTAACGTCTATGACCATGTAGCTTAGTGTCATGACATCGAATCTGCTCCCTGGCAGATAATATCTAGTCGATGAGTGATCAATAGTACAGGACCTGGATCGTGCTCGGTTTTCAATTGCCTACAAAGGATTCAACTTGTCAGATGAAAACTATGAATAAAATCATTCAATTTACTAGTGAGTACTGTTTCCAAATGTATATAATTACATATATAATTTACAAAACTATTATCGATTTTAGTCACTCATCATCCTGCAAACTATTCTTAGATGTTTTGTTGTCACACACATAAAGTGCAAAAAATCTGAAAATCAATATTTCATGGTGATTGGCATTTGTCAGTAAGGAATATCTGCAATGTTAAGGAAACTGGAATTTCTTGTTGCATTTCAAACGGTGTAAATTGACATCGTCCCCAAATGCCCTGGTACGGCCGACAGTGGGGAGAGTCCGCTCTCTCTCCAAATGCTCTCATATGGCCACGCGTATATGACCTCTGGCAGGGAAATCCCACCCACTGCCTTCTCATGGCGAGGGAGTTGTTAAAAAAATTGAGAGGACGAAGAGCGAATATCCTTCACTTTAACCGGGTTGGTGGACACGGAAAGTCCACCTAGGGAAGTTGGAAAACTCTCGTTCCAAACCAACAGTGCACATAAGCTCCAGTATCCCGAAGGAACAAATGGCGTATGAACCAATTGTTTGTCACCGGCTATCATGGTAATGCATCTCCTCACGATGCTCCACTGCCTTATGGATCAGACCTTTAGGTCAAAGGCTCGGGGTGTGGCCCTATAAGTAAACCACCTTCTTCAGTTTGGGTAGTGTCACAGCCCTCACGCAAATCAAATGAGATTTATGTGGCGCATATATATCTGGTGCTTCTTTGTACCAATATTTATGTGTTTAAATAAATAAAATATCCAGGACGTAACTGACCTCCTGTAGGACTTTGTTCTTTAAAATGCTCAGTCACTGAGTGTTAACCAATCAATTGTGTCTAGTCCTTTAAATATTGAGTGAATTATACAGATTAAGTTGAAAGATGGTCACCTGACTGAGTAACACATTGTCACATCCATCATGATTTGATTTGTTCTGGTGATCAATGTTTCATAGATCAATATTCAATCGATACTACATTGATTAAAGATATTTTCTACATACCTTCATAACTTGATACAATGGAAGCATTGGATGATATAGTCATGTTATGCACATTAACCTACATTTGTACAATATTCAACCTATGACTGAGAATCAGATTACAAAAACAGAACTATTTAGTATAGGTAAAGTGTAGGTAATACACACACACACACACTATGAAACTCAGAATAAAAATCATCAACAATGTTAAAATCTTCCAATTCAATTAATATAAAAAAAGACCTTTATTCAAACGAATACTTTGATGATAAGCTTGAACTGTAGTCCATTCTGAATTCTGGATAATGTTGACATTCTTCTCGGGAACTCCATAGTGTCGAAGAATTTTCCATAATCTTCTCCCTTTCACATTATCAAACGCCTTCCCATAGTTGATGAAGTTGATATATAGTGACAAGTTCCATTCAACTGATTGTTCGATAATGATCCGTAGTGTTTAAAATTAGTCTGTGCACAACCGATCCTTACAGAATCCAGCCTGTTGATCTTGAAGTTGAACGTCTACTGCATCTTTCATCCGGTTCAGCAACACTCTGTTGAGAACGTTTCCTGGTACTGACGGTAGTGTGATGTCTCTGTATTTCTCACATTTGCTCAGATCTCCTTTCTTTGGTATCTTGATGAGGTATCTTTCTCTCTAGTTCGTGGGCACTTGTTCTTCCTCCCAAATCTTCTTTAATAAAAGGTGAAGCATGTTTTCATTTACTGTTATATCTGATTTCAATGCATCAGCTGGCATATTGTCAGGTCCTACTGCTTTCCCATTCTTGATTTTTCTGATGGTCATACTAATTTCATACGTCGTTGGTGAAGTGACAGATATAGGAAGTTCTGTAGGTGCTGAGTTGATGTGCGTTGGATTCAACGGGGCTGGTCTGTTCAACAGTTTCTCGAAGTATTCTACCTATCTATCTTTCTGCTCTGGAATCTTGATAATTATGTTGCCTTCCTTGTCCTTGACTGATCTCTCACGTTTACTATGTTTCCCTACTAGTTTATTCGTTCTATCATATAGCTGTCTCATATTTCCTTGACTAGCAGCCTTTTCCTCCGTCGTTGATTGCTCTTACTCGTATTTCTGATGGTCGACTCTAATGCTCCTCTTCACTTGCTTCTTTGCTTCAGTGTATTCAGCTTGTGCCTTACCTCCGTCTGTTCTTTCTCGGTTTCGTTAATTGCTGTCTTCCTCTTCCTCTTCAATTCTTCAATATCCAACACGGTTTCCATAGAGATCCATTCCTTATTGTAATGATGCTTTTGAATGCCCAGAACATCCTGACACGTCAAAGTTAGTGCTTCTTCCATCCCTCTCCAGTTGTTCTCCTCAGTATTTTCTTCCTGGTTGACTAGATCCTGTCATGCTTGAAACTTGTTGTTGAGAGTTATTTTGAATTGGTTGAGTTTGTCATTATGTGGAAGTGGAGGTTGTATTGAACATTTGTCATGCTGTTTGTCCACTTGTCCAGTGTTTATTTAGCTTCACTTCCATCTTGGCCACAACCAGGTTGTGACCAGGTGGTGACCAGGTGGTGATCTGAAGCTACGTCAGCTCCTCTCCGGGTTCTCACATCTTCCATTATGCTTCTGAATATTTCACTGATGAGAATACGATCAATCTGGTTCTCCGTGGTGTGATTCTGTGAGATCCATGTAGCTTTGTGTATGCATTTGTGTGTGAATATTTTGCCACCTATAATCAGTTTGTTGAATGCACATCGGTTTGCAAATCTCCACCCATTTCCGTTTCTCTCATCCAGTCCATGTCTTCCCATGATATCTTCATATCCAATGTTGTCCATTCCGAATTGGGCGTTTAGACCTCCCATCATGAGGTTATTTCCTGAGCACTTCGCCATGATTGAGTTCAGCCTCTCATAGAACTGATCTTTATTGTTGTCGTTAATATCATTGGTGGATGGATAACAGTGAATGACATTCATCGTGATTCCTTCCTTCTTCGTTTTGAGAAATGCTTTGATGATTGTGAATCCATGAGATTCCCATCCTACAATTGCATTTCATGCAGCAGACAGACAGCATCAGAGCAACTTCCTGAGTGTGTTCAGTATTTTACTCTTCTTGACCGGAGTAGACAGCATCTCTCTCGTATCTAGCCGTTGCTGTTTACAATGAGTTCAATGTGTTCCACTGATTTTGAGTACTGTCAATTTTTATCTCCTCACTTACGTAGCTATTTGGTTGGTCTAACCGGTTTCCACATATTGTCCGGACATTCTGTGTACCTATTTTAGTTGTCGCTCTGTTTGTTAGAAGGGTTATTGGCCTCTTTAATTCCGAAGAATTTTAGTTTTCATCCTAAGGCTTCACAATTCTTTCTTCAACTGAGATTGTAGAATTTGAATCGTTTAATTTGTTTAAACTCGTTCGCATATTTTATCAAATTTTTTTCTATGGAATGGAATTGCCGACCGAATTCCCAAACTTCCTCTTTTTCCCGGGCTTGAGACCGTCAGTATCTCTAGAAGAACTACAAGTGGAGTAAGTGTTACTTCCACACAAAGAAAAACATAATAATAACAGATTTTTACCACACCCATTAGTATAGACACTAATACATGAGAATGTATTATATTGACCGGAATGGTATTGTAGTTGGCAAGAACACAACTGAGGATAATAGGATATATTTAGACAGAACATTACAGAATATCTTAGTGAAATATGAGAACCATATATTAAATACCTTATTTGAAAAATATCGAACAATTCTGTCAACTTGACTTTTCGTACTGCAAAATTTCAATCAATCGTCTCAGACTTCCTCCTTCTCAAATTTCCATACCAACTGCTTTCTGTTTCCATTCTTTTCCCCTCAATCTTCTTGGGCATATGCTTCCAGACATTTAATTCCTGATTAGCGTTATATATTACTTATGTCGATTGATGTAGCACATCACAGTATGTCATTATGTTGTATAAACTTAGTTATTTTGGACTACAATTGATCAATCTCTTGTTGGCAAATCTACATCCTATGTGGACTGCTTCGATAAGTCACAAGCTTTTTAAGAAGATACAAGTAAACAACAACAAGTGAATATAACTTCATCCCACTGCACAAGCCAGTGGCTATTAGGACTCAGTAGCTAAGTGGATAACGCAATGACGTTTGAAGCGAACGGTACTAGGTTCGAGTCCCAGGGTTAATATCAACGAGTCTGAGATGCAGGTAAATCCAGCTGACGACACCCAAATAGGACGAAACACACATCCTAGATTTCCCTGCTAACCATTATCTATCCTTGCTTATGATTGAAATGATTTATTATTAATAATTAATTTACATTTCTAATCCCATTTATTTATTTTTGAAAGAATTCCATGGGTCTAATCATGATAATTACTGATGCAGTATTATGGAAGCCAAAACGTATTCCTTTCATAATTTCATACATTCCTTGTTGTATATTTATGACTATATACATTGTATAGTAAGTCCATTTTATTACATATATATGTTGTGTGTGTGGCTGTGTGGCATTGGAACAATGAACCAGAATCAAGTATACATCATTTCCATAGTTGAAAGCGTGAGTCGATTGAAGCTAGACCACCAGGGAAAACCTGAAAGCACTGGATGGCCGTTTCGTTCTACGGTGGGACTCCTCAATGGCAGTGCTCATCCACAGCCTCGCTCCACGAGATTCGAACCCAGGACCTATCACTCTCGCGCCAGAGCACTTAACCGATAGACAACCGAGCCGGCATCCGAGGGTGTTTATATCTATCTCCAACCAATTCACGAAGTTGAGTAACCGTCCACTAATTGTCATCAGTGAGTTTTTGTCTCACGACAAACGTGGTTTGAAATCCACTGTTCACTGCTTCTCACCAAAACTCCAGGATTTACCGCTCGAAGTCAGTCACTAGTGCTTTCAGGTTTTCCCTAGTGGTCTAGCTTCAATTGATTCAAGCTTTCAACTATGAAAATACTAAATCTCCACAAAAACCTCTTCTGATAATAGATCTTTTTGATGTGTGGGCGAGAATGATAATGATTGGTTGTTTTGCTTAGTCAGCCTTGTAGATAGTCTGACAGATGTCAGATGAGTTATATATTCCTCTATCCTTATTATTATTGATTGATTGTTCCTTGTTGTTGGATTGTGTCGGGTTTTTGTGTTTAAATATATATTTATATTCTAGTCAGGCTAATCACGTATTCTTGATCAGAGTTGTGTGTTGAAGTCCTGTAGAACAGACACTGGGAGGGGATCTAATGTAGATATTCGTCAAAAGTAAATCAACATCCCATTGGCGTAAACAAGGAAAGCGGACCATTATAACAATTTTCAACCTGTTTTTAAAGTTGTACTTAGATGGTTTTTTCAGAAAGGGGTTTTGTGGGTATTTCAGTAATTTTATATAGTTGAAATTATGAGTCAATTGAAGCTAGACCATCAGGGAAAACCTGAAATCACTGGATGGCCATTTGTCCTATTGCGGGATCCTCAGCAGTGAGCACTCACGATCTTGCCTCGCGAGATTCGGACCCAGGACCTATCGGTCTCGCGCACGAGCACTTAACCGATAGACCACTGAGCCAGCCGGCAACCAACGGTGTTAATGTCTAGCTTCAACAAATTCAGTGCTTCCAGGTTTTCCATGGTGGTCTAGATTCAATTGACTCATGATTTCAACTATGTAGAAAAATGATTCTTTTTGTTCTATATTTTATTTTTGGAAGTATCAATTACATTCCGCTTGATAATATCACGATATTCCTTCTTATTACAAATCTATACTATAGATGACAGATGGGTATAGTAAGAAATTGTTAATTATTCATTCGTATTAAACCAACTTTTCAATTATTCCTATTTCAATTGACTCATCAATTCAACTTTATAATTCAAATTTCGTCAGTCGATCACCTTATATTAGTTTATATACTCTGATTCTCTATAAGTGGATTAGTTAAGTTTATGAATGTATATTCATAATAAAATAGTATAAACAAATACAATGACAGATTCAAGGTCAACAAGAATCAATCAACATCTGGGTATACAGGACAAGCTATAAACCACATGTGGAGAAATTCAAACACTTCACTTCTATCTGAAGTTTGTCATTCAGAAGAACGATGAAAGCTTCATCCAGCTCAGAGAACAAACCTCCATCACAGTATAAAAAAGACTTCACCATATTCATTTTAACATTTCTCTATATCTAATGTCCAATTTCTACAACTTCTACTCTATTACTTTTTTCTTCTTCTTTTTCTCTATCCCTAATATTAGCTTAGAGATTATAAATGTTATAAACAACTATACTGAATTACTCGATTCTAATGGACAACCAATTACATGTCGTGTTATATATTATTCATTATTTTGGTTAATAATTACCATATTCAATGCTTCCAGTTGTGGAATAATTCGTTTACTCAACTTAAAAAAATGAACTTACAAATTCTTTATAGTTTTTTTGGAAAGGAAAGGAAGGGGAAGAAGAAATCATTCAACGAATTATCTAATTCTGTAAAGTTAATTATAAAATCAACTTTTATTTATTATTGTTTTTATTTATTTGAATATATAAATATTGGTACAAAGGGGGCACCGAATACATATGAGTCATACAAATCACTAGATTTGTGTATGAGTTGTGATACTGCCCAGATGTCTAGATCAAAGCAAGTGGTATTCTTACGAGACCACACCCCGAGCCTTCGAATTAAAAGTCTGATCCATAAGGCTGTAGAGCAACATAAGAATATGCAGTACCATGATAGCAAGTGACCAAAAACAGATTCATACACTGTTTGTTCTGATAGCATACCCCAACCCATGTACAACATCGGTTTGAAATCAGGGTTTTCCAACTCCCCCAGGCAGACTATCCATGTCCATCAACCCGGTTAAAGCGTCCGACATTCGCTTTGATTTCTCAGACATCTCTGTCGCAAGAAGACAGTGAGTAGTACTTCTGTGGGAGTGGCTGTATACACGTGACCATGTGAGAGCATTTCGAGAAAGAGGGAGAGAGAGTGAAGTCTCCACACTCTTGACCATACGAGAGCATTTGGGGGCTATTTATTATTGTACAATGCTTGTATATTCCATTCTTGTTCAATAGATTGGTTATATACGTAACCAATAATTGATTCATATAGACTTTATTCTTTTTGCACAGAATTTTCATGCTGTTACCAATCGAATTTTGTACATTTGATAGACTGAGAAAGTTTTCTAGTCGAATAACTTTTCACAGTCGAATTCTTGAGTCTATCTAAGCTAGATCACTGTTGAAAAACTGGAAGAACTAGACGGACGTTTCATATTAGTATGGAACTCTTCAGCAATGCGCACTCGTGATCCCTCATGTAGGAATCTGACCAAGGACCCTAGATCTCGCGCGCAAATGTTTGATCTCTAGGCCACTGAGTCAGTATTCATTTATGCTAATGTCCAACTTCAATTAATCTATGATCTTACGCAGCCCTTCATTCATTATCTGAGATGGATAACTGACTCACATTAGACATGGATTGAACTTCACTGGTTACAACTTCTCACTTGAACTCCGACACATCTATCTTGAAGCTAGTCACTAGTGAGCATATGAATATTATCAGAATGGGGAATGGCAGAGATTGTAGTATTTCCAAAGTTCAATTCACGAGTCGATCTAAGCTGGACCACTATTGAAAACCTGGAAGCACTAGATGGTTGTTTCGTCTTAATATGGCTTTCCTCATGACATGGAATGTCCTTTATTGAAAGTTAACCACTGATTCACTTTAAACTCAAAAGTCAGGTTTAAACCTAATTGCTGTGATGTAGAATTGAGTTATTTATTAATTTCTTTGAATGTATTTATCTCATCCACTTCATCCTCGATCTCAATCAGATATCACTTTATAGAACTATGACGAACATCTTACTATTAAAGGTATATGTTCTCTGTATTATCTTCAGCAAAACATGTGAAAGCCTGCTATTCTATCTTTCCAATATACATACCTTTGCACGTATATGCAAATCGATATAGGCAGTCAATGATGACATGTAACATGGAGAAGATCAGAGATGCATCTACGTGTATGATAGTAATGATTTAAGGATTTTATTTAGCTATTTATTTCTCAATATTATACCTTTCATGTACCTATGAAGAGTGTTGCTCTGGTTGTTAGAAGGTGTATCGGCCTCGTGACTTCCGAAAAATTTCGACTTTTACCATGAGGCGTCATAATTATTCTTTCAAATCCCAGGTCAGAGTTAAAATGGTTTGAATTATTTTTTCTGGTTAGCGTTTTTTTTAGCGAGTTAGCTTTTCTACGGTATGGAGTCGCTAACCTCATGCCTAACCCTCATCTTTTACTCGGGCTTGGGACCGGCAGTAACTCCAGGAGAGCTACAGTAGACCTTTCAAGCTACTATATTATTTGGGATTAGGATACACTATTAGAGTGTCCAATGGATTCCTTTTCATTTATTTCTAGAAGTTATTTACAACATAAACTCGAATCATAGCATTCTTACAAACTATTTCAATGGATCTATATTGAGGAAAATAGCTACCGATATTCTGTCTTCTCATGGATATAAGTTCAATACAACTTATCATTCTAGTTCATCAATAATGACGGTTTAACTGTTCATAAATTTTAGCCATCCAACGAAACGATGAAGACAATATTTTGTAAAAACAAATGAAAGACCACTTAAGTTTAATCGGATTCAGCTAATTAGATAAACGGTAGATAGTGAGAAAACAACGCTGATCACATTTGCTTGGTTCATATAACAAGAAAATAAGACCGAACCAATCGGATAAATAATGTTATATAGTTGAAATCATGATTCAATTGAAGCTAGATCACAATGGAAAACCTGAAAGCACTGGATGGCCGTTTCGTCCTATTGTTGAACTCCTTAGCAGTGCGCATCCACGATCCCGTTTCGCGAGACTCGAACCCACGACCTATCAATCTCTCGCGCGAGCACTTAACCACTAGATCACTGAGCCGGCCGGTATCCAACGGTATTGATGTCTAATTTCAACCAATCCACGAAATTGGGCAACCATTCACCGGCTCAGTGGTCTAATGGTTAAGAGTTCGCGCGCGAGACCGATAGTTCCTTGGTTCAAATCTCGAGAGGCGGGATCGTGGATGCGCACTGCCAAGAAGTTCCACGATAGGACGAAACGGCCGTCCACTGTTTCCAGGTTTTCCATGGTCATCATAAAAGAAAACATTTACAAAGACGATTTTTCATGTATTATTATTAGTTCAAGGTAAACATAGGTAGTTTGATTACAAAATTATAAAGTGTTAAAGTACTATACACTGGAAACCATTTTCTTTACTTCTGTTGGTACTATGATACTTCTGTAACAGTACGTCGCCATAATGCAGCCATATATATCCATATAGATAGAACTGGTCCTGGATATGCTTTCACATATACATTTAAAGCAAATTGTACATTTAATGAATCTGAATGTAACATACGTAATGAAGTTAATGATGGTTTTGGGCTAAATACTGATTCTGATATATTATTTAATGTCGTTTTAGAAAACCCCATAATTGAACTTCTTTGTTGTATCAATTGACTACGATCTATAATATCAGGTACTATGAATTCACTACCAATTAATTCATGAATTCCTTTTGATTTTACTCTAGCAATAATTTCATCAGGTTCCATATATGAGAAATTCATTGGGAATCCATAAATCTAAATGTTAAGACATGGTAAAAAAAAGTATTAATCAACACTATGTTCGATTAAATGATATAAAAGATTCATTAGCGTCATTATGAGTGAAATTTTAAGTCTGAGATATAGTGGTACTACTCGATTACCTAAATCGAAGAAGGTATGAAAAAGTTCGAACTCCATGAATACTGGACTACCTTTCTTTCTCAACCGACTTACTTATTTAATTACGCATGTAACTCCCAATGGAGCATAGGCCGCCGACCAGCATTCTTCAACTCATTATGTCCTGGGCCTCCCTTACTAGTTCTATCCACTTTTTGTTCATTATTCTCATGTCTATCTCCATTTCTCGGTGTAACGTGATCTTTGGTCTTCCTCTTCTCCTTTGGCCTTCAGGATTCCATGTGAGGGCTTGTCTTGTGATGCAGTTGAAGGATTTCCTCAATGTGTGTCCTATCCACTTCCAACACTTCTTCCTGAATTCTTCCTCCGCTGGATGGGATCTGGTTCGCTCTATCCCACAGTAGAATGTTGCTAATAGTGTCTGGCCATCGGATCCGGATTATTTTGTGTAGACAACTGTTAATAAACACCTGTATCTTCTGGATGATGTCTTTCGTAGTTCTCCAGGTTTCCGCCCCATACAGTAGAACTGTCTTCGCATTTGTATTTAAAATTCTGACTTTGGTGTTCGTTGACAATTGTTTTGAGTTCCAGATATTCTTCAGTTGTATGTACGCGGCCCTTACTTTTCCGATCCGCGCCTTTACATCTGCATCAGATCCACTGTGTTCATCGATGATGCTGCCCAGATATGTAAAGGTTTTCACATTCTCCAGAGCTTCTCCGTCAAGTGCATGCTGTATTGTATCGGAGTCTTGTCTTTCCCTTTGTTTATATTGAAACCTACTGCTACTGAGGCTACTGCTACACTTATCGTCTTCTCCTGCATTTGTTGTTGCGTGTGTGATAAAAGAGCCAGATCATATGAACAGAAGTGAATGATAATTGATTACTTTACAACACTCATCCTCACTATATTCATAACCAACTGATGTAAGGTTGTAAATATTAACCGGAGTTGAACTTTCGGAACCGTTGTACCTGAAGTTTTTTATATTTTTGTTGTAAAATCAGTTAACACTTGTATTATTGTTTCTTTTGTATTCCCGCTATTGTAAGCCTTTTTGAGATACATAAGCTGATGATATTACATTTTATAACTTTCTTAAGTTATTGTTATTTTTTTACGGACAAATCACATGGTTCACTTCCACCTACAGCGTAGATGTTTCGGCATTCCAGATCATATGATAAAAATGCTCTCCTATAATTGTAAGCTCCACCTTCAAATACCCTCGTACGGTCAAGGGTTTGGAGACTACATTCTCTCTCTCTTGAAATGCACTTACATGGTCACGTGTATACAGCCACACCCACAGAAGTCCTACTGACTGACTTCTCGCAGCAGGGATGTTATTTGAGAAATTGACAGAATGAAAAGCGAATGTCCGACGCTTTGATAGGGTCGGTGAACACGGATGGTCTACCTCGGAGGGTTGGAAAACCCTGTGCTCATACCACAATCTGTTTCTGGCTAACATTAACTACCGGCACAGTCATTGCCGATGTTCCACCTGGCATCCTCTCTCTGCACCCCAAGCCTGGACAAAGATTGATCACATCTCGATTAGCTACTGCTGGGGTGGTCATGCACAAGACATCCACTTATTTTGCAGTACCTATCTGGACTCTGATTATGACCTTGTTTGCGATAATCTTATCCTACTTTTCAGTGGCCAACAAATTCATTGTCCTAAACTGACCGATGGCAGTAAATTAGTTGAAGCTTCTGTAGTAACTAAGTATGAAACCGAGTTACGTTCAGGGCAAGCTACCATCCTACCGAAAAGTATAGATGATTATTGTTTGAAATCGCATGAATCCATGAGAATGCCGAATAAAGTCGCTTGCAGCCTTGCAAAACGTCCTGCTTATAATCACTGGGTTCTCACAGGCTCCTCACAGCTCATCAAAGCCCATCGGTCTATTCCGGGTGACAGCGAGTTTGGCCACAAACGACGACTGTTATGTAACGAAATTGGACAAAGCTTGTTTAAAGACCTAGATGGCTGATAGTCGGAGCGTGTCAATAAGTTGGAAGCAGCAGCTGCATCTGGTAACTGACGGAAGCTCTTTCAACTCATCCGGGTCACTGGCAACAAGAAGTCTGGTGTGAGCGAAGATGACTGGATGCCAATCACCAACATTTATCGACGTCTTGGACAATGGGCAGTGTTTTGAGGAGCAGTTCAACTGGTCGGGTGCCCCGGTAACATCAATCGGACTGTTCCGCCCTCCATAGCCTGTAACAACTGATCCATCAAACAAGTCGGAAGTCAGCAAGGAACTTTAACTCTTGAAGTGCTACAAATCACCAGACCCAGATGATTTACCTCCGACTTTGTTTAAAGATGGCGGTGACTTTCTGGGTAAGTAATTGATTAGGCTGTTTTCAAAGCTCTGGCAATAAGAGAGTGTTCCAACATCATGGAATGAGTCCATAGTTGTTCCTATCTTTAAAAAAGGTTCACGTCATCTCTGCAACAACTGTCGAGGGATAAGTCTACTTCCGATTGCGTCCAAGCTATTGGTTTACGTCATACCTCGTGTACTGTTGAAAAACCGAAAAAGACGGGCTCGCGAGGGCAGGCTGGTTTTCATTCTGTTGGAGGATGTATTAATCACATCTTCGCCCTCCATCAAATTTTAAAACACCGTCATACCTATCGCAGACTAGCAATCGTAGTGCCTGTTGATATCAGGACTGCCCTCCATTCGTTGAATAGGACTGTTCTCTACGATTGTCTATTGAAGATGGGCGTGTCTGAGAAGCTTACTAACATCTTAAAATGCAGTCGATGATATTCTGGAAACAGCTCTGATGGATGTAAGTAATGGCGGTGTGGATCTGTTGTACGAAGATAAACTTCTCAACCTTGAGTATGCGGACGATATTGTCTTGCTGTGCGATAATACCCAAGCCATGTAATCCGCACTTAATCAGTTGGCAATCAGTGTCTATAGGTATGGTATGTGCTTTGCGTCTTCGAAGTGCAAAGTACTTTCACAAGACTGGCAGGATCCTGAGCCTGCAATCACCCTGTTTAATAAGCAAATACAAGTAGTCGAGGAGTTTGTGTATTTGGTTAGCTGCATATATGCTGGTGGTGGCGTGAGTGATGAGTTCAGTTCACGTATAGCGAGAGCTATAGCGAATTATGCAAATCTACGCCATCTTTAGTGCCTTCGTGATGTCAGTGTGATTGTAAAAGGTCAGACCTACAACTCGTGTGTGAAAACAGTTTTGCTATATGTTTGTGAGACCTGGCATCTCCGAGTTGAGGATGTTAGACGACTCAATGTGTTTGATAATCGTTGTCTCTGAAGGATTGCTGACATCCAGTGGCAGTACCATGTTAGTAATTCAGAGTTTCGGCATCGTATGTTCCGGCGCAACGACGATAATTCAGTTAGTGTCATTATCTTGAAACATCGTCTTCGATGGCTTGAATACATCTTACGAATGTCGTCCTGGTGAATTGCACATCGTGCATTATTTGCCGACTCTGGGACTGGTTGGAAAAAGTGGAGAAGTGGTCAGTGTATGACATGGTGTCGTGGTATGAAAGATGAACAGAACTGGCTTCCGTTGATCCTTCACTACTCCCTGATTGGGGTCCTACCACTACTTCTTCACATTCTCAATGTTATTGTGTGGCCCATATGTATTTGATTCCCTATTTGTACGAATGTTTACATATTCAGATAAATAAATAAGTTGCAGGTCCAAACATAACTCAGAAAACTGTTTATTTATTTATTTATTTATTTGAACACATAAACACATAAACTACAAAAGAAACTGGCTACTGTTAAAGAAGTAACTGTTTCGATACCATCAGCATTGACAACTAAATTTGCTGGAGATCAAGCTCCAAGTTTGAGATCGATTTGTGAACAGTGTGAAGGAGTACATATAAGATTTGCAAATAATAATAAAAATACTAAAGGACAATCAAATAAATTAAGCCATATGGAAATAATTGTACTTGGACCAGAAAAAAAAGTTCAACAAGCATGTGCATTGTTAAATCAACTCAACGCAAGAGTATCACAATTATGTGCTGAGGTAAGCTTGACACAGCTAAACAAACACAGAATTATCAATGACCATTTCTCATTAACGAAAAAAATTAACTTATAATAAATATGTATTTTCAAGTAACCAACGGAAGAAGAGAAAATCAAATTAAATATTGGTACAAAGGGGCACCGAATACGTATGCACCACACAAATCTCATTTGATTTGTATGAGGGCTGTGATACTGCCCGGGTGCCCAGACTGAAGCAGGTGGTTTTCTTAATGAGCTACAACCAGAGCCTTTGACCTAAATGTCTGACCCACAAGGCAGTGGAGCATCGTAAGGAGATGCATTCCCATGGTAGCCATTGACCAACGATTGATTGATACCCTATTTGTTCCCTCACGATACTGGAGCCTATGTGCACCGTTGGTTTGGAATCAGGGTTTGCAAACTCACCTAGGTGAACTTTCCATGTCTTTTAACCCGGTCAAAGCGCCAGACATTCGCTTTTCGTCCTCTCAATTTCGTAGACAACACCGTTGCCACGAGAAAGTAGTGAGTAGGGCTTCCCTTGTGGAGGCTATATACGCGTGGCCATGTGAGAGCATTTTGAGAGGGAGAGCGGATTCTCTCCACTCTCGGCCGTACCAGGGCATTCGAGGGCTGTTTTTTACCATCATAACACTAATAGCAATCATAAATTAGATTCTGCGTTTATCGGACTTACATAATATTTGTTGGAAATTCGATCAAGTAATTGATTTAATCCATCATAGTATGCACCATTATTCTTTTCTAAGCTAAAATAGTAAACATATACATTACAGATAGTTCCTTGAACTTCTTTTCACATTTAAAGCAATAAGTCAATTTGATAAATTTCCATAGTGTAATAAGAAGACGCTGATTATCAGAACTCTGTAATGAGATATTAGCGTAATACACTTCAAACAATCAGATCATATCTAATATACTTGTTAAAAACATTTATATAGTTGAAATCATGAGTCAATTGAAGCCAGACCACTATAGAAAACCTGGAAGCATTGGACGGTCGTTTCGTCCTCCTCAGCAGTGCGCATCCACGATAAAAACATTTACATATAAAAATGAATGGTCAACTAGACTGGAAATGAGGGGTAAGAGGAGACAATAATAATAATATCAGAAGTGGGTTTTGTGGATATTTTTAGTAATTTTATACTTTAGATCATGAGTTAATTGAAGCTAGATCACCATGGGAAATCTGGAAGTACTTGACGACCGTTCTGACCTGTTGTTGGGACTCCTCTGCAGTACAGTTACACAACCTAGCCCGCGAGATTCAAACCGAGGACTTATCGGTTTCGCGCTCGAACGCTTAACATCTAGACTACTGAGCCGGCTGGCATACAACGGCGTTAATGTCAACTATAAAATTACTATAAATCTCTACAAAATCCCCTTCTGATATTAATATTATTATTATCATATAATTCTAAGTAGACGAGAAGATGGCTCAATCAAACGATCCATTTTTAGAAAACCGACGTGGATAGACCAATACCTTAGTTATTATAGTTATTGCCCTGTGCAATACAAACGGGGTTTGATATGTCTATTTGACAGGCTTGATCGTATTTTCAGAGGGGTTTTTGTGGAGATTTAGTGTATTTCATAGTTTAAAGCATGAGTCAATTGAAGCTAGACCACCATGGAAAACCTGGAAACACTGGACGGCCGCTCGTCCTATTGTGAGACTCATATTTGTACAAATGACGTTATTGATGATGATGTTAGGTTGTTAACCAAGACATTATTGGGAAATGACTATCCACTTAAACTCATAAATAGATGGAAAGTTCATGGTACAGTGAGACCTACTGTAGCCTTGACAGAAAAAAAAATCCTGTCTACATCACTTCATAATTTAGAGGTGAAAATTAGAACACATATGAGCGAACAATTGTTTTCAATTAGATGGTCATTAGGCTTTACTATAATATACATGAATATCATAGCACATCTAATTGATAGTGATCATAATGTAGATCAATCGAAATCATTTCAAGTGATCTATCGTATACCTTCATCATTTCCTAACGGAGTTCGTTCCCGTCTCTTTCATATAGCATAAGCCATAGGAATTCATACATTTCACCCCAATTTATGTGTACAGAAGAAATTTGTAACCCCCCTATCCCCTCCATGACCCGACATAACAAATGACATCTTTCATTTTGTTATCATATGTTTGTAATTTTCCGCCTCTTTCTGTTTGTATTCTTCACTACCTAATTATTTACATACTACTTATTACGTAATGATGTTATTGTTTTGTGATCACTATTCTATGTCTATTTACCCACATTTGATCCCCTATTTCCTATGTTTAACTATTGTTAAGACATTTGTCATCAAAATTTAATATTTTTACTACTATCAGTACACCTATCTTCCCATTATCAACTTGTACTTTTACCTATTATGCTCGGTGACGTATTCTATTTCATAGTTAGAATCATGAGTCAATTGAAGCTAGGCCATCATGGAGAACCTCGCTCGAGTGCGAGACTGATAGGTCGTGGGTTCAAATCTCGCGAGGCGCCATCGTGGACGCGAACTGTTGTGGAGTCCCACAACAGGACGAAACGGCCATCCGGTGCTTCCAGGTTTTGTTTGGTGGTCTGGCTTCAATCGATCCACGCTTTCAACTATGAAAATACTAAATCTCCACAAAAATCCTTCTGATTAGAAAAATTATTGTTCATTAGATGAGATTTTTTTCTCTGTACGAAATCATTTACTTATACCTGAATATTTGATATACCTTAAAAACGTTTACGGAATAAGTGGGCGATAATCATATTATTATTATTCATCTCAAAGGAATTCTTGATAGCTTCATCCTCTGATCATTCCTATGGAAACAAGGAATTGAAACCGAAAAATTTAAATCAAATTGTGGGTGGCCCTGATAATGGCGCTTACTCATTTTCTTAAAAGTTCCAAATACATGAACAAAGGGGTTGTTATGAGTCCGTTATGGTGCCTTACATAGGACAATGGACTCCATGAAAGTGTGGAAATGGGCCTTAAAACAATAAAAAAATCAAACGTCCCTTTACATGGACAACAGACGTGAATAAGTCCATTAACATTTAGGTTTATTGAATTTTAATTGATTGTTGTTCGCCGTAATGCTCATCATAATCATGAGTGTAATTCCCCGAGGTGCAACAGTAATTATTGGATATGCAGGTTAACGGAGGCTGAATTTGAAATAGTGCGATCACCTGTAATCCTGAGGAAACTGGTGCTGCCTGATGGATTCGATCCCTTGTCACTCAGCTTCACAGTCAGAAACGTTACCACTCAGCTACTCAGACCGCGAACGACCTCCTGTGGGACTGAGATGTAATCATAATTGATTGATCATTGAGTGGTGATCAATGTCATGCGTGTCAAGTCCTTCTGCTGATCGAATGATATCGATCAAGTTGCATGGATCACCACCCAGTGATTAATCAATTGTGATTACATCTCAGTCCTACAGGAGGTCGGTCGCGGCCCGAGTAGCATTCGATATTATGCACTTTGCTAACCAATTTTAGGGAAAGCTTCTGAACGCTAGAAGTTAATAATATGCGCAACATAGTGTTTTCACAGGCCACCTTCCTGGTAAGCAATGTACTCATTTATATTGTAAACATTCAGTGGTTACGTCAAGTAGAATATTGACATCATGTCATTTGGTGAGCTTTGTGATTACCGATTAGATGAAGATAATTGATTGTTGTATTTCTTCTTCACAAAGGCCAATCGAATGAATTTGTCAAGTCGTTTTTTTGGATGTTGTAGTGGTAGTTAAATCACGAAAACTCTGTTAGTCTTCGGCATTGGATTAAATGGACAGATCCAGATAAAGGCTCTCAGTCATACATTAACATCAGATCACGATTGGAGACGCCGTGCAGAACGTCCACTACAAACGCTAACTCGATCCACGATATATTAATGCTCTATTCAAATATCTTCGGACATACTCGCTTCTGTCATTTGACTTCACTAGGTGGGTATGATTCATGAGAGGTGTTACTGGTTAAAGCATTGCCAAACTTTGATAACCTGTGTTATCTTCATTGATGAGCCTAACGTGATCTGGTACACCAACCTATAAAATGTGAGTCTGTTCCTTTTTGAAATTTCATAAATCATTGCTTTATTTCAAATTTTATACACTGTGATATTTTTTCGAGTTTTCGGATATATTTTTTTTCCTCGTTCATTCTCATACTTGATATTTCACTATGACCGAACAGACACCCTAAGAACTTAATCTAAAGACTATGCCCCCACCTACGTTTCAACTAATGCCCTTCTGGCAAGACAACATTGAAGCCTCGTTCTGCTACACAGAAGACGACTTGGCGTTACTGATTCACGCGCACAATTCATCGCGGTTGTAAAGGCATTACCGCGCGATTTCAACAGGTACGTAATATCTAGTATGTTTACTAGTGATGTCTCGGAACCTTACGAAACCTTGAAACGGTCGATTCTAAGACGCGGAGATCTAACCGACCGGCAAAGGTTTGACCAACTCCTCAATAACATTGCAGCTGTAAATAATTTCCCAAAATCATTAGCTCATTAAGTGCTCGACATTGGATGCTGACCACATTGTTTAAGTGGACTTGTTTGATTGAAGGCTTTCGGTCATGCATCCGTACCAGATCACGTTACAACACAGCCTGGGAAACATCTACGATCACTAGCCAGATTAGAGCAACTGCTTTTCGATATATTGGAGACGCATCGAATATATCTTTCCAACCTCTTTGCATCTGACTTCTGATTTCCACTGGTTGGAGAAAGCTTAAAATATAGGTGTTGCTAGTCGCTAAATGTCAAATTAGAATACCAGTCGTATCTTCATTGGTGAGCCTAACGTGATCTGGTACACCAACCTATAAAATGTGAGTCTGTTCCTTTTTGGAATTTCATTATTCATTGTGTTGCTTTATTTGACTTTTATATATTGTGATTTTTTTTTCGAGGTTTCGTATATATTTTAATCATTTATTTCTCGTTCATTATAATACCTGATTTTCCACAATGACGGAACAGTCACATAAGGTTTTTAAGTTACAATCTATTCCCCCACCTTCGATTCAGTTAACGCCTTTTTGGTCTGACAATATCGAATCCAGGTTCTGCTACGCAGAGGCAGACTTTTGCAGGCACGGAATCACGGACTCCCACACGCGATTCATCACGGTGGTTAAGGCGTTACCGCGCGAATTTAACAGGTACGTAACACCTAGTATGTTTACTAGTGATGTTCCCGAACCTTACGAAACTCTCAAATGTTCGATTCTAAAACGTGGAGACCTAACCGACCGACAACGGTTAGACCAACTCCTTAACAATATCGACCTGAAACATGGTTCTGCGACTAACATGTTGCTAAGAATGAGAGAGGTTATCGGCCAACGAACTTTCGATGATGGCCTATTAAGACAACTTTTCTTGTCTAAACTTCCTCAAAAGGTGCAAGCAGTTCTCACCTCGTTTCAAAACAACGCCGTAGACGAACTAGCCACATCTGCCGACCACATCTTAAAAATCACAAAATCTACGATCTCAAAGCCGACCGACACGAATAAGAATTCTTTGACCTCGGCGAACGCTAACTTCTGCTCCGGTGTCGACGAGGTAGCGAACTTTCGTGGTCACATTCGTGACATATAACAGACGGCTGTGTTCTCCGGCTACGGTTGCCGTTAACGCGTCACTCGCCTTGGACTTCAGGTAATTGCAGGTCTTCCTGCAATTTCTAGAGTATTTACCGTACTGGTTGTGATACCAGCACCAGTCGGGGTTGTCTGTCTCTCGCGGTCGAGAGACAGATCGCCTACGTGAAACGCTCCTACGTAGGGATTTTGACCGGCTACGGTCATTACGAAATCGAAGATAGCGTGTCAGTGTATGACATAGTTCGGTAGTCATTCGGGGTCGTTTGAGGTTTTTCTTTGACTGATAAGACCTCAGCATTCGTAGATTTTGGGATTTCTAAGATGTGGTCGGCAGATGTGGCTAGTTCGTCTACGGCGTTGTTTTGAAACGAGGTGAGAACTGCTTGCACCTTTTGAGGAAGTTTAGACAAGAAAAGTTGTCTTAATAGGCCATCATCGAAAGTTCGTTGGCCGATAACCTCTCTCATTCTTAGCAACATGTTAGTCGCAGAACCATGTTTCAGGTCGATATTGTTAAGGAGTTGGTCTAACCGTTGTCGGTCGGTTAGGTCTCCACGTTTTAGAATCGAACATTTGAGAGTTTCGTAAGGTTCGGGAACATCACTAGTAAACATACTAGGTGTTACGTACCTGTTAAATTCGCGCGGTAACGCCTTAACCACCGTGATGAATCGCGTGTGGGAGTCCGTGATTCCGTGCCTGCAAAAGTCTGCCTCTGCGTAGCAGAACCTGGATTCGATATTGTCAGACCAAAAAGGCGTTAACTGAATCGAAGGTGGGGGAATAGATTGTAACTTAAAAACCTTATGTGACTGTTCCGTCATTGTGGAAAATCAGGTATTATAATGAACGAGAAATAAATGATTAAAATATATACGAAACCTCGAAAAAAAAATCACAATATATAAAAGTCAAATAAAGCAACACAATGAATAATGAAATTCCAAAAAGGAACAGACTCACATTTTATAGGTTGGTGTACCAGATCACGTTAGGCTCACCATTGAAGATAACACAGGTATTCGAAGTTTGGCAATGGTTTAACCAGTAACAGCTCTTATGAATCGTATCCACCAAGTGTAATCAAAGTAGAGTTTCTCACCGTATAATGTGTACCGTACGTGACTCTTTTGTAAGTTTCAATGGCATTCTTTAACACTTCAATTTTATGGAATGCTACGGGATACAATGTAATTAAAATACATTATCCGTTTCCGTTAGTATATGAGATACAACGGAGCTGCTACTTTGTACAATGTTGTCGTCCATAATGTGATAAAGTGTGATCAGTCGATATGTCCTGATTTTTTATACCTGTTTGAGGAAGTGATTAACCAATTATGACGAATTTAAAATTAGCCATTTGATTGGATAAAGGGGAATGTAAAACAACTGGAAAATTGGATGAAAAACAATTTTTGAAAAGGGATGAAAACAAATTTCATGGTTGAAATCATGAGTCATTTGATGCTAGACCATCATGAAAAACCTTGAAGCACTGGAAGACCGTTTCGTCCTATAGTGGGACTCCTCAATGGCAGTGTGCATCCACGATTACTAGCCACTATCCATCTTTGCTAATAATGCTTATGAATTAAGGCTATATCGAGGCAATACACACAGTATGCACATATGACCAATAAGAGACCGATCAATTAGTTTTATACATTAATGGGAAGATTTAAGTAAGCAATATCAAGTGAATTTAAACTTCACCCCATTGCACAAGCAAGTGGCTAACAGGACTCAGTAGCTAAGTGGATATGGCAATGGTGTTTGAAGCGAACGGTACTGGTTTCGGGTATCAGAGTGAACCTCAACTCTGGGATCCAGGTACTTTCAGCTGACGAGTCCCAAATGAGGTCGAACTTTCGTCCTGGATTCTATTGCCAGCCACTTCCTATCTTTGCTTATGATCTCATTACATAATTCTGATAATCTTCATATTCCTTTCTATATATATATGCACTACATTTTAATAAATAAATTATTGTAACCAGATATAAAGTATTAACAGTCGAATCGTTCTATCTATTCCCTAATTGTGAGAACGAGCATAGAAATTTCTTTTCAATTATTTCTTTCAACATGGCGGCCACACTAAATGTATGACTTTCAACAGTGAAATGATATTCATCGAGTAGTTGTGTTACTTAATGATGATAGAATACTTGAATTCGCTACATTCATTTGTATTAATCAATCTGACTGCTCTTGTGTAGCTAGTTATATACAGCGAATAATTCGTCCAGTCTGTTATCTCATAGAAGAATGCCATCATTCTTGGCTAAGCAAAAGATAAATAAAAGTAATTAAGGGTTCTATTTTCGCTCATTTGATGGGCACAAGACATCAAATGTGTTATTATATAGGGTAACTGTTCGATGAGTATAGCTTCATTGTCATAAATCATACAAAGGTTTTATTAATATTGAAACACGATGAAAAATTAATTGAAAAGGAATTTCTTGACTTTATTCGTTCTCACCGAAGACAATGGTGGATGTGTCGCACAATTTCGCAGATCAGTTGAAGTCAGACAGTAACATCGTCGGATGCTGGCCAGCTCAGTGGTCTAGAGGTTAAGCGTTCGCGCTCGAAACTGATAAATCCTGGGTTCAAATCTCGTGAGGCGGGGTCGTAGATGCATACTGCTGTGGGGTTTCACAACAGGACGAAACGGCCGTATAATGCTTCTAGGTTTTCTATGGTAGTCCAGCTCCATTTGATATATAGACTAATATTGTATGATTTACTATTCTTAAGATATTCCCAATTTATTAATTACAGTCTCTTACATTCACAGACAGTCTTTGGCCCAATCTTGTATAATTTATAATTTTTATTTATTTTATGGTATGATGTGGTCTGGTTTGTTTGTATATAAACCAAATATGTCTAAGATAGATAATCCATATAGTAGAAGCTGTATTCTAGGTCCAAACAGTCAGGGCTAAGCGAAATTATTAATCAAGAATCAAAGGTGATTTAAGCTCCTCGTACTGGTTAACAAGCCATTGATTTAATGTAGTATCATAGTCATCAAATCGTGTTCCAATTAACGATTTAGTCATGTGATATATTTACAGGTTGTAAGATTATATTATTTAAACACATAAATATTGGTACAAAGAGGCACCAGATATATATGCGCCACACAAATCAAATGAGATTTGTGTGAGGGCTGTGATATTGCCCAGGTACCCAAATTGAACTAGGCGGTTTTCTTCAGGGGCCACACCATGAGCCTTTGACCAAAAAGTCTGATCCATAAGATAGTGGAGCATCGTGAGGAAATGCAGTCACGTGGTAGCCAGTGACCAACGACTGTTTCATACACCATTTGATCCCTTAGGATACTGGAGCCCATGTGCACCACTGGTTTGGAATAAGGGTTTTCCAACTTCCTTATGTGGACATTCCGTGTCCACCAACCCATTTAAAGCTCTGGACATTCGCTTTTCGTTCTCTCAATTTCGTAAACAATAGTAATGCCACGAGAAGGCAGGTCATAAGAATATAACAACCAACCATCGCAAAACAATAATAATCACTTTTACAACTGTTCACCAGTGTATGGATACAATTATATCATCCATTAAACCTTAGATAGTCAATTGTCATAGTAACTATCTAATCATCAAGATCATTAAATAAGTTTCAAATAAGTTTATACAATAATAATAACTTTACTTTTCAAGCATCTTATTAAAGTCTTTCATAAATTCATAATTGAGCCTTGTTATCTAAAGATGGAAAAAAAGAGAATTAGTGTACATTTTTAATTAGCATTAATATTAGTTGTAATATTACAGAAAAACTGGATGACATTAGGAATCTAGTTATGCTCAAGTCTAGGACATTTTAGAAGTGGGTATCTATACCCCCCCCAAAAAAAATTACCGGAATCGAACTTAGAATCTTTAGATTTCACTCTTACATACTTATGCTTATTACCCCTCGTTAAGGAGTATAGGCCGCCCACCAGTATTCTCCATTCAACCATGTCCTAGGCAATCCTTCCCAGTTCTTTACAGTTAGCATTCATCCTTTTCATATCTGCTTCTATTTCCCGGAGTAAAGTGTTGTTTGTTCTTCCTCTTTTCCGCTACCCCTCCGGATTCCAAGTTAGGGATTGCCTCGTGATGCAGTTTGTTGGTTTCCTCAATGTATGTCCGATCCACTTCCAATGTCATTTCCTAGTTTCCGCTTCAGTTGAAAGCTGGTTTGCCCTCTCCCACAGAAGGCTGTTACTGATGATATCCAGCCAGTGAATGTTGAGTATTTTGTGTAGACAACTGTTTATAATTGCTTGTGCGTTCTCGACCATGGATGTAGTAGTTTTCCACGTTTCAGCTCCATATAGTAGGACTGACTATCTTGACGTTCGCATTGAAGATTCTCACTACTAAGTTAGTCGATATTTGTTTTGTGTTCCATATGTTCTTCAATTGTAGGAATACGGTCCTTGTTTTACAATCCTTACCCTTACATCTGCATCAGATCCTCCTTGTTTATCAATGATGCTTCCCAGGTACGTGAATGATTCCACATCTTCCAGAGTTTCTCCATCAAGTGTGATTGGGTTGATGTTCTCCGTGTTGCATTTCAAAATCTTGCTTTTTCTTTTGTGAATGTGGAGGCCTACTGATGAAGAGGCTACTGCTACATTGGTTGTCTTCATCTGTATTTGTTCATGTGTATGAAATAGGAGGGCTAAGTCATGTGCGAAGTCCAAATCGTCTCATTGATCCCGAATTGTCCATTGTATTCTGTGTTTCCCCTCAAATGTCGACGTCTTCATAATCACCAGAAGGAAGAGAAAGGGGGACAGTAGACAGTCTTGCCTGACTCCGGTCCCTACTGGAAACGCATCTGTCAGCTGTCCTTCATGCACGACTTTGCATTGTAGTTCGTCGTGTGAGTTCTGGATAATGTTGAATATCTTCTGAGGAACTCCACAATGTCAAAGAAGTTTTCAAAATGTTCTCCGGTCCACACTGTCAAATGCCTTCTTATAGGCAATGAAATTGGTTTATAGTGACGATTAGATTTCACAGGAAACATTCTAATCATCAGAACACTAAGTTGATATCTGATCGTATAAATTTTCAATTTCAATCACTTGAATATAGAGTGAGATGATCATTGAAAAGGTTTTGTGATGACTGTCTAACGCCTAATATTTATCTATTCCACTAATCACGAAATTCAGCTAGACCTGGATAAACTTTTTATAAATCATGTCACTGATAAGTATACGGTTAGAGGTTTCTTATGAAGAACTGAGGTTACTTTGTTTGATCTCTTGTAAGGTTGAGGGTTCTCAATCACAAGGTGCTCTTTAATAGGAGATTAAAGGAGAATTATTATGAATACAGTGATCTTGAGTGCTGTTAGAGGTATGAGGGCAGTTATCACTTCCCGAATGCCCATATCGTGGAAGAGTTCTTTTAGAGGTATCTGCAAATGAAATAGGGTTAGAAGTGGTCTTAATGACCTGAGTGCATGACCGTAGTGCCCAAGGGACAACCGCTTGAGGTCGGTCACACACGACCTTTTTGTAGGTAATTTTTGTTGGGACCTTACCGCCGATGACGGATATTCGTGGAATAAGGTGAGGTATGCATTTTTAGGTTCGACCTTTTCTAACCCCACCCCTCCTTGTGGGAAGGCAGCATCACTTTTATGCCGGTTGTTTGAAGGAAACACCTTACTGCTGTCACACCTCTGAACAGTCAGCAGTATGACTTCGCCTTCGGACCTTGGGTTTGCTGCTGAATGTCACCTACAAGTTAATTAATTATTTCACAAAAATTAAGTCTTTGGATAGTATATCTAGCTTTCATACACACTATGTAGTTCAAAACTGAATACAGTTAACTGGTTCTAGATAAATGGCTTTCAGTCAAAGACGAATCCGCTTGAAAAATGTATTGAATGATGACACTGTTCAAGCCACATTTTAGCATTTAGTTGACTTTCTTCAAATATAAATCATCCGTGATCTTCGATCAAAATAGGTCTATCTGAAGTTCTTAAAATAATTATGATTATAAAATGAAGCGAGACAGTGAAATGCATGACACGCGTTTCGTCCTATTTGGATCCGAAACTCATACAGGTTGATGTACTTGCATACCAGAGTTAATGCTCTCTATGGGACTTGAACCCAGTAACATCCGTTCCAAACACTATTGCATAATCCACTTAGCTACTGTGTCCAGATTGCCGCATACTTATGCAAAGGGGTGAAGTTTAAATTCGCTTGATATTTGAAACAATTAGTCCCTATGATAAATTTCGATAATGCAAATGAGAAGACGAAGTTTATCAGAATTATGTAATGAGATATTTGCGCAATACATTTCGAACAATCTGGTTGAAGTTAGACATAGACAGCATCGAGTGCCGGCTCAGTGGTCTATCAGTTAAGTGCTTTGGCGCGAAGCTGGTAGGTCCTGGGTTCGAATATCGCGATGAGAGATCGTGTGTGCGCATTGCTGAGGAGTCCCACGCTAGAACGAAACGGCCGCCAAGTTTTCCATGATGGTCTGGTTTCAACTGACTCATGATTTCAACTTTGATCACACTTGTACTTGTTAGGACAATATTATATGAATTATAAAAAGTCAACTAGGCAGGTTAAGGTAAGCCGTAACAAAGAAAGAAAATAAATAAAGTACACTGTAGCTGTAAATAATTCCCCGAAATCAATAGCTCATTAAGTGTTCGACATTGGATGCTGACCACGTTGTTTAAGTGGACTTGTTTAGCTGAAGGCTTTCGGTCATGCATCCGTACCAGATCACGTTTCAACACGGCGTGGGACACAGCTCCTACGTTTCATTAGCCAGCTTATAGAAAAGGTCCTCGATATATTGGTAACGAATCAGATATATCTTTCCTGCCTCTTCTCGTCTGACTTCTGATTTCTATCTGACTGGGAACGATCGAATATAGAAGGTGCTACTGGTAGCTAGTTGTAAAACTAGAATATCCGTTGTATCATCATTGGTGAGACCGACGTGATCTGGTACACCAAGTCAATATACTGTGAGTCTGTTCCATTTTGGAATATTATTATTGTTATTCTTTATTTGAATTTTATATATTGTGATATACTTTTGTTCCAATGATGATGCAACGGATGTTCTAGTTTTACAACTAGCTACCAGTAGCACCTTCTATATTCGATCGTTCCCAGTTAGATAGAAATCAGAAGTCAGACGAGAAGAGGCAGGAAAGATATATCTGATTCGTTACCAATATATCGAGGACCTTTTCTATAAGCTGGCTAATGAAACGTAGGAGCTGTGTCCCACGCCGTGTTGAAACGTGATCTGGTACGGATGCATGACCGAAAGCCTTCAGCTAAACAAGTCCACTTAAACAACGTGGTCAGCATCCAATGTCGAACACTTAATGAGCTATTGATTTCGGGGAATTATTTACAGCTACAACACAAACACAATGTGATGACCACTCTGGATAATAAATCAGCATTACCAGGGTGAGTTAAGGGTAAGAACAAATTGTTTTTGAACACAGAAAGGTGATTTCAATTTCCTTATAGCCAAGGCCTCAATAAACCTTAGTATAAGTCCTTCAAGACCTTTGCACAACACTACAAATGCTGACTTGATGTCAACCTTATGACCAGTTTCAATCAATTGTTTCGCAATGGTGGAAGGAATCTGTTTATCCTATGATGTTATTTGACTACTGGAATTCATGTTTCTGCAGCCATTTAGGTATGTGTTCCGAAACCCTTCATTGCAGATCACGATTGATCCTCCCTATGTACATGTTCCCGCACATGCATGTAAATTGATAGACATAATGAGATGTGATACAATCACTTACGTGCTCTTTGGGTGTTTGGTGAAACATCGATCTTGTCTTTTGAATAATGACAAGTTGAGCTGCATAAAATGTCCTGTTTATGGCTAATTTCAATCTCCGTTTCAACATGAGTCTATTTGAGTCTACCCTAAATGGTAACATAATATAAATTCTCTTTTTAGGTGCCAGAAGCTTCATAGGTATAATCGTATTGCAACCCTTCCAGCGGTTAATGAACTTTAATGAATAACCATTATTCATTAACGTATCAGAGTGGTCATCACATTGTTTTTATGTACTTCATTTATTTTCTTTCTTTGTTACGGCTTACATTAACCTGCCTAGTTGACCTTTAAATTTTCATACAAAAATGTCTTAACAAGTATATTATGTGTGATCAGATTGTTCAAAATGCATTGAGTAATTATCTCATCGTATAATTCTAATAAACTTCGTCTTCTCATTGCCCCCAAATGCCCTGGTACGGCCGTTAGTGGAGAGAGTCCGCTCTCCCTCTCGAAATGTTCTCACACGGCCACGCGTATACAGTCTCTGTCAGGGAAGTCCTACTCACTGACTTCTCGTGGCGCCTGTGTTGCTTACGAAATTGAGAGGACGAAAAGCGAATGTCCGTCGCCTTAACCCGGTTGGTGGACACAGAAAGTCCATCTAGTTGAGTTGGAAAACCCTCATTCCAAACCAGTGGTGTACATGGGCTCCAGTATCCTGAGGGAACAAATGGCGCATGAACCAACCGTTGGTCACTGGCTACCATTGGACTGCATTTCCTTACGATGCTCCACTGCCTTATGGATCAGATCTTTAGGTCAAAGACTCTGGGTGTGGTCCCATATAAAAACCACTTGTTTCGGTCTGGGCACTCGAGTAGTATCCCAGCCCTTACCCAAATCAAATGAGATTTGTGTGGCCCATATATATCTGGTGCCCCTTTGTACCAATATTTATGTGTTTAAATAAATAAATAAAAATTTATGAGTCATATTTCATCTCATTTGAGACTTATTAGATAAATCTATCTACATTCTTAATGTTTATATTTATGCCCATACTCTATCTCAGCCTTTTTTACTATAATCAGCAATACATTATCCTAATTATCAGAAGGGGTTTTTGTGGAGACTTAATATATTTCATAGTTGAAAGCGTGAGTCAATTGAAGCTAGACCACCATGGAAAATCTGGAAACACTGGACGGCCGTTTCGTCCTATCATGGGACTCCTCAGCATTGCGCAGTGCTCTGGCTCAAGACTGGTAGATCCTGGGTTCGAATCACGCGAGTGCGGGTTCGTGGATGCGCACTGCTGAGAAGTTCCATAATAGGACGAAACGGCCGTCCAGTGTTTCCAGGTTTTTCATGGTGGTCTAGCTTCAATTGACTCACGCTTTCAACTATGAAATATATTATTCACTGACCTATTAACCCACACTTGTTCAATAGGCACAATTTGTCCTACAAAACTTGTGATGAAATCGATATATTAAGGTAATCTGCATAAGATGGATCATATAACAATATAGACTGATTGAAATTTAGTCCTGAATTTCAACAATGAAATGAATTAATCCTTTATTAATCATAATTGATGGGTCTCATTTTTCAGGAGTTGCTACATTAAAAAAGTTTGTTCTTAACCACTTTTAATGAAGTATATTTTAAGTATATAGTCAGTCAGTCACAACGTAGAACTTTGTACGTACGTACATCAGTTCGAGTTGCCATGCCACAGTAACATAGAGATGAAGTTGTCGATTCAAATCTCATAGTGGTAGAAGTAGTAAGAGTATCTGCATTAATGTGAAAGATTAGGGTTTGAAGATGTTATTGAAAGAGTATAATCCAGTGAAATAAATTTGGAAAAAGAAAAAGGATAGCGACATGAGGAATTCAGGACATTAAAATTTGGGAGAACACAAAGAGTGGATGCACCTTTGCTACTGAGTATTGACTAATGTTGTATTTGTCTAGTTCTTTAATTTTAAACGAATCATACTGATCAAGTGATAGTATAGCCATTAGTTTAAATGATCTGGCATAAGGTTCACTATTATGAAATGCTAAGTGATTAGCGTTACCAAAGTGAACCTTTAATTTAGGTTTCATAAATGGGAATAGATCAGAACTAAAGGACCAGATAGACATTTAATTGGTCATTACTCAGTAATCAATCAGTTGTAACTATCTCATTTCTACAGGCAGTAATCCGTTGTCAAAGTTACTTAATGGTGATGTCTCAGACTGTGATAAAGATTCAAGTCCTATAGAAAGCAGTTGATTAGTCTCTTGTTGGCACATGTGCATACTGTGCGTATTGTCTCTATATAGCCTTAATTCACAAATATTATAAGCAAATAAGGAAAGTGGCTAGCAGTGAAATCCAGGATGCGCGTTTTGTCTTATTCGGGACTCGTCAGCTGGATGTACCGGCATCTCAGAATTGGTGTTCACTCTGGAACTCAACCTAATACCTTTCGCTTCAAACGCCATCTCGTTATCCACTCATCTACTGGGTTTGAGTCTCGGAGTGAATATTAATTATGAGATGCAGATACATCCAGTTAACGAATCCCATATAGGACGAAACGTGCATCAAACTAGATTGCACTGCTAACCACTATCCATCTTTGCTCATAAAAGGAATTAATTTACATACTGAAACTATACAATAATTACATATTCACATCATTTAAATCATACTTTTGTTTTACGCCAATCCATTAATGCATCTCTCAATATAGTTTCTAATTCAAATTTAATATAATCCACTTCATGTTGTTCTAAATTAATATAAGTCAACTTTTGTGGTTGTATAGTTTGTGATAAATTTGTATAGCCACAACTTTTATTATCATCCTTGGTCAATATTATTTTATCAAAAACAGGTAACCAATGTTTTTTTGAATTTAAATCCCATACTAATTCCCATGGTTCATGTTTCGGTTGAATATTAGCTAAAATCTGTAATTAAATAAACATACAAAAAAGGAATTGAGGATAAAAGTTAAACTGCCATTTCTTTAGAATAGATGGAATGTAGCTGGAACATACTTTCCATTCTGTTTAAAACTTATTATCACAAGGTGGTTTTTGTGAAGATTTCAGTAATTTTATAGTTAAGATCATGAATCAAACGAAAACTCGCGAAAAGTCGTGGCCAGTGGAGCTATTCCATGTCAGGTAGAGACAGGTATCTACTTTAGTACAATGGAAGTTTCATTGTTCATGCATTTTCATACCAGTTGCGTTCTGTTCCTCTTCTTTCCTTATCAATCTTCTGCTGAAATATATTATATACCTAACCATCACCATAAACTACTTATGTAGATATAAGAAACCCACACTACAATGTCATTAAATTTGACTAGTCTTTGTTGGTACATATACATATACAAGATCAGAATTTTCAATATAAATGTCAATACAGTTCCATTGTATGGGGCAGAAACCTGGAGAACAACGAAGATCACCATCCAGAAGTTACAGGTGTTTAATAACATTTGTCTACACAAAATACTTCGGATCCGTTAGCCAAATACTATCAGCAACATTCTACTGTAGGAGAGAACAAACCAGATTCCATCCAATGGATGAAGAAATCAGGAAGAAGTGGTGGAAGTGGATAGGACATATATTGAGGAAATCACCCAAATACATCACAATACAAGCCCTCACATGGAATCCTGGAGGTCAAAGGAGAAGAGGAATATCAAAAAACACATTACTCCGAGAAATGGAGACAGACATGAGAAAAATGAACAAAAGTTGGATAGAATTACAAAGGAAGGCCCAAGACAGCATGGGTTGGAGGATGCTGGTCGGTGGCCTGTGCTCCATTGGGAGTAACAGGCGTAATTAAGTAAGTAAATATGTTCCCAATTCTTCACTACAAAATATAGTGTCCATCCGCTGTCCATTCATAATGTATGTATAAAATGTTTTACTGAATTATGAATCCAAGTAATGAGAACATTCATTTCATGTATAGCATACGCTTTATATCAACTAGCTAGTGTAGCTGTAAATAATTTCCCAAAATCAATAGCTCTTTAAGTGTTGGACATTGGATGTTGACCACACTGTTTTAAGTGGATTTGTTTAACCGAAGGCCTTCGGTCATGCATCCTCACCAGATCACGTTACGACTCAGCGTGGGAAATATCTACGATCACTAGCCAGATTAGAGCAAACGCTTTGCGATATATTGATTACGCATCAAATATATCTTTTCGATCTCTTCGCATCTGAATTCTGATTTCCATTGGTTGGGGAACGCTTCGAATATAGAAGGTGTTACTGGTTGCTAGTTGCCAAACTAGAATACTAGTCGTATCTTCACTAGAAATATGCCTGACCACATACTACAGTCAGCAAATAGTAAGATTACTTAAATTACATTTCTAGGAAACTAAGAAATCAAACTCACATTCTCGCAATTAACTAATCCCCAAACAGAACGTAATGGATTATTCACATCATGAACTGAATAATGTTGACCAGTTACAGGGTTCCATAGACGCCAACTAATAAGATTAGTAATCTGTTTATTTGTTATATAATCTTCAGTCAATATATAAACAGTACGACCTAAGAAATAGAACAGGGAAAGCATAATTTACAGATTTAAAGCTGATTCATTCCAATATTACTGATTCTAGAATGAAAGTAACAGTCTGCTCAAGACCCTACAATTACAAGCTTTATGTTCTTATGAGTGACTTACTTTGAGAAGGTTATTCTCGGAGTGTTAGTGAGAAGTTGTGACCAGTGAAGTTCAATAGTGCCAGGTGTATGATAATGTGGTGATATCACCATTACTATCTTTCATACACACGAACAAATACAGACGAAGACAGCAAATGTAGCAGCAGCCTCTGCATCGATAGGTCTCCACATTCACAAAAGAAAAAGCAAGATTCTCAAATACAACACGGAGAACACCAACCCAATAACACTCGATGGCGAAACTCTGGAGGAGGTGGAAACATTAACATTAACACCGTTGGATGCCGGCTCAGTGGTCTATCGGTTAAGGGCTCTGGCTCGAGACTGGTAGATCTGGGTTCGGATCTCGCGAGTGCGGGCTCGTGGATGCGCACTTCTGAGGTGTCCCATAATAGGACGAAACGGCCGTCAAGCAGTGCTTTCAGGTTTTCCATGGTGGTCTAGCTTCAATTGACTCAAGCTTTCAACTATGATTATTACTAATTCTCGGTTTCTCATCAGCTAGTGTGAATTGAGTGAGGTTAGACATAAGTGCTGTTGGATGCCATTTCAGTGGTCGCAAAACTGAAGGTCCTGGATTCACTTCCTCCTTGATAAATTCATTGTAACAAAGAAAACCCATCAATGTTATACTTCATAGATTACTGAAAATAAGCTCACCTTCAGGAATAGCTTCACCAATACATAAATAAACTGAATTGATTGATTTATGATTAGATTGATTTGCTGACTTATCTTTTGTGAATGTGACATCATTATTATTATTATCTATTGTATTCTGCTTTAATAGATACATAAAATAACATGCTAATAATACGGCATGCTCTTCTTCATCACCACATAACATACTTAGAAATTGCTAAAAAAGAAAATTGTGTTTTGGAAAACAAGGAACGAATTAGAAAAGTACTTCAATTTTTTGGGGAACAAAGGTTGAATAGCAAGTGTTTACCAAAATAAGAATTTTATTGACGTTAGACTACTATAGATAACCTGGAAGTAATGGATGGTTGTTTCGATCCATGGTATGGGACTCCTTAGCAGTGCGCATCGATGATTCCGCTTCATGAGATTCAAATTCAGGACTTATCAGTCTCGTGTACTTTCAAATTCCCTGGTACGACCTAGAGTGGGGAAAGTGCGCTCTACCTCTCGAAATAGTCTGACATGGCTACGCGTATATAGCCTCTGACAGGGAAGTCCTACTCATTGCCTTTCCGTGTCAACGGTAATGTTAACGAAATTGTGAGGACGAAAAGTGGATGTCCGACGCTTTAACCGAGTCGGTTGACACGGCGAGTTCATCTAGGAAAGTTGGAAAACCCTGATTCCAAACCAATGGTGCACATTGGCTCCAGTATCCTGAGGGAACAAGTAGCGTATGAATCAATCTTTGGTCACTAGCTACCATGGGACTGTATCTCCTCACGATGTTCCACTGCCTTGTGGATCAGATCTTTATGTCAAAGGCTCCGGATTTGTATAAATCGATGCAATCAATGCAATCAATGAAATGAATTCACTTCATTCAACAATGCTCACTGCTTTCTCTTTACGAAAGTTAATCGAGGAAACCATTTGAATGGAATCGCTTTTAATTGTGTTGAATAAGGTACTGCACAATCGATACAATGATTCGCTATTTGTAGTCATGAATCGGTTATCTGGTATAACGTGAGACTAATTTGTGTATAGTATACCGATCCACGTGTTATGTATGCCTGAACATCGATTACCACGACGCGCAATGCTGACTAGTATAGGGAATGATTGAGAGAAAGTTATGGGCGGGCAAACCAAAACATGACATCAGTTCATAAAGACACTAACTTCTAGTGTTAGCCATGTTGGAAGATGCAGACCACTTGGTTGGGGTCCTCACTACTATTGTAACCAATGGTTACAGACTCCGTGTGACATGACTCAGAATCGATCACAGTGACGTAGGTATATATGTAGTGAACAGAACACGACTGGGGGACAATCGGATGTATTTGAGCAAAGATTACAGACTATCTCAGTAAATTCTGAGAACCATACAATGTAGAGTCAATTTGCAAATTAACAACCAATAGTCTCGATCTTCATTGTTTCTTCTCTAATTCCATTGTTCGTGCATTTTCCTACCGATTGCGCTTTGTTTCAGTTCTTTCGTCATCGGTCTTCTGCGAAAATACATTCTATGTCTGACCCACACCATATACTACTTATATGGATATAAGTAGACCACACCACACTCGTCCCCGCTTTAAAGCATTCGTTCACGCGGTGGTTCTGCTCGCCACGCCACTATCTTCTTTCACTGCAGTCTGTGCCAAACTCTCCGTCAGAATGTCGAGTCTGCGGCGCGCTGACCTCCATAGCTCCGTCGACCTGCCGGGGCACCAACATCCTCATCCACCCGGCACCTGGGACGTTCAACACCCATACTCCACCGGCCTGCTGAGCCATCTACATCCGATGTCCGCCCAGCAGCCGCACGTCCCACTGCTCCTCTCCGTCGACAGCACCTGCTACAGCCAACGCTGCCCCGCCAGAAAACTCCATTCGACGCCACCTCTCCGCACCAGACTGCCCCAACTAGCACCTCAACTCCAGACCCACAGCGGCGTCCACAGAACAGCACCCTTCCTCCTCCCGGTTGGCAGCGACACCAAATGTAGTGAACAGAACACGACTGGGGGACAATCGGATGTATTTAAGCAAAGATTACAGACTATCTCAGTAAATTCTGAGAACCATACAATGTAGAGTCAATTTGCAAATTAACAACCAATAGTCTCGATCTTCACTGTTTTTTCTCTAATTCCATTGTTCGTGCATTTTCCTACCGATTGCGCTTTGTTTCAGTTCTTTCATCATCGGTCTTCTGCGAAAATACATTCTGTGTCTGACCCACACCATATACTACTTATATGGATATAAGTAGACCACACCACATATACACTCTCTGTCTCCCCTTAGACTACGAGATTAAAATTACTTCGTATCTTCCTTTCTGCTAACCAATTCTTTCTTCCTGTATTATATTTTTATACACAATCTTTCTTTTATATATTACTACCATTGAAGTAGTTACTTCTATGAATTCAGTGTTCATCTTGTTGTGCTAATGAGATATAACAACTTGGATCGATGCATATATGTGCCTGGTCCTACGTTGTAGGTGACTAACTGACTGACTAACCAGTGATGGTAGAATCTTTTGGTTACCAACCTTATTATCACTACTAATACATTATCTGTACAGCATGATGATTGATGCTGTAGAATGTGATATCGTTACCGTTCGTCGAGGAGTATAGGCCGCTCACCAGCATGATATCAGTATTACCCTCAATGAAATGGTTAATTAAATTTAACTTATTCAAATGAATGAGTATTTTATACACAATATCTATTCTTTCTTTTTCATTCTCACAATAATCATTAATATAATTGAAGTATAACTTACGTCACATGTACACCAAACTTGTGCTAAACCAGGAAATGATGCAACATCAGATTCATAAGGAATAAGTGATACATAACGAGCTAAACGTAACTAAAATAATCATGTAAAATGAAATAAAAAAAGGTTATAAAATGAATAAACTTTTCATTTTATCGTTGAAATCAAGAGTTAATTGAAGCTAGACCACCATTGAAAACCTGAAAGCATTATATGGCCGTTTCGACCTAGTGTGGGACTCTTCAGCAGAGCCGGCTGAGTGGTCTAGAGGTAAGCGTTCGCTCGAGAGACCGACAGGTTCTGAGTTCGAATTTCGCGAGGCGCGATCGTGGATGCACACTGCTAAGGAGTCCCATAATATGACGAAACGGTCATTCAGTGCTTCCAGGTTTTCCATGGTGGTTTAGCTCCAATTGACTCATCATTTCAACTATAAAATTACTAAGATCGCCACAAAACCCCCTTCTGATAAACTTCTCATTGTCTTGAACTAATTTACACGAACTAAACAAATGAAGACAACCATAAATATAATACTCAATAATATTTATGACTGATGTATTTGAAACAAATGAAGACTATGTATTATCGAAAGCTGTGTTAAGCTTATATACCTTTTGGCTTCTGGATAGACCAATTTACCCATTCTTCTTAAGTCACGTCTTGACTTTGTTAATTACTCACTTATTGCTATATTTTAAGCGATTACGAATTCACCTAGTCTGCTAACGGAACAAAAACTTGTGACCAAAAACCAATAGGCTGGCTATTCTGATACGTCACAGTCCCGCTAACTAGAGAGAGAAGGCGAAGTTTAAACAGGGAATAAATATAAACCGCTAGCAGCCAGGAGCACAAGCGATACAACAGGCACAAATTAAACGCATATATACAACATAAAACTGTCCTTGGTTAGCCTTACAAAACAGCATACTGTAAATAAATCCCCAGATCAATAGCTCTGTAAGTCTTCGACATTTAATGCTGACCACATTAGTTTTAATGAACTCATTTAGCTGATAGTGCTCGGTTATGCATCCGCATCAGATCACGTTTTGGAACGGCGTGCGCAACATTTCCTCATTTTTGTGTGACTATAAATATCGATTAATGTTTGATTAAATGGAGTTGGCTAACATGCCTTCTCTACCGCGTATCATTTCGCTGCACTCTCTTCTTTTCACTTCGTCTCTCTGATTGTCTATTCAGATCAATGATTTCACAAAATATACATATTCGAAATCCATTCTCGTATTTGCTTTGATTCTAATTTCGTTATTCATCAACGCGAATTAAGTCGATGAAAAATACAGGGATAGACGACGTGTATATATATTTCGACAGTAATAATTCAATAACAATCGATCATGCGATCTAACTGGAGTCACAAAAGTGGTAAGCTAAACATGATTTGGACCGCTTAGTATATCAAATTTTGAAAGAGCGTCCTTAATACATGAAATACATAAATCTGGTATCGACAAAAAAAACTATAGATATGTGATGAATGAGCTCGTATGAAAGTAGTCAAGGTTCATAAGTGAAGAATTAACAAGGTCAAAATATGACTCAATAAGAATGGGTAGATTGGCCTATACAGAAGCTACAGTAAGGTATATGGGATTAACATAGCATCCGACACTATACTATGATAGTTACCAACTATTGAATCTCAGTGAACATAGAATGTTGTACTAATCATTTTAGTACTTAAATTTATATGAATTTTTAGGGTCTACACTATTGTAGAATTCCGTATTTTAAAAAGGGAATAGTTGTATATCATAACTACTTTGTCAACAGTTCTACGAATAATGTTGTAGGATGTAGGGCCAGTGAAATGTCACTGAACCCTAGCCAAATCATTCGGCAATTGGGTCACTAAATATCGAACAGATCATCGATCCCGTCAAGGTCAAGGACAATCAATGCACATCAGTTAATCATACGCCATGGACTGGACCACACGGCAGTGGTTTTACTTTCGCTTGTATCTACTTTAACTAATATATTTCTGTAATAACGTCCTTTTTGTTGTACAGTCTTCAGAGCATCCATGGTCCTTTGATGCGTCGATTGTGCAATCCACGTAAAGTGCTGATCGCGAAGTGTGACTTCAAAGTTAGCTTGTTCATTACACCGTTCACGTCTAACTCGATTAAGCCTCCAATCATTTGACATAGATCATCAACGTTGATGGTCTACAAGTAGTTTAAAAAGGTGATTTCGTTGATTCTAAGAAATACAGTATAATGCCAATTGAACTGCAAACCAATTTTTCCCTGTAGAAACAGGAAATGTAATGATGCAATGGTTATACATCTGTTAAATATAACTGTATGTGAATTTTCTGGCACTTTATAGTTATGTAGTGTTGGTGAGAAGTTAGTTAATCAACAGCAACACAGAAGTTGAGACGAATATGTATAGCACCAAATTACCACATCTTATATCAAAATCGAAACAAAGCGAAGTCATTCCCAACCTCACTGATGAACCAGGTAATGTATTTTCATCATTCAAGATAACTGGAACATGTATTAAGTCTAAATGACCACCACTTACCTCGATAGGTAAGGTTAGCTGGTGTAGATGCAGTTTAAAAGATTGACAGAGACGGATCAGACCTAGACTTGGAATCTTCTGATGAAGATATTGATTATTGATTTGGGTCACAATAGTAGAAACAGGATAACTGAGTGAGATTTATTACATTATCTTAACAAATGAGAAGCAATGTTAGATGACATGACCTAGAATTGGTTATAATTGATCAGAAGCATCCACTCTGTCTTCTCCTAGATTTTGTAATTTTAGAACATCTCAAACCTTTTGTCTGCGAATCATGTTGTTTATGTTTAATATTCTCTACCATCAACGATACTGTTACTACTACAACATCGATATTTGCCTTCTCGCAACAGGGGTTTAGTTTACGAAATTGAGAGGACGAAAAGCGAATGTCCAGGGCTTTAACCGGGTTAGTGGACACAGAAAGTCCACCTAGGGGAGTTGGAAAACCCTGATTCCAAACCAATGGTGTAAATGGGCTCCAGTATCCTGAGAGAACAAATAGCATATGAACCAGTTGTTCGTCACAGACTACCATTGGACTATATCTCCTTACGATGCTCCACTCCCTTATGGATCAGACCTTTAGGTGAAAGGCTCCGGATGTGGACTCTTAAGAAAACCACCTTCTTCAGTTTGGGAACCTGGACAGTATCACAGCCCCCACACAAATCTCATTTGATTTGTGTGGCGCATCTATATCTGGTGTCACCTCGTACCAATATTTGTGTTTAAATAAACAATAAAAAAATCTTTCAGAATCTTGTACAAACAGGTCAAATATAGTGGCAACGTCAATAGTTGTCTCTTCTAAATGTGACATGTAGTTCTCTAATTATCCCGATGTTTCTAAGAAGCCTCTGTTCAATGGTTATGGAATAAAACATTTTCAATCGTTTTCTCGGCCTCTAGAAACTTGGTTAAGGGATATGTATGGACTGCCGATAAGAAGTATTGGAAGTTGGTATACATGATAGTTAGGTGTGTGGAACATACGTATAAGTCACTTCAGTCTTATAAATTGACTTGTCATTCTTTACCGGATACCTTATTTCAAACTTTAAAATTACTCAATTGGATTTTTTGTATCTTAGAAAGGCGATACAATATGTCAACTAGCTAAGCAACTAATACTTCGGATACTTTCAAATATATAACCCATTTTTGTAGAAGTATTATAGAGTAAGCAAAGATGGATAGTGGCTAGCAGTGGTGGGAGCCCGATTAGGGATCGTCGCAGGCTTCAACACGCCGGAGGGCAATGGCGAGCCTCTACCTGGGGCCAGGGCATTCGTGATCACTCTAGTCTCGGCGCCAAGTATTTGTGAATTTAGGCTATATCGAAGCAATACACACAGTATGAACATATGCCAATAAGAGACTGACCAGTTGCAGACCTAATCATCAATGGGAAGATTCAAACAAAAAATAAAAAGTTGAAATCATTGGGTTAATTGGAGCTAGACCGCCATCGGAAACCTGGGAGCACTGGACGGCCGTTTCGTCCCATTATGGGACTCCTAAGCAGTGCGCATCCACGAGCCCGCTCTCGCGATAATCGAACCCAGGACCTATCAGTCTCGAGCCGAAGCCCTTAACCAATAGACCACTGAGCTGGTATCCAACGGTGTTAATGTCTAACTTCAACTGGTCTAGCTTCATTTGACTCATGATTTCAACTTTGAAAAATACTGAAATCTCCACAAATCCCCTTCTAAACAATAATAAGTTGAATTTATTACTGAGTAGTTTCTTCTACACTACCATAGTATAAGTATCTGAGTAGTATCCCGGTGTAACATCACATTCACGTTTAAGTAATCAATAGCACTAATCTTACATAGAGACAAAAATATAATGAACCCCTTTTTTTCATACTTACCATAGATTCTGATATATTGAAACCAGTCTTTGATTTCGGTAGAAATTCCTCTGGAGGATTAAGTGGAGTCAGGAAACGTGTCATTAATATTTCTTGACAATCTGAATTCATTACTAATGGTTTAAATTGTCTTTCAGTCATAAATTTATGCTTTGATAATTTCTTATACCATTTCGATAGAGTTGCTTGCACTTCAAGCGATTCAATTGAGACAAACTGAAATGGTTCATATAAGATTATGGTTTACATCATAACAGTATGTTATATTTGACTATGTATATGTTGAATATCAGTTAAGAAAGAGAGACATTCATTCTTACAACTGATTGATGTGATGTATGTCAGTTATTTCTAAGTGCTTAGCGAGTTCTATCTATCAAGTTGCATTTTGATTACTAGTGGAACTGACTGGACACCACATGTACTATATTGGGATATAAAGTAGTTGTTGTAGGTAGTTCAGAGAAAACCCTGCATAATAAAGATTTCGTGATATTTGGCACACCTTAGTATAGTGTATTTGTGATATTGAGGGTTTTCTGTCGACTAGCTTCAGCCCTCAACTTACAGCTCACTATTATGCACATAACGTTAAGTGAATTAGACCAGTATCCACAATGAAACTTGATTGATTGAATTCAATCAACACTTAGAATGGCTTAATATATATGACATTGATACCTACTCAGTAATCACTCAATTGTAAGTGCATCTCAAGCTTACAGGAGGTCATTCACGTCCCGAATAACTAAGTGTTAACATTTTGAACTACGAAGCTGGGTGACACCAGGATGAAGTCATCAGGGGGCATCAGTTCTCTTAAGACAACAGGTACACATTCTTGATGAATGTCAAACAGCACAATACACGGGTAGTGTGGCGTTTTCTACATAGATTTACTCTAAAAGCTGTTTTTATAAAGTTTACAAACTCAAACATGTCAGCTTAGACAGAGATCTTAAATAGCAGCTCACTCAATCTGCGATTTCATGATTCTAACTCAGACTTATTAGGAATCAACGAAAGCTAACCTTCAAAAGACCGTTGAATAATGTACTACTACTATAAGTCACAGTTAAAAGGGTTATTTGGATCTAATTGACGAGTGATTGATCATTGAATATTGATTTCATAAATATTTTTTTAACTATTGAGATCATATTCAACCGCCAATAGAACGAAACGGCCATCCAGTGCTTCCAGGTTTTCCATAGTGGTCTAGCTTCAATTGACTAATGATCTCAACTATTAAAATTATTATAATATCCACAAAACCCTCATCTGGTATTAATTAAATTATGATTACTAGTGACTGGCTTCAACAGGTATTTCCTGGAGTTCTAGTGAGAAGTAGTGACCAGTGGAGTTCAACCACGTCTGTTGTGAGATAGTAACTCACTGAAGATTATGGTGAATGTGTCACTCAATTTCATAGATCGGTTGAAGTTAGACATGGACACCGTTGGATGGCGGTCAACTCAGTGTTCTAGAGATTAAGCACTCGCGCGCGAGACTGATAGGTCCTGAGTTCGAAACTCGTGAGGCGGGATCGTGAATGTGCACTGCCAAGGAGGAGTCTCACAATAGAACGAAACGGCCGTCCAGTGCTTCCAGGTTTTCCACGATGGTCTAACTTCAATTGACTCATGATCTCAACTATTAAAATTATAAAATAATGATTCAATCATATTGAATACTTACTGTATCAATTAAAGGAGTTGGTGGGAAAATTGATGGTTCTAATGTCATTAAAATATCAATCATCGGTCTAATTGATGATTTGACAGGATTTACTGTTTCATATCCTTGTAAAATTAATGGAATTGATAAATTGATTTTACCACTAATCTACAAAGAAGATTTTTAAAAATAAAAATTGATTAAGAATGATGGTGATGTTGATGACGATTTGGATGATGTTGATGATGATAAGGATGATCAAGATGAGTTATATCGGAATCTAAGACCTTAATTTACCAACAACTTTGTAACTGAGTTTATCAAGCAGTTTTTCAACAATAAACAATTGTGGAGTATCCAAAATTTTCGGGTATTTTTCTCGTTCATGTAGTGAATGAGTAATGTAAATAAGTGTGGAGAAGATTTGTAGCTCAAGTGGACGATTTTGTTCTCTGACCTCGACGGTTTGGTCGTGGAGCTTTCATTGTTGTTCTAAACGACTTCAGCAGAACAAACTTTGTGTAGGAATGAAGTGTTCGAATATCTTCACATGTGGTCCACACCTTGTCATGCACACTTCAATGTTGATTAGTTCATGCAGACTTTTTATCTGTCTGTTTAAATAGGTAAAAAGTGACAGATTTAGGTTCGACAAGAACCAATCAACATCGAGGTGTACAGGACAAGCTGTCAACCATATGTGGAGAAATTCTAACACTTCACTTCTACCCGAATTTTGTTCTGCTGATGTCGTTCAGAAGAACAATCAAAGCTTCACGACCAAACCATCCAGCTCAGAGAACAAAACTCCATCAAAGCCATATAAATGTGTAATTTCCACTGATTGTTTCATTTGAAACTCTTAGTTTTACAATATTTGAGATTTATACGAGGCATTTCGGGATGGAAAACCTTCCCAGTTCTTTCCAGTTGTTATTCATCCTTTTCATATCTGCTTCTATTTTTCGGCGTAATGTGTCCTTTGTCCTTCCACTTTTCCGCTTCCTCTCAGGATTCCAAGTTAGGGCTTGCCTTGTGATGCAGTTTGGTGTTTTCCTTAATGTATGTCCTATCCACTTTCAACGTCTTTTCCTAATTTCGTCTTCATCTGGAAGCTGCTCCGTTCTCTCCCGTAAAACACTGTTGCTGATAGTATCCGGCCAGTTAATGTTGACCTTCTTGACGATGGTTGTTATAGTTCTCCATGTTTCAGCTCCGTCTAGTAGGACTGTCTTGACATTCGTATTGAAGATTCTCACCTTGATTTCAGTCAACAGTTGTCTTGAGTTCCATATTTTCTTCAATTGTTAGAATACTGTCCTTGCTTTACCAATTCTCGCATTGATATCGGCATCAGATCCTCCTTGTTTGTCAATGAACCTTCCCAGGTTTGTGAATGTGTCTACATCTACCAGAGTTTCTCCATCTAGTGTGACTGGATCAGTGCCCTCCGTGTTGTATTTGAGAATCTTGCTTTTACCTTTGTGTATGTTGAGGCCTATTGATGCAAAGGCTGCTGCTACATTAGTTGTCTTCGTCTGTATTTGTTCATGTGTATGAGATAGGAGGGCTAGATCATCTGCAAAGTCCAAGTCGTCTAATTGATTCTGAGGTGTCCCTTGTATTCCGTGCTTCCCTTCAGATGTTGAGATCTTCATAATCCAGTTAATCACCAGAAGGAAAAAGAATGGGGAGAGTAGACAGAGTGAACAACAACTCTGAGATGCAGGTACATCCAGATGACGAGTCTCGGATAGGACGAAACGCGCGTCCTGGATTCCAGTGCTAGCCATTATCCATCTTGCTTTTTATTGCTTTCATATGCTTATTTTTCTTTTTGACGAATCTGATTCTTACTTTAAAGACTAAGGATATTCACCAATTCATCTTTAAAAGACTAAAATATGGCTAGGTCAAGGGCAAAATACATCATTCAAACCATATGAATATAGAATTCCACTGCTAGCCACTATTCATCTCTGCTAACCATGCTTGTGAATTAAGGTATATCGAAGCAATACGCACAGTATGCACATATGCCAATTAGAGACTGACCAATTGCAGTCCTAACAAATCGATGGGAAGATTCAAACAAACAATACCAAGTTGAATTTAAACTTCACCCTATCGCACAAGCAAATGGTTATCAGGATTCAGTGGCCGAGTGGATAACGCGATGGCGTTTGGAGCGAGGGTACTGGGTTCGAGTCCCAGAGTGAACATCAACTCTGAGATGCAGGTACATCTAGCTGACGAGTCCCAAATAGGACGAAACGCGCGTCCTGGATTCCACTGCTAGCCACTATCCATCTCTGCTAACCATATGAATTTAAGATTGTGAAACCAAATAGAATCAGATTGTTAATGTTGATATGACTCATATAGAAAGTAAACTTGAGACTTTTAAGATCTATGATCCTAATAAATATGGGTCAAATAGGATAACAGAGATAATAGTACAATTACAATTCGATCAAATGGTTAGTGGAAGACTATATTGTGTAATGAAAATCATTAGTAAGACATAATAAGATGGGTTGAATAATAAGTAAATGAATCATGTATTGAGGAGATTAATAATGACATTTACCCGATAGTAATAACACTAATGATAATACAAAGGTCATGAATAAAGATAACAGAGACAATTACATTTGACTACGAAAGGTCATAAGTACGATAGTCAAACTAGGTCATTTAGTAGCTAAGATAACTATTGATTAATTGGCCTTGTGGTTGGCCAAGGGAGGAAGAACAGTTGATAATATTTTTTTGCACGCATAGCTCCCTTTTCTTCATTCGGATCGTTACTGCTTCAGCCATTTGGAGGATTTTCAGTTTGACAAGCTTTGACAAAGTATTACTGGTCCTATAAATAATTGAAAAGGATTGATTTATATTGGCATAACGACCAGTTTGTACTAAATGAGCCAATATTGAGCTGTTAGCTTTCTTCACCAACCTTTGCTTAGCCACTCTGGGAGGTGTTCGTGACCACGAAAATGTAAATTCCTAGAACTTTGACCAATATAACTTGCTCCACAGGAGAAGTTGAACTGATAAATACAAAATGAGGTGGTCATTCTAGGTAATTCATCTTTTAACCTCTGTGTCACTAATGAGCACGTAGAAAACACTAATTATAGCTCTCCGGCGTTGATGGATTTTAGTATTGTCCTTTGTAATCTCTGGGTTAATATTTCACCACTTGCATCCCCTTTGAAAATTAGTTACAAGAACAGGGATTTCTTCTTGACCGTTTGTATTTCGCCTATTCTCACCTTCGTAATCATACATTTAATTATAAACTATCTAGGGTAACCATTCTCCCTAAGAGGTGTTTAGCTCATCTTCAACTATATCCGCAGAACGTATAGTGCGTATTCAGTAACTAAGGGTTTTGATCCGGTTTCGTTAGTACTTTGTGTGATCCACATATCATCTTTAGAAATTTAAAAATTTAAAACACTCCTTAAATCAAGACCACGTAGATAACTTGATATTCTCCTTAATATTTGAGGGTCATTTGCATTACCACCTTATATTGAATTTATTTGTTTTATTTGAACAGATAAATATTGGTACAAAGGGGGCACCAGATATATATGAGCCATACAAGTCAATTGGTTATTTGTGTGGGCTGTAATAATGCCCAGAAACCCAAACCGAAGCAAGTGGTTTTATTAGGGGGCCACAAATGGCGCCGTAGACCTAAGTGTCTGATTTACAAGACAGTGGAGCATTATTAGGAGATGCAGTTCAATGGTAGCCAGTGACCAAAAATAGGTTCATACCCCATTTGTTCCCTCTGCATACTGGAGCCCATGTGCACCATCAGTTTGGAATCAGGATTTTCCAACTTCCCTAGATGAACCCTCCGTATCCACCAACCTGATCAAAGCGTCGGACATTCGCTTTCTGTCCTTTCAACCTATCGCTGGAAGGCAGTTGAGACAGTTGAGAGACACAAATCGATAGTGGAATCAGATTAACAAAAAGAAATCTATGTAAACTAGTATAGAATCATATATACATTCCAATAAAAACATATACGTACCTTAGTATTTAAATAAACAGTTGACAATGGTATTTCAGTTGAACCAATTAAACGATGTTCTATATGTTGTATATAATGGGATGATTCATTTTGCGTTGAATCTGTCTGACTGAAAGTTACTTGATCATATACATTAATAATAATAGGATCTTTCATATTTTCTAATTTTGGATTTTCCGGTGATAAACTATTGAATGTAATATGTAAAAGTAATAGAAACATTTTAAACTATCTGATAAAGGGTATAAACAACTGAGTTTTAAGTTAAAGTATAATGTACTGATGATCAGTTAGAACTTAGATAGCAACTACTGGGTTTACGTGAGAAGTTGGAAACATAAGATAGTTTTATACTTGAACTAATGAGTCAATTGAAACTAGACCATCATGGGAAACCTGGAAGCACTGGACAACCGTTTCGTCCTATTGTGGGACTCCTCGTTGGCAGTGCACATCCACGATCATGCCTCGCGAGATTCGAACTCAGGACCTATCAGTATCGCGCGCGAGCACTTAACCGAAATATCAACTCACTGAAGACATTGGTGAGTAGTTGCTCAATTTCGTGAATTCCAATTATCTGTTTAAGAAGTATTGTACTCTAGTTATACATGAACTCTATAGAGACTGTAGATACGTTATGAAGTGAGATTTGTATTGTATTTCATAAAGTTTCATTATAAAAGTACAATCAGGAAAGTACAATCAGCAATAAACAAACATATTGAAATCAATCCAATCTATCAACCAATCAAGAAAATTATGCAGGAAGATAGGAACAAAAATCAAACCAACAGGAGATACAACCAAAACAAAGAAATAAACAATGACAGATTTAAGGTCAATAAGAACCAATCAACATCGAGGTGTACAGCACAAGCTGTGAATCACATGTGGAGAAATTCAAACACTTCACTTCTACCCGAAGTTTGTGCTGATGATGTCGTTCAGAAGGACGATGAAAGCTCCACGACCAAACCACCCAGCTCAGAGAACAAACCAACATCAAAATCACCCACCTGAGCTACAAATCTTCTCCACCATCTCAAAAGTACAATATAAATAATCTTATGTTTTAATTCACTGATTTTGATCTGTTATTTGATCATATGTGATAGACGCTGCAATGCAAAGTTAATTAACATACTATCTTTCCTAATAGCTCAATTATCTGAATCGTAATATCTAAGACTATGAAAATGAATGACTTAGATTGGATTCTGAGATAATGGAGAAGATTTGTAGCTCAAGTGGATAATTTTGATGGAGTTTTATTCGCTGAGCTTGATATTTTGGTTGTAAAGTTTTCATCGTTTTTTTGAACGACATCACCAGTACAAACTTCAGGTAGAAGTGAAGTGTTTGAATTTCTCCATATGTGGTTCACAACTTGTCCTGTACACCTCGATGTTAATTAGTTCTTGTTGACCATAAATCTGTCATTGGTTACTTCTTTGTTTTGGTTGCATCTCCGACTGGTTTGGTTTTGTTCCTATGTTTGTGTATAATTTTCCTGATAATTTCGTAAATTGAATTGATTTTAATGTGTTTGGTTATTGCTGATTGACCTGAGTGCCAAGCTTCTAAAAAAATTCTGTGGTATTTTTGGAAATGCCTCTATCCAAAATCTCAACATTTTTCTAGTAGAATGTTTGTCCGCAGTTGTTCACGCGCATTAATATAAGTGAAGACATGCCATAGCGTTTGATTGCTAATTGATGTTCATGAAGGCGAAGATGAAGAGGGTGTCCGATTGGTCCGATGTAGTGTTTGTCGCAGTTGGGACAATTTATTTTGTAGATAATGTTTAATTTGTCATCTTTTGTCATTTCATCCTTTGCTTTGCAAAAGATTGAATGGAGGGATTTTTTTGGTTTGTGAACAACATCTATTCCGAAGGTTTTCAGCAGTTTCGTTGTCATTTCCGATGTACCTTTTATGTATGGTAAAGTGATCCTTCTCTTAATTTCTATACTTGACTTCGTTTTTGATGATGATTGCGGGTGGTATTTTTTTATAATGAAATTGATTGGATAGCCGTCATTTTGAAGAATGGTTTTCAAGTATTTTTCTACATTTTTCCGTGCTGTAATTGTGTTACAGATTGGATTCTCACAAAAAGCATCATTTCATTTAAAACTAATAGGTAACGTTTTCTGGTGTGTACTAACTCTCATAGTATGTAGGTTCAACATGAGTTTCAGTCGAACAACTCTTTTACTAGGAAACGTAACTGATGTGTGGGCGATAATGGCAATGATTGGTTGTTTTACTTAGTCAGCCTTGTAGATAGTTTGACAGATGTCAGATGAGTTATATATATTCCCTTATCCTTATTATTAGTAGTATTGATTGATTGTTCCTTGTAATTGGATTGTGTCGAATTTCGGGTGTGTGGAATTATATTGACGTTCTTTTCAGGCTAATCTCCTGTTCTTATTCTGAATTGTGTTGAAGTCCTGTAGAATAGACACTTGGACGGAATCTAGTGTACATATTCGTCTAAGGTAAATTAACGTCCCACATACGTGTAAAAAGTAAAAAGGACTGTTATAACAAGAAACCCTAGCGTTCCAACTACTATCCTACCTTTATAACAGTAACAATAACAATCATAATACTAAACTTACTAGAAAGGAAATCGTAATTCAGCATTCCAACTAGGATTTCTACCTTCTGATGTAATAGTTGATCGTTTATTTTGTTGAAATTTAATGACAGCAAATGGTTTCAAAAGCTAATAGAAAGAAAAAAAAAATCATATCAAACCAATCATTTTCCATTATTAATTGATAATTCTTTTAATTGAATGCTAGATTCGGTTTCCTAAGCTCTTCTAGTAACCCCGCAGTCTAAATCTACATAGCATCTGAAACACGAGAGAAATATGGAAGAAACACTTTACCACAAGGTTCATTTATGTGGAGAAAATCTAGGGTGACCTTCGGTTTCCGGTGATTTCTGGAACGTTACTAAATATAGCAGCAGTATAGGTAATCATCCAATCAGAAATGCGATATATAACTTTTCACTTTCTAGGTGTATCTGGGATAACTTCTATTGAATGCTGATTGGTGAATAAGATGTTGCTCAACGTTTTTAGCGTCTTTTTGACTTTTTTTCTACGAGGAATTTTCTGGATCTCCTCAACAAATATGAAAACAGTCACATGGAACGAAAAACCTATTAGACATGTATATCATTTCAGTTTACGACATCACATTAAAACATTTAGATGAAATTATCAAGACTAATCTCAGAGTAGTAGAATTATTAACAGTATCAGCAATATTGTAAGCAAAGATGGATAGTGGCTAGCAGTGGAATCCAGTTTGACGCGCGTTTCGTCCTATTTGGGACTCGTCAACTGGATGTAGCTGCATCGCAGACTCGTTAACGTTCACTCTGGGACTCGAATCCAGTACCATTCGCTTTAAACACCATCACGTTATCCACTCAGCTACTGGGTTTAAGTCCCAGAGTGAACATCAACTCTGAGATGCAGGTACATCCAGCTGACAAATCCCAAATAGGACGAAACGTCCGTCAAACTGGATTCTACTGCTAGTCACTATCCATTTTTGCTTACAATGCTTGTGAGTTAAGGCTATATCGAGACAATACGCATAGCATGCACGTATGCCAATCAGAGACTGACAAGTTGAAGTCCTAAAATATCGATGGGTAGATTCAAACAAACAATACTAAATGAAGTATCAGTAATAATAGAAAAGGTCATGTTTATATGGAATAATTAGAGAAAAAAAGGATGAGTTTGAGGAGTTAATAAACGTATATTATAATTTTGGAACTTAGAAGATAAAGATGGAATGAGGTGGTGTCATTGTAACTGATCGTAACTGATATTACTCAGCTTCTTCAACCATCAATCAATTTAATCTTTCAGACCGCAGTCATATAGTTTGCACCTACGAACATGGTTTCGTTTAACAACCAATAACTTTATGAACGGATTAAATGCTTCCGTTTTCCCACTCTCTAGCTTTCCTCTAACCTACGCCCAGATCATCCAACATCGTACATCAATGCAGGTGGTGATTGAGTCTAAGTAATATATTTAGATTTGGTAATCAAGTCAATTTCAAAATATATCACTTAGTATACTGATAGGTCTTCTAACTGAACGTTAGATTTGGTTCGTACGTTCTTCTAGTAACCTTAAGTCTAAATCTATACAGCGGCTTGAACACTAGGGAAAAGGCACGAAATCTGGAAGAACACTATTTACTTGAAAGTTTCGTTCATGTACAGGAAATCTAGGGTTTCTGTAGTATTCTAGGCGGCCTTCCACTACCGGAAAATTCTGTAATGCTACTAAACATAGTATTAGTATAAATAGTCATCCCATCATAGGCTCAGCATGTGACTTTCCACTTTCTATATGTTCCTGCAAAAAGTAGTGAATGCTGGTTGTATACGATGTTTCTCAGTGTTTCCAGTGCCTGTTTTAGCTTTTTACGAGGAGTTTTCTAGATCTCTCCAACACTGATGAATTCCTCAAAACATATAAATGATCAATAATAAACTTTTTAAAATGAAAAGAATGAACAAATATATTTCTTGTTGTATCTTAATGAGTAGAAAAATTGTATTCCTGATATTTCATGTCTTAACGTAAGCGACTACTCCAGAGTAAACTATAAAGTTCAACCTTGGCATCGATATCTACAAACTCATTAACAATGAATAGGTTATTTTACTAAATCCTCATTTGTTCCTTCAGGATACTAGAGCTCATTTGTACCATTGGTTTGGAATAAGGTTTTTCTAACTCCCCTAGGTGAACTCATCGGCCCGGTTAGAGCGTCAAATATTCGCTTTTCGTCCTTTCAATTTCGTAAACAACACTCCAGACATGAGAAGGCAGTGAGTAGAACTTCCCTAGTAGAGTCTGTAATCGCGTAGCCGTGTGAGAGCATTTCAAGAGAGAGAGAGGGTTAGCTCTCCCCATTCTCGGTCGTACCTGGGCATTTGAGGGCAGCAATTTGATGCTAAACAAGTAAGATGATTAAAATCATTTTCTTGGCTTTCGGTGATATATCTAAAGAATTCTTTAGTGTTTCCCCTAATATCAAACGCCGGTGGTGTCATCAATAAATAAAAGAGTTTTCATAAGATTCAGTGTTTTATATACATCTATTATACTGTTTAAAAAAAGTGCCGATGTACACGTTTTCACAATTGGATCCTTTTTGAGAGCGATATAACTGATACATCCTTATAGCTTATTGCCCTCAAATGCCCTGGTACGGCCGAGAGTGGGGAGAGTCACCTCGCCCTCTCGAAATACTCTCATATGGCCAGCGAATATATAGCCTCTGCCAGGGAAGTCCTACTCACTGCCTTCTCGTCACACCGGTGTTGTCTACGAAATTGAGAGGACGAAAAGCGAATGTCCGGTGCTTTAACCGGGTTGGTGGACATGGAATGTTCACCTAGGGGAGTTGGAAAACCCTGATTCCAAACCAGTGGTGCACATGGGCTCCAGTATCCTGAGGGAACAAATGGCGTATGAATCAACCGTTGATCACCGGCTTCCATGGGACTGCATCTCCTCACGATGCTCCACTGCCTTGTGGATCAGACATTCAGGTCAAAGGCTCCGTGTGTGGCCCCCTAAGGAAACCACCTGCTTCAGTCTGGGCACCTGAGCAGTATTACAGCCCTCACACAAATCGAATGAGATTTGTGAGGCGCATATTTATCTGGTGCTTCCTTGTACCAATATTTATGTGTTTAAATAAATAAAATAAATAAATAAATATTGCTTATTCAAATAAACCTAGTAGGCTAATCAGTTTGTACATACGACTAGTATATATGATTGTAGTGTTTTATACTGCTTAAAATGTGGCTAATTGGGGTGAATAGTTAGGATTTAGGACCTCACCTCGCGAAAATTTGAACCCAGGACCTACCATTCTCATTCCAGAGCACTTAATCGATAGATCATCTCGCGAGGCGACGTCATGGATGCGCACTGCTGAGGAGTCTCACAATAGGAAGAAACGGCCGTCCAGTGCTTCCAGGTTTCCCCAGGTGGTCTAGCTTCAATTGACTCACACTTTCAACTATGAAAATACTAAATCTCCACAAAACCCCTTCTGATAATAATAGATAATTAAATTGTAACATTATTCAAGAATATTCGTTTCTTGACTACTATTTAAATACATGAGTAGTAATGTCAAAAACTTTAAAATTGATTGATCTGAATACCATAGGAATATCAAGTCCATCAAAATAGAAGGTACATGTTATTGATGAGTACTAACTATCGCTACACGCTTGATCAAAGGTTTCCTAAATATTCCCTCCAATCATTAGACATGAAAGAAGGGGTTTTGTGGAGATTTCAGTATTTTTCATAGCTGAAATCATGAGTCAATTGAAGATAGACCACCATGGGAAACCTAGGAGAACTGGACGGCCATTTCGTCCTATTATGAGATTCCTCAGCAGTGCGTATCCACGATCCCGCACTTGCGAGATTCGAACCAAGAACCTATCAGTCTCGCACGAGAGCACTTAACCGATAGACCACTTAGCCGGCATCATTAGACATGTTAGAGGACTGTCTGATTGTACCAAAATATCAAGCGTGAAAGACATTTCTCTGGCACAAATATTGGATACAGTTAACTGGGAAAAAGTGAACCGTTCAGAAAAATAGTTATGCGCTAGTAAGCTGTGATGTGATTGAAAATCCTAAGGTAGATCATGTCGTACGTGGACATGTGATAACAATGTTACTGGTGGAAAAGTGATCCAATTCAATCGTATTAATAATGTTCCCTAAACGAGTTGGGGATAACAAAAGTAAACAAAAAATAGTACTCTTACATCGTTGACATTCTCAGTTTTATTACGATAATTTGATTGATCTGTTCGTTTTGTACATCGATTTGGTAAATTATAAGCACCATGTATAGTAACTATTAGTTCAAGACTAGAATTTTGAACATATTGTGGACCTATACGTCGACGTTCTTCATATCTTGGTCTTAATGGACGTTTCGGTTGTAATAATCTTTTGAAAAATGGCAATAGGAATCTGCATGGAAAAAATTAGGGGAAAGTATTTTGAATTTGTTTTGAACTACTATAATATATCATATGCTGAAGTAAATACTTTGCTATTGAAATTGATGTAGAGGATTAATGAATAATTCACTGTGATACTGCCCAGGTACCCAGACCAAAGCAGGTGGTTTTCTTAGGGGGCCATTTTCCGAGCCTTTGGCCTAAAGATCTGATCCACAAGGCAGTGGAGCATAGTGAGGAGATGCAGTAACATGGTAGTCAATGACCAACAATTGGTTCATACACCATTAGTGCCCTCAAGATACTGGAGCTCATTTGTAACCATTTGTTTGAAATCAGGGTTTTCCAACTCCCCTAGGTGAACATTCCATGTCCACCAACCCGGTTAAAGCACCGGACATTTGCTTTTCGTCCTCTCAATTTCGTAAACAACACCGGTGTGACGAGAAGGCAGTGAGTAGGACTTTCCTGGTAGAGTCCGTGTACGCTTGGCTATGTGATAGCATTTCGAAAGGGAGAGCAGACTCTTCCCTTTCTCAGCCGTACCAATAGTTCATTAGCTCTTTATGTTGATATGAAATGTCCACTTGTATTAGAGATCAGTGGTAACATATCGTGAATTCATTTTATTATATATGATTAAAAAACTTACAAAATATTTGGTATCTCTTCTTCAATTACAATTTCATGTAATGATTTTTTATTTAATACATCTTGAAAATGTTGATTAACTTCTGATTTAATCTAAAATATATGAAATGATAAAGTAAAATATTACTTATTAAATGATTTAAGTAGTAAAGTTAGTTAATTGAAACAAATTAAAAAGTAGACTCTTGCTTATAATGCTTATGAACATTGATTATGAGATGAAGGTACATCTAGCTGATGAGTCCCAAAAGGGACGAAACATTAGTCAAACTGGATTCTACTACTAGCCACTACCCAATTTTGATTATGTTTGTGAATTAAGGTAATATGCATAGTATGCATCAATGACCAATAAGTGACTGATCAATTGTAGTCGTAAAAATCAATGGGAAGATTCAATGAAACAATACTAAGTGAATTTAAGACTTCATCTCATTTCATAAGCAATTGGATATCAGGACTTAGTAGATAAGTGGATAATGAGATGATGTTTGAAGCGAACGATACTGAGTTCGAGTTCCAGAGAGAACATCAACTCTGAGATGCAATGCTCTAATCAGTTGTTTAATGCAAATATTAGTCAGGCATTTTTTAATTATCAGAATCCAATACAGTTATTAGCAATTAACCAATGAATTTAAAGGTAGATATTTGACTTATTTAAACAAAATGAATTACAAATCCAAACAGTTATATTTTGATTCAACTAGCTCAAATGTGAAATATTTCAACATGCCAAACTATCACCTATTGATCATGAATTATATCTACGTTGTTTGTTGATGATTGAGATGAGACGGAAAAACTTATAACATTATTATCAACTTAAAGACAGATACGAAACTGATGGAAGATAAAGAAAATATGATTGCACAGTGCTGAGGAGTTCTATAATAAGACGAAACTGCCGTCAAGCAGTGCTTCCAGGTTTTCCATGGTGGTTTAGCTTCAATTGACTAATGATTTTAACTTTGAAAAATACTGAAATCTCCACAAAACCCCTTATGATCAATACTATAAAAGTTTCATAGTCGAGTATAGCAGAAAGAGAGATTATAGAAGTTAGTAAGTAAGTAAGTGAGTAAAAAGAACTCAGCTTAGTTTCCTTTCAATTTATGTATTCAATCGAAATGAAAACTAAAAGTTTTTAAGTAAGTATGATCCAGGATCATATCTTTTGATAAAAATAGAAATGAATGAAGAAGGATATTTGGTTTTTCAAATCAAAACTACTCATCCTTGTTACAGGAAATCCTACTCAATTGAATTCTTGTCTGAAGAGGATGATTTTAGGAATGATCAAAATATTTAACTTAGTATTTAGTTCGATTCCCAAGGCTGATATATCAATCTTATTCTCAGTCTGTAATGTTTTATCATTACCAATTTATTGTTCCCTGAGAAGATTTGTTATGGTATCACTGATCAATACCACATGTTTTATTCGTCATTCAGGATTCCGATTATCGATTAATTCACTTATATGGCCGATTCATAGTTGATTTGTTTGACAACTATTAAGCTAACTCAATTAAATGAATGTGAATAGAGATATACGTAATTTATAGTTTGTGTTAACCATAAATTGATTTCATTTAAGGACACTATCGAAAACCGGGAAATACTAGAAAGTTGTTTATTCCTTGTTATTGAATGCATTATATGAAACTTCGAATTGTACTATTACCATAACACTCTCTAATTGTACTAACTGTGTTATAACTTATGGCCTGTTAAATACCACATGATTTATGCGCCAATCAGAACATGACTTATGCTATCTTAACACTATGCTACAACAATGCTGTGTTGACTAGTATGAGCAGCCTAACGTCCTTATTGATCCTTTTTCCTGCCTAGTCCTGCCCGTTGAGTCCAGAAGGCCATATAGTATAACTTAGGAATAGTAAATCGTATAATAGTAGTTTATATGTCAAATGGAAGCTTGAAATAAAAGTAACATGGATATACACATAACATAGTTACTTAATAGTTAATGTAATAAGAATATTAGTCTATGAACAACTCCTAACAGTTACCATTCATTTTTTCTTCGTCTGGATATAACAGTTTGGATACTATTACAGCTGATTTTTTTAACGAATAATTGTTCATCACAAGACTTGAATGCCCTGGTTTCAGTCCTTGTTAGGGTTCTGTATGTGTAATACTGAAAGGTTTAATCATATGATTAAAGAACTCTCCAATAAACCATGGTCTTCAACGGTATCCTGACTATAGTATATGGTTATCACAAGGAGGTTTTTTTGTGGAGATTTAGCAATTTTATAGTTAAGATCATGAATCAATCAACCACCGTGAAAAATCTGGAAGCACTGGACGGCCGTTTCGTCCTATTATGGGACTCCTCAGCAGTGCGCATCCACGAACCCGTTCTCGCGAGATTCGAACTGGTAGTTCCTGGGTTCGAAACGGCCGTCCAGTGCTTCCAGGTTTTCCACGGTGGTCTAGCTTCAATTGACTCATGGTCTTAACTATAAAATATAGTATATGATGTCTATATAATAAATAATCCTTTCCGGATACTATTTATGGTATTTCATCAGTTTATGGGTAATCACCCTTGGTAATTGGTAGTAGTAATAATAATCATAGTATTGATAATATAGTACCATAATTCATAATGTATAGCTTACCTTTTCAAGATATACTTTACGCTTTTGTTTATATGCTTTCATCCCTTTAGAAAATACATCCTGTTCATCGTCTAAGTCCTTCTTCTCATTCAATGACTATTCAAATATACAATAATTAAAATGATTCGACAACTTGTTAAAATCAACAAAACAGATTTACACGACCAAGTTACTGTAAAGATTATTGGGTTACATTTTAAATGAAAATATTATCCATTCATAAAACCAGGGAATACTATTCACCAAAGCATTGATTGATAGAATAATTACTTACTTACTTACGCCTGTTACTCCCAATGGAACATAGGCAACCGACCAGCTTTATCCAACCAACTCTGTCCTGGGCCTTCCTTTCTAGTTCTATCCAACCATTGTTCATTCTTCTCATGTCTGTCTCTATTTCTCGGCGTAATGTGTTCTTTGATCTTCCTCTTTACCTTTGGCCTTCAGGATTCCATGTGAGGGCTTGTCTTGTGACGTAATCGGGTGATTTCCTCAATATGTGTCATATCCACTTCTAGCGCTTCTCCTTGATTTCTTCCTCGGTGTTCAGGCATACGTAATACGTGGCCCAACCATCTCAGTCGATGAAGATTCACAAACTCATCAACTGATTTACCATCATTCCCTTATTCCCTGTGTCTAACCTCACTATTACTTACATGGTGATCCCAGAAGATGCGAGCAATATTTCTAAGGCATCTGTGGTCAAATACTAGTAACCTACGAGTATCTTCTACTCTTAATGGTCATGTTTCGCAGCCGTAAAGTAGAACAGAACGAACCGCTGCGCATTATACTCGTTCCTTAATTCATAGACGGATATCTCATCTTCGCCATAGGTGACGTAAGTTGGCAGAAGCCAAACGAGCTTTATGAATCCGTGCTGGGATTTCTTCAGACACCAACCAATTAGGGCTGATCAGACTTCCAAGATAAATAAAGTTGTCGACGCGTTCGACTATTTCACTCCCTATCCTTAATTCAGGTGTTGACGCAGGCCAGTTCTTGAGTAACAATTTACATTTAGATGGGGGAGAAACGCATCCCAAACATCCTTGTATTGTTACTCAGTTCTAACAAAAGACTGAATTTTGTCAGCGTCTTCACCAAACAGGACTATGTCATCTGCGTATTCTAAGTCGATTAGTTGACCCCCTCGTAGGAATTCAATTCGGGAAAATTCAGTCGACGAGAGTGTTATTTCCAGCAATAAGTTTATAATGAAGTGACTGGATAACTTATCTAATAAGAAATTGAGCCACCACACTGCTGACCTACAAGTTGATATGTTCGTACCACATAGATGACGGCTAGTGTGGTACACAAACCAACAAGATTAATACAAGACCTTCCACAAAACATTCAACTTACATCAAATAATTCATCAGGTATTTGTTTAGCAAACGTCGGTATAATGACATTTTGAAATCCTGGTACATGATTATTTCTTAATTGAATTAAACGTATTCGTTTCGACTTATCTAAATCTTCATCAGTACAAAAATTAAAATATTCCATTAAAAAATTTAATTGAAAATAATTAATTCCATTCAATCGTGTATGATGTAATACATTGGGATTAGATGTGATTTGTAATGAATTTGATAGAAGATGAGTTCCTGTTGCAGTCTATAATAATAATAATAATAAAAGATAATGAATATTTGTTAAAAGAGGGGTTGAGATCATGAGTCGATTGAAGCTAGACAACCATGGAAAACCTGTGGGACTTCTCAGCAGTGTATAATGCTCGAGACTGGTAGGTCGTGAGTTCGAATCTCGCAAGGCGGGATCGTGGAAACACACTGCTACTGAGGAGTACCATAATAGGACGAAACGGCCGTCCAGTGCTTCCAGGTTTTCAACGATGTTCTAGCTTCAGTTGACTCATGATCTCAATTATATATAATTAATATTTGTTGAATATTGTACAAGAAAAATGATGATGAGGAGATTCTGAAGACAATAAATTATATACATATGAACATGTAAACATATTCATCATCATGATTATTTTTGGGAATTTCAGTTCATCTTGATGGAGTTTTGTTCTTTGAGCTGGATTGTTTGGTCGTGGAGCTTTCATTATCCTTCTGAACGACATCATCATCATCAGTAGTCAGTCAGTCACAACGTAGAACTTCGTACGTACGTACATCAGTTCGAGTTGACATCATCAGCACAAACGTCGGGTAGAAGTGAAGAGTTCAAATTTCTCCACATGTGGTTCAAAGCTTGTCTTGTACACCTCGATGTTGATTAGATCTTCTTGACCTTGAATCTGTCATTGTTTACTTCTTTGTTTTGGTTGTATCTCCAACTGGTTTGATTTTTGTTCCTATGTTTCTGCATAATATTCCTAATTAGTTGATAAATTGGATTGATTTCAATGTGCTTGGTTATTGCTGATTGACCTGAGTGCCAAGCTTCTAAAAAATTCTCTGATGTTTTTGGAAGTGCCTCTATCCAAAATCTCAACATTCTTCTAGTAGAATGTTTGTCCGCAGTTGTTCACGCGCATTAATATAAGTGAAGACATGTCATAGCGTTTGATTGCTAATTGATGTTCATGAAGGCGAAGATGAAGAGGGTGTCCGATTGGTCCGATGTAGTGTTTGTCGCAGTTGGTACAATTTTTTTTGTAGATAATGTTTAATTTGTCATCTTTTGTCATTTCATCCTTTGCTTTGCATAAGATTGAATGGAGGGATTTTGTTAGTTTGTAAGAAATTCGAATACTTCACTTCTACCCGAAGTTTGTGGTGTTGATGTCGTTCAGAAGAACGATGAAAAATTCATGACCAAACTATCAAGCTCAAAAAACAAAACTCCATCAAAATTATCTATATGAGCTAACAATCTTCTCCACCATCTCAGTTGATCTATCTGTTGGTTAGATTTTATAATAGGATTGTAGTTAATGACAGCGTAATCAATGTTATTTGAGTATGTCTGCATTTAACACTTTCAGTCATGCTTCTATTTATTTAATGTGTGAATACAGAATAATAGAGAATAATAGTCAATTATAATTTTAATAGTTGAGATCACGAGTCAATTGAAACTATAGCACCATGGAAAATCTGAGAGCACTGGATGGCCGTTTCGTTCTATTGTGGGACTCCTCAGTGGCAGTGCGTATCCACGATCCCGCCTCTCCGGATTCGAATCCAGGACCTATCAGTCTCGCGCGAGAGCGCTTAACCTCTAGACCACTGAGTCGGCCGGCATCCAATGGTGTTAATGTCTTACTTCAACCGATCCACAAAATTGAGCAACACATCCACCAGCTAATTATAAGTTTAAATTTAAGATAAAACGTTTACTAAGTTTGTGTTTTCTACCTGTCAGTTGAAATTCACCAGACTGAACTTATTCATTATAGATGGTTACTGATAATTCTAACAAGTAATAGTGACATTTTTAATGATATTTGCATTTATATAAGGATGGCCCGTTGGTAAACTCAAGGAAACCTCAAGAAGCTCAGAAAGAGCCGAAGACATTCCATCCAATCACCGCTACAGGGACATTCTGGAGTGTCGACGGGTAGCTTCCCAATTGGATGAATAAGAGGGACTTCCTATGTGACTATTGGCTGTACGAAATGATGATTTACTTTCAGCAAAATCTATAAATGTATGAGATTTTCGTACTATATTTGAAACTGTGTTAGGAATAATATTCCTACTTACTAGTCTTCTGTCTTCTCTCTTGCGACGTAACGGGTTCGATCGTTCAATTAGTCTAGTAGTACATGGCATAGCAAGAATCACAGCTCTAGATATAACAATTTAATATGTAGCAAATCTTCGTAACTGTTTACATTGTCAATTATAGAATCAGCTTTAAGCACCAGTTGTCATTATTTACTGTAAAAACCACAACAGTAACTGGTCATCTTTGAAACTTCAACTTTTGTTGCTTATCAATAAAGTCAACCTTATCAATCTTGCTTTTAGTTAAGTTTCTGAGATGGCAACAAAAGAATTTCACTCCTAACAATGTTTCACAACATCACTGTCTATCTCTCTTTACATATAATTGTATATCCAGAAGCATTAAACACAATCGGTTAAGTGCACTGGCACGAGACAGTGGTAGGTCCTGGGTTCGAGTCTCGTGAGACGGGATCGTGGATGCGCAATTCTAAGGAGTCCCATAATAGGACGAAACGGCCATCAAGCAGTGCTTCCACGTTTTCTATGATGGTCTAGCTTCAATTGACTCATGATTTCAATAATGAAATTAATTAAATCTCCACAAAACCCCTTCTGACTATCACTTACCTGTATCAAATTTAGCAATTTAGCATCCATTGTATTATTAGGATCAAGTATTGAAGTGCTATAATCTTGTTTATCATCATCTTTACTTGTATCATTTAAGAATAATGGATTTGATTGGAATAACTGTGTCGGTTGTAAATACGATGTAGTTGGATAAATTAATGATTGTAAATCTGTAACACGTCCTTTCATTGATCCGCGAGGGTAAAGAGATCTGTTTGAAAATGCAAATTATAAGACCTTTATGAACGATACACTTTATTTTGATCAATTCAGAGGTAATGGTTCAAACTGTTAAGCTCAGTGTTAAGTTATAATAGGTTAGAATACATCAGATACTTATAGACTGCAAACACGTATTGCTAGGAGCACGAAACCTAGGTTAATCGTTTCCTGTAGACGAACGATGAGCATCTAATACATTTGTTGATTTAAAATTCTCAAGAGACTAATTTAAATGTTGTTGCGTGGTTTTCAATCAGATTGCTGAAATATCATAATCTATCAATTGTCATACAACTATTCAGTCAGTCAGTCACAACGTAGAACTTCGTACGTACGTACAACTATTCAAATATTGATTCAGTATAACTAACCCAATAAATGCTGTTAAGTTATCTTGGAAAAATGATCTTCGATCCTAATGGTACAAATCGAATAGAAAAATGTTATTAACCGTCGAATTCAAAGAGGATTCGGATTCAGAGATGTCAAAAACATCCACCGTTGAAATCTCCAACTCCAGGAGATACATGATCTTGAGTGGTGTTAGAGGTATGAGAGCAGTTATCACTTCCCGGTTGCCCACATTGTTGAATGATTCTTCTAGATGTACCTTGAAAGGAAATTGGGTTAGGAGTGATCTTAATGACCTGAGAGCGTGACCGCAGTGCCCAAGGGACAACTGCTTTGAGGTCGGTCACACACGACCTTTTTGTGTTAGCTCCATGCTTGTTGGGATCTTACCGCAGGAGACGGATATCCGTGGGATAAGGCTGTAGTGCCGTGCTTCGTTAATAGTTCACCTTTATAACCGTTATAATACCCATCTTAACGGTGTATAGAATCAGAAGGCAAAAGGAAGCGGCAACTACATTTTATTTGATAACTGATGAAGACCAGAAGGTTGTGAGTACATGAGCAAATGATAGCGAGCGAAACATAAGTGACATACATTGGAGATGGCTGGGAAGCCAACTCGAGAGCGAAGCGAAAATAATGCGTAGTGGAGATGGCTGGGATGCCAACTCGTTATGAGCAAGCATTAATCAATATTTATAGTCAGACAAAAATGAATGACAGACATATGATGAATAAGATACGAAGTGTGCATACACATACGCTCATATAAAAAGGTAGTCAAGGTGAATAGGGAATAAATAACGTGATCGAAATACGACTCATAATGGATAAGCAAATTGGCTTGGCCAGAAGGTAGAATAAAGTATATGGGCTTAACATATAAACTGATACTACAAGGCGAGGTGTGCATTTTTAGGGTCGATCTTTTCTAACCCCACCCCTCCTTGTGAGAAGGCAGCATCGCTGTTATGCTGGTTGTCTGAAGGAAACACCTTACTGCTGTCACACCTCTGTATAGTCAGCAGTACGACTTCTCCTTCGGACCTTGGGTTTACCGCTTTTAGTCTTACCGCTCTTCAACCAACCTGTCTGGCATGGTAGGAACTTGAGAAACAATTGTTTCAGCCAACATAGCTCGATTGGCTAATCACGATAGGCAAGCTCGATCACCACGTCAATATAGCAGCAACGGTCGGGATACGTAACCATACAATGTCTCAACAAAGTTCCAAACTTTAAGCCACCTCAAAACGCATCAATCAGTTTGATTGCTCCTGTAAAAGCATGTTATATATTAAAAGTACAAAGTATGCTCTTTACGAGTACTTATCTAAATACAACCCAGTTTCGCCATCTAAATGTGAATCCGAATCAATTGATTGTTCTATCGGTAAAAAGGTTAGTCAATTTTGGTTAGCTCTCAGCATCTACAATTGAATAACATATGGAACTCAAAACAACTGTCAACTAATTTCAAAGTGAGAATCTTCAATACGAATGTCAAGACAGTTCTACTGTACAGAGCTGAAACGTGGAGAACTAATACATCCATCGTCAAGAAGGTACTAGTATTTATCAACAGTTGTCTACGCAAAATACTCAGCATCCATTGGCCGGATACTATCAGTAACAGCGTTTTATGGGAGAGGACAAACCAACTTCCAGCTGAAGAGGAAATTAGGAAAAGACGTTGGAAGTGGATCGGACATACATTGAGGAAATCACTAAACTGCATAACGAGGTAATCCGTAACATGGAATCTGGAAGGGAGGCGGAAAAGAGGAAGGCCAAAGAACACATTACGCCGGGAAATATAAACAGATATGAAGAGAATGAATAACAACTGGAAAGAACTGGAAAGGAAGGCTCAGGATAGAGTTGGATGGAGAATGCTGGTGGTTAGCCTATGCTCCTCGACGAGGGGTAACAGGCGTAAGTAAGCAAGTAAGTAAGTCTCACCATCAGAAGTTTCATATTGAACAATAATTTCCTTATAAATGAAATATTTACAATGACTAACCTATCTAAATATGTATGACATGCTTCAATATCCATATCATTATTCAATGATGAATTAATAGCTATCCATTGAGTTGTAGCTAATAATGTTCCAGTTATTGGTAAACATACTATTTTCTCACCAGAACCATCTAAATCTTCTAAGAGAATCTTTGATTTACCACCAATAAACGATGATGATAAAGGTAAACTAGATTGTTTTTGATTCAATTTCAGTTGATCTAGTTTAAATGATGATCCAGTTGTTACAGTAAATCGTAAACGTTGTAAATCTAATTCAGTTGATAGATTTGTCTGTTGTTTAGATGTCATTTGAATGTCTATATCATTTGGTAATGCAATATGAAATTCAGCGATTTGATGTGATGTCCAACCATGTTTCTCAAATAACTAGGAAAAATGTTAAATGAAGTAATGTACACATAATAATAATAATGAAATCAAATCTTGTTATAGCAGAGATGGATAGTGGCTAGCAGTGGAATCCAGGACTGACCAGTTGCAGTCCTAACAAATCGATGGGAAGATTCAAACAAACAATACCAAGTTGAATTTAAACTTCACCTCATCGCACAAGCAAGTGGTTATCAGGACTCAGTGGCCGAGTGGATAACGCAATGGCGTTTGAAGCGAGGGTACTGGGTTCGAGTCCCAGAGTGAACATCGACTCTGAGATGCAGGTACATCTAGCTGACTAGTCCCAAATAGGACGAAACACGCGTCATGGATTCCACTGCTAGCCACTATCCATCTCTGCTAACCATGCTTGTGAATTAAGGTATATCGAAGCAATACGCACAGTATGCACATATGCCAATTAGAGACTGACCAATTGCAGTCCTAACAAATCGATGGGAAGATTCAAACAAACAATACTAAGTTGAAATCTTGTTATACTTTTAAAGAAATCAATGGTTTTTCCTTGTTGAAAGCATGAGTCAATTGAAGCTAGACCCCTAAATACCGTGGTACGGCTGAGAATAAGGAGAGTCCACTCGCCCTCTCGAAATGCTCTCACATGGCCACGTGTATATAGCCTCTGTTAGGGAAGTCCTACTATGATAATTAGAAGTATTTGAATTGTAGTATGAACTAGTAATTCCAGGAATAACGCAATTTAATCAAGAAGTATCAGATGAGCCCGAACGAATGTATTGTATTTGGAATTCAAAATTACAACAGTCATCAATACGAAGAAGTCATTGATTTATTTAAACATCACACCTACTCACTGCCTTTTCGTGACATTACTGTTGTTTACGAAATTGTAAGGACGAAAAGCGAATATCTGGCACTTTTACCGGGTGGTTAGTGGACACGGAAAGTTCATCTAGGGGAGTTAGAAAACCCTGATTCCAAACTAATTGTGCACATGGGTTCCAGTATCCTAAGGGAACAAGTGGCGTATGAATCAAACGTTGGTCACCGACTACCATGGGACTGCATCTTCTCACGATGCTCCACTAACTTGTGGATCAGACCGTTAGGTCAAAGGCTCTGGGTGTGACCCCCTAAGAAAACCACCTGCTTCAGTTTGGGCATCTTGTCAGTATCACAGCCCTCACACAAATCAAATGAGATTTGTGTGGCGCATATATATCTGGTGCTCCTTTTGTACAAATATTTATGTGTTTAAATAAATAAATAAATAAATATCATACTAACTTTGGCTATTATAGATTCTGGTTGATTACGTATTTGTATTGGTAGAATCCAATTGAAATCTAGTGTAAAGTTATGAGTTAATAACCTAAATGTTAAGAAAAGATAATCGATATCATTTTTTCAAAGTATGAAACAAAATTTCCAAAAATGTGTAAAATGATGTTTTATGGTGTAGGAGTAGGTTGGAAGAACGCTAGGGGCGGCCAGATCAAAACATGGCACAAATCCATGAAGTCACTGACAAGTGGACTGAGGCATGTTGGTAGATGTAAACTACCTGGTTGGGATTCTCTAGATGATAGGAATCGATGGTTGGAGACCTTGAATGACATAGCTCAACACAGTTTGCAATGGCGAAGGTGCATCCACTCTTTGTGTTCTGCCAAATTCTAATCTTCTGAATTCTTCACATCCCTTTCTTTTTTCTCTTTCCAAATTTATTTCATTGGATTACACTCCTTCAATAACATCTTCAAACCCTAATCTTTTTGGTTACTGCTTATACTCTTACAACTTCTACCACTATGGGATTTGAATCGACAACTGGATCTCTGTGCTAATGTGGTATGATAACTCGAACTGATGTAGGTACGTACAAAGTTCTACGTTATGATTGACTGTAAAGTGTTGTTTATAATCAGAATGGAGTTTGCGGAGATTGTAGTAATTTTAGTAGGTGAGTTCATAAATCTATTTAAATTAAGCCACAGTTAGGAGCATAAAATCACTAGACGACCGTTTCATCTTAGTGTGGGACTCCTCATCAGTGAACATTCACGACCTCGCACCAATGGGACTAAAACTTAGGATCTTTGATCTCGTACGCGAATGCTTAACCTCGAGATCATTGAGCCAACATCCAGCGGTGTTAATATCTAACTTTCATCGATCCATGAATAGGTCATGGATTCAACTATTAAAAAATGATGCTTAATCATGTAAATATGAGCTATTCAAATAGAAACTAGTACTCCATTACACAATATTGGAATAATCAATTATAATAACTACGAAATCTAATTTGTATTTTACGCAAAACCAGAAAAGACCAATGTCAGTTATCATTCATTTCACAAAAAGATTCTGAAGTGATATGATTAATAAAAGCTTTAAGTCATGTAGATGGCGTCGAGTCTCGATTGACTATGATTACCATTACAACAAGATCATGCTACAGAAAACGACTTGGTTCCTTTGATAGGTCAAAACCAGAAGACTGTAATTAGTCCAGATAAAGTATATTTATTGGCGATATCATGGTATCGAAAGAATACCGAGACGTAACAATGAGTACAGGCAACAAGGTAGAGAGTAAGAACGTTCGCACGAACAAGATGGACAACGGAACGAAAGGAAAAGTGATTTTGATACAGTTAAACAACAACGAGTACAGTAAAACAATCACTGGTACAATTGGTTATAATAATAATAATTGTTTCCATTATACCAATGGCGTTCTCGTCGAGAAAAGTAGGTCACTACCGTTGTTTTGTGTATTATCTTTTTTGTGAAAATAACATGATGTAACATCATGTATTCATGCCAGTCAGTCACAGCGTAGAACTTAGAGTTATCATACTACATTAGCACAGAGATCCAGTTGTCTATTCAGATTCCATAGTGGTAGAAGTAGTAAGAGTATAAGCAGTAATCGAAAAGATTAGGGTTTGAAGATGTTATTCAAGGAGTATAATCCAGTCATGTAATCATGTAATCAGTTTTACGTCACTTTGTGTTTAAGAAATGCTAATAATGCCCAATTGCCTAAACAAAGGTAGGTGGAACAGAGTGAAGAGTTATCATCAAGTGGATAAAAGTTAAACACTTTAGTGATTAAACTACCTTTCCATCAATCCTAATCACTTTATTTGAAACAAATTTTAAACTGGATCAAATGATTTAACTTTATTTGTTTATAAGCAAAGATGGACAGTGGCTATCAGTGGAATCTAGGACACGCGTTTCTTCCTATTCGGGACTCGTCATCTGGATTCAAACAACCAATAACAAGTGAACTTTATTTGTTTGTTTACGTAACATTTGTGAACAATTTTTTATGGTACGGTCGAGAGTGGGGAGAGTCCACTCTCCCTCACAAAATGCTCTCACATGGTAACGCGTATATAGCCTCCGCCAGGGAATTCCTACTCACTGCCTTCTCGTGACACCGGTGTTGTTTACCAAATTAAGAAGACGAAAAGCGAATGTCAGACTCTTTAACTGGGTTGGTGGACATGACGCGTCCACCTATGGAGGTTGAAAAACCCTGATTCCAAATCAATGGTGTACATGGGCTTCAGTATCCTGAAGGAATAAATGGCGTATTAATCAATCGTTGATCATCGGCTACCATGGGACTGCATCTCCTCACGATGCTCCACTAACCTGTGGATCAGATCTTTAGATCAAAGGCTCCGAGTGTGACCCCCTAAGAAAACCGCCTGCTTCAGTTTGTCACTTGAGCAGTATCACAGCCCTCACACAAATTAAATGAGATTTGTGTGGCGCATATGTATCTGGTGCTTCTTTGTACAAATATTTATGTGTTTAAATAAATAAATAAATTGTAATTTAGATTGGAGACCTGTTTTCAAGAAAAAAACAAACTATCTGTGACTATATTAGAAAAGTCAATCGATACTTCATCCCATGGATGATTCAGCTACTTCTTTTTAGTATAGGACTCATCAATAGCGAACATTTTAGCTATTCTGTGTTTCTAGGTTTATGACGGCTTCCAATCTAAGTATAACTTATCGATCATACTAATAATATGATTTATACTAAGGTGAACATCTATAAACTCCGCCTGTAGCTCTTATAGAATTACTGCCGGTCCCAAGCCCGGGTAAAGGAGGAGGGTTGTGCATGGGGTTAGCGACCCCATCATGTAGAAAACTAACTCGCTGAAGAATCGCAAACCAGAACTGGTGAGCGGCCTATGCTCCTCCACGAGGGGTAACAGGCGTAAGTAAGTAAGTAAGTAAGTAAATAAGTAAGAACATCTATAAGATTGGCCACTGATTGATTAGAAACAAAACATCATATACGTTAAAAGTAGCATTACTTCACTATGATATGAACTTTACTAGTTTCAATGTACTTATCCAAGTAATTTAGCAAGTACAGCTTCATGCACTCAAATCTGAATTAAACTTTAGTACGATGCTAAATCAATGTAGGAGAAATGGAGATTAAAGTTAGGATCAATTAATTTAAAGCCAATTGCTTTAAGGATCATTATCTCGAATAGGAATTCTCCTTTCATTAATTGGATGTCAGATTATGGGATCTGATAGACATCTAGAACAAAAGTACCTTGAGCTCAACAAACTACATACTTGGATAGATTATTTTACATAGATGACAGCAAAATAAGACCTAAAGCCTCCTTGTGGCGCTGTTGGATATTAGAAGCAACCCTGCTAGCCAAATTAGGCAGTCGCAAAGTTCGTATGTTAACTAGTATGCAAGTAGATCACACATACCAAGGGCAAGTAAAATTGCAAATTTCTTTACTCGTTCTTTTAATACGATACCATCATACATGCAAAGACCTGTGGGGCAGCGGTCCCCACTAAATCACATTCATGTGGTGGGTTTGTGAGCCGCGAAAAGACAGAATCCATTCAAGAAGGACCACTACTCTCCTTAGTTGACTTCACCAGCTGCTTTTGGCTGGAACACCGCACCTTATATGCGTACATATATATCAAAACTTGACAACATATATATTGATTTATAAATGGTAACAATAAACAATCGGTTAAACACAACTTACTGTGGTTCACTAGTTTCAACTAATTTATGATTATAATACAATTTGATAAAATACGTATACTCAAGTAATTTTAAACGACGATTCAGCTCAGTCCTAGGTGGAAAGACCCAAAAAAAAGAACATGTTGAAGGGTAAATTATCTTAAACTAAATGATGAGACTATGATTTATGGACGAACCAATCAGATTTACGACAATAGGTCCATTCGACTAAATGGCGTTTTGGCATCTTAGATGATGTCAGTTCGTTATGAAAACTCTTAATGTAAACCCTAATTATCACCATCAACAGTAAATCATAATGCTAATTCACCACACCGGTTTATAACCCTCATTCAAACTTAGTAGATAGGTGGACATTCTCAAGATCACTTTAGCGCCGCTCAAAGGTCTTCCATAAATTATAGTCTCAACAAATAAACATTCAGTAATTATTAGTATGGGATTGTGGAGACCGCAAAGATTTTGATTAAGATCATGAATCGAATGATTTTAGACCACCATTTGAAACGTGGAAGCACTGAACGGTCGGCTAACGAGTGCCAAGTAGCACGAAACCTAGGTCCAAGGTTTCCTGTTGACTACCTCCAACTATCATCTTATCTCAACATAGTGCACACACTGTTGAGTCACCTGGACCAGTGGTCACATTGCAACTTAGTCGATAGGATTCGATCTGCACTAAGAAGGACCTGACACATGATATAGATCACTACCCAGTGATAATTCAATTGTAAATTTATTTATATATTTTTCTTATGGCTACCAAAAACCAATCAAAGGAGGATAAAAAGAGATCAGTTAAATAAATCAGCTAAACTAATAATCAATCTAAATATGAATGAGCTAAGACTGAAGGCAACTATATGGGATCCTGATGCTACATGATGCACTAGACAATTGTAGTTTATTTATTCTTAGTGCAATTTCAGTTCTATATACTTACTTACTTACGCCTGATACCCACAATGAAGCATAGGCCGCCGACCGGCATTCTACAACTCACTCTGTCCTGGGCATTCCTTTATACATCTATCTAACGACTGTTCATTCTTCTCATGTCTGTCTTCATTTCTCGGCGTAATGTGTTCTTTGGTCTTCCTCTTCTCCTTCCACCTTCAGGATTCCATGTGAGGGCTTGTCTTGTGACGCAATTAGGTGATTTCCTCAATGTGTGCCCAATCCACTTCCAGAGCTTCTTCCTGATTTCTTCCTCTGCTGGATGGAATCTGGTTTGTTCTCTCCCACAGTAGAATGTTGCTGATGGTGTCTGGTTAACGGATCCGAAGTAACTTGCGTAGACAACTGTTAACAAACACCTACATCTTCTGGATGGTGGCCTTCGTTAATCTCCAGGTTTCCGCCGCATACAGTAGAACTGTCTTGACATTTGTATCTTAGTGTTGGTTGACAAATTTTTTGAGTTCCAGATCTTCTTTAAGTGTAAGTATGCTACTCTTAACTCCGCCTGTAGCTCTTCTAGAGTTACTGCCGGTCCCAAGCCCGGGTAAAGGAGGAGGGTTGGGCATGGGGTTAGCGACCCCATCCCGTAGTAAAGCTAACTCGCTAAAAAAACGCTAAACAGAAAAAATAATCCAAACCATTTAAACTCTGCCCTGGGAGTTGAAGGAATAATGACGTCTCATGATGAAAGCCGAAATTCTTCGGAAGTCACGAGACCGATGCACCTTCTAACAACCAGAGCAACACTCTTTATAGGTACATGGAACGTCCGGACAATGTGGGAAACAGGAAAGACCAGCCAAATAGCAATGGAAATGAGGAGATACAACTTGGCAGTACTCGGAATCAGCGAAACCCATTGGACACAAACTGGACAACAAAGGCTAGGTACAGGAGAGATGCTGCTGTACTCCGGTCACGAAGAGGAAAATGCTCCACACACTCAGGGAGTTGCTCTAATGCTGTCCAAAGAAGCACAAAATGCACTTGTGGGATGGGAATCTCATGGACCCAGGATAATCAAAGCATCATTCAGAACAAAGAAGCAAGGGATCACAATGAATGTTATCCAATGTTATGCACCCACCAATGATAGCAACGACGATGATAAAGATCAGTTCTATGAAAGGCTGCAATCAATTATAGCAAAGTGCTCACGAAAGGACCTCACCATCCTGATGGGAGATCTAAATGCTAAAGTTGGAGTGGACAACACAGGATATGAAGATGTAATTGGACGACATGGACTAGGAGAGAGAAATGAAAATGGGGAGAGACTTGCAAACCTATGTGCTTTCAACAAATTGGTTATAGGCGGCACAATATTCCCACACAAACGCATACACAAAGCTACATGGATCTCGCCGGACCACACCACAGAGAACCAGATTGATCACATCTGTATCAACAAAAAATTCCGAAGATCAATGGAAGATGTGAGAACCCGGAGAGGAGCTGACATAGCTTCAGATCACCACCTGGTTGTGGCCAAGATGAGACTGAAGCTAAAGAAACACTGGACAACTGGACAAACAGCATCATCACAAGGAATGGATCTCTATGGGAACCCTGGACAAACTTCAAGAAAGGAAGAACAAGAAACTAGCAATTAACAACAGCCGAACACGAGCAGAGAAAGTCAAAGCACAAGCAGACTACGCAGAAGCAAACAGAGAAGTGAAGAAAAGCATTAAAGCCGACAAGCAGAAATACATGGGAGAACTAGCAACGGCGGCGGAAAAAGCTGCAAGAGAAGGGAATATGAAACAACTATATGATACAACGTTGAAGTTGGCAGGGAGATATAGCAAACCAGAGAGACCAGTCAAAGACAAAGAAGGAAAGACAATCACTGAGATTCAGGAACAGAGGAAAAGATGGGCAGAATACTTCGAGGAACTGCTGAATAGACCAGCCCCATCGAATCCACCGAACATCGAAGCAGCCCACACTGACCTTCAAATAGATGTCACTCCACCAACGATCGAAGAAGTCAAGATGGCCATCAGACAAATCAAAAGTGGGAAGGCGGCGGGACCTGACAATATACCAGCAGAAGCACTGAAGTCAGACATTGAAATAACTGCAAGCATGCTTCACCTTCTATTCAAGAAGATTTGGGAAGAGGAACAAGTGCCAACGGACTGGAAAGAAGGATATCTCATCAAGATACCAAAGAAAGGAGATCTGAGCCAATGTGAGAACTACAGAGGTATCAGTTTGTTATCAGTACCAGGAAAAGTTTTCAACAGAGTGCTGCTGAATCGGATGAAAGACGCAGTAGACGCCGAACTAAGGGATCATCAGGCTGGATTCCGTAAGGATCGGTCGTGCACAGACCAGATTGCGACACTACGGATCATCGTTGAACAATCAGTTGAGTGGAACTCATCACTATACGTCAACTTTATTGACTACGAGAAGGCGTTTGACAGCGTGGATAGGAGAACATTATGGAAACTTCTTCGACACTATGGAGTTCCTCAGAAGATCGTCAACATTATCCAAAACTCATACGATGGATTACAGTGCAAAGTGGTGCATGGAGGACAGCTGACAGATGCATTTCCAGTAAGGACCGGAGTCAGACAAGGCTGTCTACTCTCCCCATTCCTCTTCCTTCTAGTGATTGACTGGATTATGAAGAATTCGACATCTGAAGGGAAATACGGAATACAATGGACTTCTCAGAATCAATTAGATGATTTGGACTTCGCAGATGACCTAGCCCTCCTCTCTCATACACACGACCAAATGCAGATGAAGACAGCAAATGTAGCAGCAGCCTCCGCATCGATAGGCCTCCACATTCACAAAGGAAAAAGCAAGATTCTCAAATGCAACACGGAGAACACCGACCCAATCACACTTGACGGCGAAACTCTGGAAGAGGTAGAAACATTCAAGTACCTGGGGAGCATCGTTGATAAACAAGGAGGATCGGATGCAGATGTAAAGGCAAGGATTGGCAGAGCAAGGGCAGCATTTCTACAATTGCAGAACATATGGAACTCAAAACAACTCTCAACCAATTTCAAGGTCAGAATCTTTAATACGAACGTCAAGACAGTCCTACTGTATGGAGCTGAAACGTGGAGAACTACTACAGCCATCATCAGGAAGGTACAAGTATTTATAAACAGTTGTCTACGCAAAATACTCAACATCCATTGGCCGGATACTATCAGCAACAGCGTTTTATGGGAGAGGACAAACCAGCTTCCAGCTGAAGAGGAAATAAGGAAAAGACGTTGGAAGTGGATCGTACATACATTAAGGAAATCACCAATGTGCATTACAAGGCAATCCCTAACTTGGAATCCGGAAGGGAAGCGGAAAAGAGGAAGGCCAAAGAACACACTACGCCGGGAAATAGAAGCCGATATGAAAAGGATGAATAGCAACTGGAAAGAACTGGAAAGGAAGGCTCAGGACAGAGTTGGATGGAGAATGCTGGTGAGCGGCCTATGCTCCTCGACGAGGGGTAACAGGCGTAAGTAAGTAAGTAAGTATGCTACTCTTGCTTTGCCGATCCGCATCTTCATATCTATCTGCATCAGATCCTCCATGTTCATCAATGATAATGCCCAGATATACGTCAAGGTTTTCACATCCTCCAAAGCTTCTCCGTCAAGTGTAGTTCGATTAGTTCTATATACTCTTTAACTTAAAAACTGTCAGTCATTTAGAGTTTGATTAGAACTGACTACATATTTTTAAGTACTGTCTATCAATAGAAGAACATCTAGAATTCAAAACAATTGTCAACCAACACCAAGATCAGAATTTTCAATACAAATGTCAAGACAGTTCTACTGTATGCGGCGGAAACCTGGAAAACTACGAAAGCCATCATTCAGAAGTTACAGGTGTTTATTGACAGTTGTCTACGCAAGTTACTTCGGATCCGTTAACCAGACACCATCAGCAACATTCTACTGTGGGAGAGAACAAACCAGATTCCATCCAGCAGAGGAAGAAATCAGGAAGAAGCTCTGGAAGTGGATTGGGCACACATTGAGGAAATCACCTAATTGCGTCACAAGACAAGCCCTCACATGGAATCCTGAAGGTGGAAGGAGAAGAGGAAGACCAAAGAACACATTACGCCGAGAAATGGAGACAGTTATGAGAAGAATGAATAGTGATTGGATAGAACTAGAAAGGAAGGCCCAGGATAGAATAGGTTGTAGAATGCCGGTCGGTGACCAATGCTCCATTGGGAGTAACAGGTGTAAATAATCTATCAATAGAATCATTGCAAGAATAAAATTACATCTTAGAAATGAAATGAAATAGTTCTATGATACCTTAGACATTCATTATTTGATGATATGACAGCATCATCAACTAAACTAACAGTGATCTTTGGTTCATTTGGTAATCGTCTAAATTTTCTTAGAATAATTTCTGTTTCATCTTTAATCTCTTGAGGATTAAATGGTTTTGGAAGTATTGGTGGATTTCTTCTTTTGACTTTCTGTTGTGCTAAAATTTGTGCATCTTCACGTTCAAGTTCAGCATTATCCTGTATATATATAATGAAAAGAGGTATGGGTTATTCAAAATGTGATTGATATTTTATATGACTATATTTCATTGAATAACCTTTCATTGACATTTCCTGTTAAAACTTATATGCTCACTAGTGAGTGGCTTCAAGCGGTACTTCCTGGAGTTCTAATGACAAGCAGTGACCATTGGAGTTCAACCACGTCGGTTGTGAGATAGGAACTCAGAGAAGACTATTGGTGAACGGTTGCTCAACTTCGTGGATTGGTTGAAGTTAGACATTAACACCGTCGGATGCTAGCCAGCTCAGTGGTCTATCGGTTAAGTGCACTGGCACAAGACAGTGGTAGGTCCTGGGTTCGAATCTCGAGAGCCGAGATCGTGGATGCGCACTGACACTGAGCAGTCCCACAATAGGACGAAATGGCAGTCCGGTGCTTTCAGGTTTTCCTTGGTGGTCTAGTTTCAATTCACATTTGTAGCGCTATACAAAAGCCTTCAAGGACGTATACTAAGGTTTATTGAAGCCTTAGCTATACGGAAGTCGGAACCCCCTTTATATGTTCAAAAACAATTTGTTCTTACCCTTAACCTACCCAGGTAATACTGATTTATTATCCAGAGTGGTCATCACATTGTGTTTGTGTACTTTATTTATTTTCTTTCTTTGTTACGGTTTACCTTAACCTATCTAGTTGACTTTTTAATTTTCATATAAAACTGTCTTAACAAGCATATGTGTGATCATAGTTGAAATCATGAGTCAATTGAAGCTAGACCATCATGGAATACCTGGAAGCACTAGACGGCCGTTTCGTCCTATTGTGGGGCTCCTCAGTGTCAGTGCGTATCCACGATCCCGCCCTGCGAGATTCGAACCCACGACCTATCGGTCTTGCGCGCGAGCACTTAACCGTCTTTGTTTTCTCTTCAAATTGATCTTCTTAGCTTTCTTCTGACAGGGTTTCCATTTCCGACTGATGTTACATACTACTTATATCTGTCGACAGGAGTACCATACACCACTGTAGTATTTATCACACAATGTCTGAAAAATCAAAGATTGGGTGGATAATTATTGATTACGAATAATCTTTAGTGACTATTAAGCTCTAAATAAATGCTCAGTTATTGTTTAACCAAACATTCTGTATAGAATACAATTTGATTGAAAGAGAACTAAGGTTGTCTAAATGAAGAAATATTAACTGTGTATAATAGTGTTGATTGTTGAATGGAGCTATATCATCGAATGAAGTTATCTTGGTTGAAGATTATATAATAATCACGATTATTCGTGATTATTATTCACTAAGCCGGCCGGCATCCAACGGTGTTAATGTCTAACTTAAACCAATCCATGAAATTGAGTCGATTGAAGCTAGACCACCATGGAAATCCTGGAAACATTGGACGGCCGTTTCGTCTTATTGTGGCACTCCTCAGCAGCGTGCATCCATGATCCTGCCTCGCGAGTTCTCAAATTGTACTTTACATCCCATTGTCCCTACTTGTGTTTCCTTTGAATACAAGTAAAATATATATTACCTCCCAATCACCATCTATTTGACCTGATTCACGTAAGCGTTGTCTTCTAAGAGCAGCATCCTACAAAGATAAATAATAAAACAATGTTATTAACAATAATATATTTCTAGTTGACTGAAAATTGTCGACTAAAGTAGTATTTTGGAGAAGTAAGTATCATTTATGAAAGATATTCATCAGCTGAGGTACCAACGATGATCATGATATATTCCATAACTGTTTGGTGTTATTAAAGCAGAGTTTTATTCCCTAAGTTGAATGGTTCGGTCGTCGAGCTTTCATTGTCCTTGTGATTAACACCATCACTATAAATTTCAAGTATAGGTATCGTGGATGCTCACTGTTGAGGAGTCCCACAATAGGATGAAACGGCTGTCCAGTGCTTCCAGGTTTTTCATGGTGGTCTAGCTTCAATCGACTTATGATTTCAACTATGAAAATACTGAAATCTCCACAAAACCCCTTCTGATAGAGGTAAAGTGTTTAAATTTTTCTACATTTGACCACCAGTAAAGGACTGCTTAGTAATATGTATAAACGACCTTAGGAAGGATTAAACCTAAGGATACCAACATTGTCAATATCAATTGCGAAGTAGCATGATCTTATGAAGCACACAAAAGATAAAAGTTAATGTTCACTCCGTGAACTCGAACATAGTATCGCATAGTATGCATATATTGTTGGGGATAATAAATCCCCAGAACTCATTTGGTAAATGGTCTATTTTTGTAATTTTATTTTGAAAATTTGAATTTCTTCGTTTTCGCGCCAAAAGTGCTATTTTCAACTTTGAGTCGTATTTCCCACTTGCGAAATATCTTAAACGTTATTGGTTTGTTTTAATCTTTTAGTGTGTTATTTTGTAATATTGCCCAAGGACAATTTTATGCTAAATATATACGTTTGATTTCTTCCCCTTACGATTGCTGTGCTTCTGGTTGCTTACGGAATATATTTTCCCCGCTTCCAACTTGAAATTCTTACTCTAGTTAGCTGGGTCTGAGTCGCGTCACAATAGCTAGCTTATCGGTCCCTGGTCACAAGTTTTTGTTCCGTTCACTGACTAGTGAATTAGAAACGCATCAGATATAACATATATACACATCGTAACCCCAAAACATCAATGAAAAGATTCAAGTAAATAATACCAAAGTGAATTGAAATTTGAATAATTTTTCAGGTTCGTGTTCCTTTAGCGAGCTAGTTTTCTACGGTAATGGGGTGGCTAACCCCATGCCCAACCCACATCCTTTATCCAAGCTAGGGACCGGCAGTAGCTCCCAGAGGAGTTGCAGGCGAAGTTGAAGAATAGTAAACAAAGATCAATAGTGGCTAGAAGTGGAACCCAGGACGCGCGTTTCGTCCTATTTGGGACTCGTCAGTTGGATGTACCTGAATCTCAAAGTTGATGTTCACTCTGGGACTCGAACCGAGTACCGTTGGCTTCAAACGTCATCGCGTTATCCACTCGGCCACTGAGTCCTGATAGCTACTTGCTTGTGCAATGGAGTGAAGTTGAAATTCATTCAGTATTGTTTGTTTGTATCTTCCCATTGATGATTTTAAGACTAAATCTGGTCAGTCTCTTATTGGTATATGTGCATCCTGTGTGTATTGCCTCGATATAGCCTTAATTCACAAGCATTATAAGCAAGGATGGATAGTGGCTAGCAGTGGAATTCAGTTTGACGCGCGTTTCATTCTATTCGGAACTGGTCAGCTGGATGTTGAAGTTGAAGAATGCTGGTCGGCGGCCTATACTCAATTGGGAGTAACAGGCATAAGTAGGCAAGTAAGAATATTATAAAAAAACCAACTTGTTGTTTCTTCTCTTTCTTATATTTAGCCAATTCTTCTTCATATTTCTTTTGTTCTATTTTATATTGTATATCATATTCATGTTTTGCTTCATTGACAATATCATCTAATTCTTGATTCCAATCAGCTTGATCTTGTTCTACATTGGTTATTTGTCTAAATGATTAAATAAGAAATGATCGTTCAATATTAAATATCATTCAATGTTTACTTTTATGATGGCAACTTGGGCCGATGCATAAATTTACCTGATCCTACGTTGTAGCTGACTGACCGACTGTATATATTTTATATTGCTGAGATCATTAGTCAATTGAAGCTAGACAATCATGGAAAACCTGGAAGTACTGGATAGCCGTTTCGTCCTATTGTGGGACTCCTCCTCAGTGGCAGTACGTATCCACGATCCCGTCTCTCGAGATTCAAACCCACGACTTATCATTATCGCGTGTGAGCACTTAAAACCGATAGACCACTGAGCCAGCCGGCATCTAACGGTGTTAATGTCTAACTTCAACCATGATAGAACGAAACGGTTGTCCAGTACTTTCAGGTTTTCCATGATGGTCTACCTTCAATTGACTCATGTACTCAACTATATAAAATTACTAAAAATCCTCCTTCTGACTTGTATATATTACTTATTATTCTATACTTTTCTAGGAATTAAGTAAACATTTAACTGTATTGTGTATAGTATAAAAAGTAATTAATAAGATGAATGGTTCATTTCGTTTAAAACGTTATTAAGAACCTGGCCATGTGATAGCATATTGAGAGAGAGAGCAGACACTCCCCACTCTTGGCTGTCCCAGGGCATTTGAGCACTGATAGAGTTCACCATTAAGTCAGTATTCCAGTACCGTAAATTTCCAACTGTGAACAATTCTTATGGTTATTTTATGCCACTTAAAGATAATTTTGTTTGTCTCTGTCTGTTGTAATATAATACTATAATAAGGAATAGTATTTTGTCAGAACTCAAAAGTGTACCAATCACTAACTTAGACGTCATCACCAAAAACCAAGCTATTCATAGTGAAGAATTTTTTTTTAAAGTCAGAGACTAATTACTTACTTAGTGATTTTTAATCGTACAGTAGTATTTGTACAACCACTAGTTTGTCTTGCTTCTTTAACACGTTTCCATGCACGAAGTGCTGAAGTCAACAATCCTTTTTCATAAGCTTCTGCATGATTTCTTGCACGACGCATTAAACTACAAAATATAAATGACAAATACAGGAAAGTTAGTCTACAAAAATTAAGTCCTCCTGACTCTTTCAAACTTACTTACTTACGCCTGTTACTCCCAATGGAGCATAGACCGCCGACGAGCATTCTCCAACCCACTCTCTCCTGAGTCTTCCTTTCTAATTCTGTTCAATTTTTGTTCATTCTTCTCATGTCTGTCTCCATTTCTCGGCGTAATGTGTTCTTTGGTCTTCCTCTTCTTCTTTGGCCTTCAGGATTCCATGTGAGGGTTTGTCTTGTGACATCTTTCATATTATAAGCCCTGATATCAAAACGAGAGGACTGACAATAGTCTGGTGACATCAGTAGGCTGACTTTTCCTAAATACGAACATATCTAAACAGTGAGCACCTACTGTTCTACATGTTAAAAAGATTAGGACTTTGAAGTCTCAAACAAAGAATGTTACCTTTAAACCAATAAATCGAATTCCAGTGAGAGAAATGTAATAAACTCTTCACAACATGTTGGACTACCGATATCAAAATCCCTTCTCCATACAATGATTTAAGTACCACAGAGAACTTTCCTTTGAAAACAGAGGGGGAAAGTTGTTGTTCAGTAAATATATATATTTTTTCATGGTTAAACTCATGAGCTGATTAAAGCTAGAACACCATGGGAAACCTGGAAGCACTGGACGGTCGTCTCTTCCTTGTATGAGACTCCTCAACAGGGCGTATCCACGATTCCACACATTTGACTCGAACCTAGAACCTTCGGTGTCGCGCGCAAACGCTTAACCTCTACATCACTGATCTGGAATCCAACGGTTTTAATGTCTAACTTCAACCAATCCACGAATCGTCAGCATAAAAGTTCCAATGAAAATATACATAAAATGATAGAAAATAATGTAGATTTACCCAATTTCATGATAATAATCTTCAATACGATAATCCATATCTGATAGTTCATCTTGACTTAAAATATTCTGAAAAGTTCAGAGAAATAGAGGAGGAGATTTATAGTTAACAAAAAGTTTGAAAACAAATTAATATCAAACAAAGTTCTGAACATATTCAACAGATTTTACCACCAGTGCTTCCACGTTTTCCCTAATGGTCTATCTTTAATCGACTAATGCTTTCAACTATGAAAATACAAAATCTCCACAGAAAACCCCTTCTGATAATAATAATCATATGCTCACTAGTGACTGACTTCGAGAGCGGAATCCAGGAGTTCTAGTGAGAAACAGTAACCAGTGGAGTTTATATCACGTCTGTTGTGAGATAGGAACTCACTGAAATCAATTGGTGAACGGTTGTTCAACTTCGTGGATTGGTTGAAGTTAGACATAAACACTATCGGTTGCCACTTCAGTGGTCTGGCGCGAGACTGGTAAGTTCTGGGTTCGGATCTTGCGAGTTGAGGCCGGGGATGCACCCTAGTGAGGAGTCCCACAGTAGGACGAAACGGCCGTTTAATGATTCCAGGTTTTTCACGGTGGTCTGGCTTTAATTGAATCACGCTTTCAACTATGAAGCAAATAATCTTCATTCTTATCTTCTATATTAAGTAATTTGTTTCTTCTTCCTCTTTCTTATGTTTGTCTTCAACTTTTCAAACTCACCTTCATCGAAGATTGGATTGAGTCATGTAAGTAGATGTAAACTAATTGGCTAGGGTCCACTTGATTATCGTAATCAATAGTTGGAGATTTTAAGTGATATAGCTGAAAATCATATGCAATGGTGTAGGTGTATTTACTTTTTATCTTCCGTTGTGTCCTAAGTCTCCTAATTCATCGTAAAAGTTTACTAACTAATTTACATTCTCTCGAATTGTATCTTGGATGCCTAATCTTTCCAATTGCTAATAATGTTGATACTACATCTACTACTCCGCGATTCGCCCTGACAATTTCATTTCGCTGTGCTAATGGAGTATAGCGACTTGAACAAATGTAGACATGTCCCATGTTCTTCATCAATTTTGACTAACTAACTAACTACTTCACTGATAAGAATCTCCGAAATTTACAATTAATTCATTGTATCCTGCAAATCTCATTGTTCTTGTTTTACTTAAATATAATTTTAATAGTTGACATCATGAGTCAATTGAAAGTAGACCACTATGCAAAACCTGGAAGCGCTTGACGGACGTTTCGTTCTATTGTGGGGCTCCTCAGTAGTGCGCGTCTACTATTCCATCACCAGTTTGTGTGATAAGGTCCATACAAAGTTGACACTAATACTTTTGTCTAGAATAACAGTTAGATGATCGTTATTAAATGATTAACTTAAGTTTAATCATTACTCCTAATCTTAGACATACAACAATAATACGAAGAAAACAATCAAATCATGGATCATGAAACACTCATCTTAAAGTGTGTATTCAATCATTAAGCTTAGCTAAATGACTACACAGTACAACAGAATATGCTTAATACTAATTTGATGGTAATCTTCAATACGAACGTCAAGATAGTTCTACTGTACGGAGATGAAACGTGGAGAACTACTAAATCCATTGTCAAGAAGGTACGACTGTTTATAAACAGTTGTCTACGTTAAATACCTAACATTCACTGGCCGGATAGTATCAACAACAGCGTTTTATGGGAGAGGACAAACCAGCTTCCAGCTGAAGAGAAAATTAGGAATAGACGTTGAAGGTGAAATGGACATACATTGAGGAAATCAACAAACTGCATCACGAGGCAAGCACTAACTTGGAGTCTAATTGTATAATAATTAGTCTCTTGATATAACCTAACCATCTCCCTATACAACAATACCAGTGAAAATATTTACATTTACTGACATCATTCATTTGAATATCCCATAAAAAGGAACTTACTGCATTATTATTTCGTTTTGTTTCAAGTTGTCTCAATGCTCGTTTCAAGGCACTAATCTAAAAAGAAGATATTGAACAACAACTCAGATAATCAAATAATATTGTGGTGTATGCTACTGATGTTGACAGATATAAGTAGTATGTATTATCAATCAAAAGTGAAATGCCTGGTGCCCGAAGGTTTAGATGATAAATTAAATAAGAATGAGAACAGAGACTAATTGGTGTGGAAATGAAGGAACAGTCTAGTCTGAGATGATTGATTGACATTATGCAGATGAAGTATTTATTGTATGGTTCTCACATTTTACTAAGAGGTCCTGTAATTCTGTATTGAAATACATTCGATTGTCCCTATTGGTCGCTTGCTGGCATACATGCATCCTATGTGGACTGCCTTATAAGCAATCATGGACAGTGGCTAGCAGTGGAATCCAGTTTGACGCGCGTTTCGTCCTATTTGGGACTCGTCAGCTGGATGTACCTGTATCTCAGACTCGTTGATGTTCACTCTGCGACTCGCACCCAGTACCTTTCGCTTTGAACGCCATTGCGTTATCCACTCAGATACGGAATCCTAATAGCCACTCGCTTGTGTGATGGGGTTGCAGTCCTAAACATCAATGGGAATATTCAAACAAACATTACTAAATGAATTAAAAGAATAATAAAGTTTAAGTGATTAAAAGCATTCGACAGAAAGCTATGAATACCATCTTCATACTGAGAGGCATTTGTTAGCAAAATGTATAATAGAAATTTTGAATCTATGTTTTCTAGTCCCAATCTCAAGGAAGCCATCATAGAGTTATGCGGTCTGTAACTAGTATTTGATAAGACTAAGTAAATCCAATAACTGGTCACTTAACCAGTGTTATAAACAAATCCTGCTGATCTAGTTTTGAATTGGTCACTGACCATAGTGTTTTCTACCGAAGCGATTAATGAATGGTAACTTTGAGAACTATTTGTGGACTAATATGATACGCATATTGCCTATTGTATAATTGTTAAGTAACTAAACTATTCATATTCGTGTTCCTCTTATCATAAGCTTTATTTTGACCTACAGACTATTACTGTACGATTTACTATTCCTGAGTTATACCCAGTCTATTAATTACTACACCCCCTATTCACAGCCACATTAGGCCAAATCTTGTACAAATGTTATTTTCTATTTTACTGGTACGATGTGGTCAGTCTGTTTGGTATATAAACTCAATTTGTTTGAAATACAAGGATTCATACCGCTGAGGCTGTTATTGGTGTTCTGAACTTAACTGGATGGGCTAGGCAGAAAGCAGGACCGTCAAGTACTTTGGACTGCTAATTTGGTTTTCGTGTATCATTGGTATGATCGTTAATTCACTCCTAATTTATTGGCGGTCTCATAACGTCATATAATAAAAGAGCACGCAATCGCTCGATATAACACATAGTAGATTCAAGATCATGATGCATTTTATTTTAGTTATATAGTTGGAATACGATAACCATGACGCTTATGTTTAATGTAATCAACTTCTCCATAACCGATAGGTCATTTAATTGTTGTCAATCACTGAATAACGTCCAGTGGAAAAGTGTTGGATATGATATTGATATTACAAGTTATAGGCATAATTTAGTCTAAATAGAGGATAACTAATATGCATAGTTGTGGATGCTCATTGCCAAGGAAAAATCCCACAATAGGACGAAATAGCTGTACAGTGCTTTCAGATTTACCATAGTGGTCTAGCTTCAATTGACTCATGATTTCAACTATGAGAAAAAAGATTTCTGAAATTATAATTTTTGAATGACTTAAGATTTTCTTATATGAAAGCTGTGACACTTACTTTTTCAAAACACTTTCTCTTCAATCAGTAATAAATCCTTTGTCTATTTCGATTAAGCTTATCGGAATCGAATTATTGATGTTCGAAAGGAATTTGGATACAAATCTCTTTTATCGCGAATTTTGATGCCTTTGTTAAACTTCATACAAGTGAGCCGTATGTTGATAATAAACTGTGGTGTTTTAAGGATTATAAGAGAGACGATTTGATGAGACGCTTATAGACTCTGCCAGGCAAAACCTACTCATTGCCTTCTCGCAGCAGGGGTATTGTTTATGAAACTGACAGGACGAAAAGCCAATGTTCGACGCTCTAATCGGGTTGGTGGACACGAAAAGTCTATCTAGGGAAGTTGGAAAACCCTGATTCTAAATCAGTGGTGCACATGGGCTCTAGTATCCTGAGGAAACAAATGGCGTATGAATCAATTGTTGGTCACCGGCTACCATGGGACTTCATCTCTTTACAATGCTATACTGACTTGTGGGTCAAACGATTAGATCAAGTGCTCTGGGTGTGGCTCCTCAAGAAAACCACCAGTTTCGGTCTGAGCACCTAAGTAGTATCGCAGCCCTCACACAAATCAAATGAAATTTGTGTGGCGCATATATATCTGGTGGCCCCTTGTACAATATTTATATGTTCAAATAATAATTAAAGGAATGATTAGTAGCTTACGAAGTTGTTGTTCGTACAGGAAAGTAACTAACTAACTATATTGTATAAATATCATTAGTCTCAACTACATCAATAACCTATTTGTGATCTACGTAATTTCGTAAGCGTAAATGGGCGTTGATAGTTGATTCGCTGATTCAATGAATTTCAATGTTGATTCGTCGACCAATGATACCATTTGTCGTGAGCAGATTTTCAGATTTCTATGATTTGTACTTAACTACTTACATCAGTTAGTAGTATATATTAATAAAGTAAATTTTGGGAATAGTTTTGGTTTCGAGGGTTTTGCTGTAATGGTAAAAAGTCGTTCCATTTGATGATAATCTTTTTTTAAATATATAAAACGACTTTTCTAATATTCGGTGTTATCAATACCCTAAGTAAAACTATGCATAATTTTATATAAGAAATCAATTCAATGATTGATACAGTTGAATGCGCACCGCTGAAGTTTCCCACAATAGGACGAAACGGCCATTCAATTCTTCCAGGTTTTCTTTGGTGGTCTAGCTTCAATCGACTTATGCTTTCAACTATGATACAGTTGTACTTCGTTAGTCAGTATGATCCTCTTTAAGACAAATATACTGATTTGGTGCTTATTATATCAAATACAATAAAACATCATGATATATTTGAAACGTACGTTCTACAGAAAGAAAAAAACTAAACACGAAAGTACTATTCAAAGAAAATATGCTAACGATAACTTTGATGTTGACAGTGAATCGTTAACCAGGGGAAACGTACACTCTAAAGATATTACATAATAAGATAGTTTGATTACATCACGAACAAGGATCAAGGCCAAAGACAACAGGGCGAGACTATAATTTATGGACGAACTTTGAACGAATCTTGAATGGCTATGAAAAATGTTAGCCAATCAGTAAGCAACCAGCATAGAGTAAAAATATATCATACTAAACCAAAGGATTAAAGTGAATACTTTTTTTTATATGGTCCAAAAACTTGTCAATGTTAGTAAGAGGTTCATCCATATGGCTCCATAATAGTAGATCTCTGGAGCCATGATTAGGTCGCAAAAACCTTCTCAGTCTCGACCGCATAGCTTCAGTATTGTTTGTATGTACTCCGGTTGTGTAAGTTTATCATTTTTATTATGGAAATGTCCCTGCATTACTGATACCACTGAACAGCTGAAGCTTCAGTAGCATCTGCAAATACTGCAGCCAATGTTAATGGTGCTTTAATCATACAGTTGGCGGCAATTATTACAATATGCCTTAGTCTTAATCTGGATCGAGCGACAAAGGTTCCTATTCTAGCAGACGTATTCCTTCAACATATATTACATCGAAGGACAACATCAGAGTAGTCTGCACAAGGTCTATAAGTCATTTAATACCCACAATTACAAATAAAAGAACTTCGTAGTAGTCTCATTTGTTGTAGCCGCTTAATTATCACGTCTTCTCTAAAATCCTCTGTGAACCGAACAGGTACTGAAATCAGCGCTATGACCTTAAAATCCCTCAAACACTTCTGATTGGGTCGTCCATAAATTATAGTCTCGCCCCAAGGACTTCTTAGATTCTATAGAAACCGTATATTTTCTGTACATAAAATGAACCTTTGAAGTAAAGTGCTTCTCATATATTTTGAACTTTTTCTCTCATGTTCAAATCGCTGTGTAGTTCTAACTTGGGGGGGGGGTGGTTTACAAGACTAGCTTAGGATCCGAGTATAGCGTTCAATTAGCAAAACTTATCATCATCGAACATAAAAGTCTTGGAATTTTGATTTTCGATTTCAGTGAACGTATGGATGAGGATAGATGACATATCACATACTTATACCAAAATGAACTTACTCGTTGAATACATGCATTTACTTGATCTTTCGATAATGTTAATTCATATGCTTGAATAATTTGACGTAAATTTTGTGTATAAACATGTTCTAAACTAAATAATGGATGATAATCAAATATAATACGTTGAATATTCACATATAAACGATATTCAACATTATTATTATTATCATGATTGAATGAACTAATATGTTTATATTGTGATAAAGATGTTAAAGCATTTTGTGTTGTTAAACCTTTTGATTCCATATTGAATAGATTCTGTATCATTTCAAATGACATTGGCTTTAAAACAAAGAAAAAAAGAAGATTTGATTAGAATCAAAGTTAATTATAGTAAAGATGGATAGTGGTTAGCAATCGAATCCAGTTTAACTCTCATTTCGTCCTATTTGGGACTTATCAGTTGGATGTACCTGCATCTCAGAGTTGATGTGTTACTTTTGGACTTGAACCAAGTACGGTTTGCTTCAAACACCATCGCGTTATCTACTCAACTATTGGGTTCGAGTACCAGAGTGAACATTAACGGGTCTGAGATGTAGGTACATCCAGCTGATGAGTCTCAAATAGGATGAAACGTACGTTAAACTAGATTCTACTGCTAGTAACTATCCATCTTAGCTTACAATGTTTGTGAATTAAGTCTATATCGAGTCAATACGCACAGTATGCACATATGGTCAATGAGAGACTGATCAATTGTAGTCCTAAACATCAACGGGAAGATTCAATCAAACAATATCAAATGAATTTAATTAATACAATAGTTTATAACCTACACTATCCAATGCTTCTTGGTTTCCAAGGTTTCTCCTATTGAGATTAGTCGATAATGTTAATAATTAAGTCAATCAGTCAGTCAGCTACAACGTAGGACCCTAATCAAATAGTCTGCATCTATCAACATGGCTTAGATTAAAAGTTAGTGACTTCAATCACTGATGTCACATTTTGGTTTGACCACCCTTAACTGTAACTCCACCTGTAGCTGTTATAGAGTTACTACCGGTCCCAAGCCCGGGTAAAGGAGAAGGGTTGGGCATGGGGTTAGCGACCCCATCCTGTAGAAAACTAACTCGCTGAGAAAACGCTGATCAGAACTGGTGGGCGGCTTATGCTCCTCCACGAGGGGTAACAGATGTAAGTAAAGTAGTAACCCTTAACTGTTAATAATTAAAATAATTATTAGTATACAGTATATGTATTTATACTATTCTCTTCTTCAATATTACTATACATACTTACATGTACATAAAATATTTGTAATTTTTCAGGTAATGGATTAAATTGATCATCCCATAAAGGTGGTCTTGATGGAATATTACGTAATGGATTTGATTGTAAATCAAGTGAACCATCTTCACGAAACCATGACTAATAATATAAGAAAATAAAATGATTAATAATAAATATTATACAAATTTGAAATATTTCAATAGTTGAGATCATGAATCAATTGAAGCTAGACCATCATAAAAAACTTGAAAGCACTGGGCTGCAATTTCGTCCTATTGTGGGACTCCTCCTCAAAAGTGTGTATCCATGATCTCACCTCGCAAGATTCAAAATCAGGACGTATCAGTTCGAATCTCGTGAGGCGGGATCGTATCTGCGTACTGCCAAGGAGAAGTCCCATAATAGGACGAAATGGCCGTTATGGGTTAAAAAGAATGATTAAAAACTTCAGAAGATGGTGGTCGTAGTTAGTAAACAGGAAACCCTAGATCTAGAGATTTCATGATAGAACTTGACATATATAACATTGATCACCATCTAATAATCAATCAATTGTTAAAATTTCATCGTTAAGATGGACTAATAGTTGAGGAAATTGAGAAAACTCCTCGAAAAAAAACAAAAATAGGCTCTGAAATTGCTGAAAAGCATCTTATCTAATCACCATTCATTGGACGTTCCGCCAGATTCATCTAGAAAGTGAAAAGTCACATGTTGCGTTTCTGATTGGATGATTACCTATACTGCTACTATGTTTAGTAGCGTTTCTAAAAGCTTCGGAAGCCGAAGGCCATCTAAAATACTATAAATACCCTAGATTTTATGTACATAAACGAACTTTTGGAGTTAAGCCTTTCTTCCATATTTCGAGCATTTTCTCCCGTCTTCCAGCTGCTGTGTAGATTTAGCCTGAAAATTACTAGAAGGGCATAGGAACGGAATCTAGCATTCAATCGAAAGACCTATCATGTATTCATTCAAATAACCTTGAAGGCTTCAATATAGATCTTAACTGTTGTGATGAACATTTTGTGACTGATGAAATCCGATAGTAGTAAGATCGAAAGATTTTTCACCAATTGTACTAGTTGGTCATCTCAACTTAATCCAAAATGATTGAATATGGATTAGTTAGGCTATAATTAATAAGTCTATATCGAGGCAATACGCACAGTATGCACATATGGTCAATAAGAGACTGATCAGTTGCAGTCCTAAACATCAATAGGAAGATTCAAACAAACAATACTAAGTGAATTTAAACTTCACCTCATTGCACAAGCAAGTGGCTATCAGGACTCAGTAGCTGAATGAATAACGCGATGGCGTTTGAAGCGAAAGGTACCGGGTTCGAGTGAACCTCAACTCTGAGATACAGATACATCCAGCTGATGTGTCCCAAATAGGACGAAACGCGCGTCCTGGATTCTATTGTTATCTACTATCCATCTTTACTTATAATGCTTTTGAATTAAGGCTATAGAGAGGCGATACGCACAGTATGCACATATGCCAAAAAGAGACTAATCAAATGCTTTGTATGGGACTTGAATCGTTATCACAGTCTGAGACGTAACCAATGAGTAAGTTTCACAACGGATGACTACCTATAGAACTGAGATAGTTACAACTGATTAATTACTGAATAGTGATCAATTAAATGTCTATATGGTCCTTTAGTTCCGATCTATTCCCAACTCTGAGATACAGATACATCCAGCTGACGAGTCCCAAATAGGACGAAACACGCGTCAAACTGGATTCCACTGCTAGCCACTATCCATCTTTGCTTACATGGATTAATTGTTTCAAATGAAACAGGTTTACCATGAAAACAAATGAGTTTACTAATTTTGATTCCATCTACTTATACTAAGTACATACTACTTAAATAGAATAGATTGTACAGGGTTCAATCAGTTACCTGAATCTTCAATCGTTTTTTACTTTCTAGTTCCGGATCTTGTATAGTTCCATTGAGTAATTGAATATCAGCTGTATGGAAATCACTGATAGATTTTAATCCATATACATCCATTTGAATTTGTTTTAAAATACGATTTTCCAAACGACGTAAATTTGTTGGAGCTACATATGGTTGTTTACCAATATAATAACCTTCATCTTCTAAGTATCGTGGTAGTTTACCGCCAGTTTTTAAATCAAGAGGTACTGGAATGAAATACAGGAATGAAATCATTCATAAAGTCAGACTCAAACATTTTGAACGATTATATAAGGTTCAGTAAAGAAGTTGATTATATTATGATCAGTGTTTAACAGTAGAATTAGGAACAAGGGTTTTCTACTTCGGAACTTATCAATTTTTTTATATATAGTTGAAATCATGAGTCGATTGAAGCTAGACCACCATCGAAAACCTGGGAGTACTGAACGGCCGTTTCGTCTTACTGCTGGACTCCTTTTCAGCAGTGCTCATCCACGATCCCACCTCGCGAGATTCGAACCTAGGACCTATCAGTGTTGCGCGCGACCGCTTAACCTCTAGATCAATTAGCCATCCAGCATCCAAGTATATTAGTGTCTAACTTCAACCGTCTACCATTGTGTTACTATCTCACAACAGACCCAATTGAACTCCATCGGTTATTATTATCCTATTTACTAAATTCAACATCCAAATATGATTGGTTCAACATAGTATAGATTTTGATATGATAGTTAAAGCAACGTTATATAAATCTTTGATCACTTTGATCATGTTTATCACGCTGAAGATGTCCAGGCAAGTTAAATGGACGAAACATTCTGATGTTGATAAATATTCATATAAAAAAAGATTATTCAATGACGTACCTTCTATATCAGTTGGATTGTATAAAAATTTGGATTCATATTTAATTCTTTCATGATTAGATAAATAGGATGATCGACCAAATAATAAAAGATCATTTTTTGTTCTTTCAACAAGCTCTAAAAGTGGTTGATTTTCTTGATTTGTCTAAATGAATGTAAAAAATGTTAGAAGGGGTTTTGTGGATATTATATAATAATTTCAATAGTTGAGATCAGTGGTTCTAGAAGTTAAGCGCTCGTGAGTGAAACTGTTAGGTCATGGGTTCGAATCTCGCGAAGCGGGATCGTGGATGAGCACTGCCAAGGTGGATCCCCCTAATAGGACGAAACGGTCGTCCATTGCTTATAGGTTTTCTATAGTGGTCTAGATTCAATTGATTCATGATCTGAACTATTGAAATTAATGCACAATTTATAGTAAATAATTTTTTTCTGGTTAGCGTTTTTTCAGCACGTTGGTTTTCTACGAGATGGGGTAGCTAACCCCATGCCCAGCCCTCCTCCCTTACCCGGGCTTGGAAACGGCAGTAGCCCCCGGAGGAGCTACAGGTGGAGACACGAGAAGAATGAACAAAGCTGTATAGAACTAGAAAGGAAAGCCCGGAGGAGAGTGAGTTGGAGAATGCTGTTTGGCGGCCTATGCTCCATTGGGAGCAATAGGCGTAAGTAAGTAAGTAAATAATAATAAAATAAATATGGAATTGGTAAGTAGTAAAAAGGAAAATAAAGTTGAAAATGGCCTGCTTGAATATCTGAGCTACCTTTTCCTACTATTTAGATATTTCAATAAGTTATCTATTTCCTTATTTGTTATAATAGATCACTATATATGTCAATTAATTGTATAACTTGTTTAGATATAGATTTCAGTATTTACATAGTTGAAATCATGAGTCAATTGAAACTAGAAACCCCCTCTGATCTATAATCATATGCTCACTAGTGACTGACTTCAAGAGATATTTCCTTGAGTTCTAGTCGGAAGCAGTGGCCAGTGGAGTTCTACCAAGTTTGTTGTAGAGATATCAACTCACTGAAGACAATTGGTGAACGGTCGCTCAAAATCGTGGATTGGTTGAAGTTAGACATTAACACTGTTGGATACCGGCTCAGTGGTCTATCGGTTAAGACTCGAGACTGGTAGGTCCTGTGTTCGAATTTCGCGAGTGCGGGAATGTGGATGCGCACTGCTGAGGAGTCCTATAGTAGGACGAAACGGCCGTCCAGTGCTTCCAGGTTTCCGATGGTGGTCTAGCTTTAATTGACTCATGAATTCAACTGTGAAAATATTATTTAGATGAGTTTGTGAAAAGTTTACAACTGTTCTCGGTATAAATCATAAAAAATGTACAATTGGAGATATCTTGATTGATAGCTCAGTGGTCTAGAAGTTAAGCGCTTATGCGTGAGATTGAATATTCAGGACTTTAATCATACTGCTAGGGTATCTAAATCGAAACAGATAGTTTTCTTAGAGAGCCACACGGAGACCCTTAGAACTAAAGGTATGATCCATAAGGTAGTGGAGAAACGTTAGGAGATGCAGTCTCATGGTAGCCAGTGACCAAAAACAGGTTCACATGCCATTCGTCCCTTCGGGATCCTGGAGCCCATGTACACTAGAGTGTGGTTGACTTGTCGTTGTGTGAGAGTGTCTTCGTGTGCGTGTGTGTATATGCGTATTCGTGCGCGAGTGCGTGAGTGGGACGAATGGGTCACGACGAATGTGTGTTGTTGTGCCATAGGTGGATTGTTCGAGTAAGTTGCAGTGGTTGGCAGCTGTATGTTCCGGTTTCCCGTTATCATCGTTGTGATCAGTCAGTGATTCGAGTTCGGTGTTGGAAGCGTCGGTTCGCTGATCATCAGAGTTGATGTGTGTGTGTTGTGATGTGTAATAGTTGTTTTACTGTGGTATATGTTTGTGACATAGTAGAGTAGGTGAGGATTGTGTGTTATGTGTAGGTGTTTATGTTTGTGGTAGTTGGTTGTTGTGTGGGCCGAGGTGTATGTGAGCGTCGAGACGTCCGCCCGCATGGCCTAAATGATAAGGCATCTGCCTCCTAAGTAGAAGATTGCGGGTTCATTTTGTGGACATACGAAATTCGGAATCTCACCGAACCACTCCACATCCACTGCACGTCAGTATCAATCGTCAGACGGATCACTGACTGCTTCTGTCTGGTCCATGGAATAGGAGCGGAGGCTCCGATCAGTCGACACACACCAACTCGCAGTCAGTCCATATTCCTTCACGTACAGTACAGTACAAAACAGAAAAAATAATAATTTATTAATACTAATGATCTAATAATTACCTCCATTGAATTATCTTCCATATTTGATTGTATTATCTTTGATGAATGACTTTTAAAACGTTTACCTTTTAACACTTTCGATTGTGGTTCATTCATTGTTAATTGTTTGGATTTTGATATTGAACCCATATTATAAGTAGTATCATTTTGTTTTGAATTATCATACCATTCTTTGGTGAAAAATTCATCATTATTTATTTGATTGAAATTTTCATTTCCTTTTAAATCACTTAAACTTAACTATTTATAGAAGAAAAACAAACAAACAAAGAAACCAATAATCAAGTAAACAAACAACAAAAGTCCCAGAGTGAACATCAACGGGTCTGAGATGCAGTTACATCCAGCTGACGAGTCCCAAATAGGACGAAACGCACGTCAAACTGGATTCCACTGTTAGCCACTATCCATCTTTGCTTAATATGTTTGTGAATTTAGGCTATATCGAGGCAGTACGCACAGTATGCACATATGCCAATTAGAGACTGACCAGTTGCAGTCCTAACACATCGATGGGAAGATTCAAACAAGCAATACTAAATGAATTTAAACAAATTAATGTTACTGGATAAAGATAGATAGTGGCTAGTAATGGAATCCAGGAAATACTTCATGTAGCCAATCACTAGGTGAGCATATGATCATTATCAGAAGGGGGGGTTGTGTAGATTTTAGTAATTTAATAAAGTTGAAATCATAATCTCGTCAGGCGGGATCGTGGATGCACACTTCCAAGGAGGAGTTCCACAATAGGATGAAACGGCCGTCCAATGCTTCCAGGTTTTCCATGGTGGTCTAGCTTCAATTGACTTATGAATTCAATTATATAAGATTACTAAAATCTCCGCAAAACCTCTTCTGATGAATAAGGTTAATAAATTAAAAGAGTTATTTGAATGACATTAATGATCAGCATATAGTGTTATATCCTACTGAAGATTAAATTAAGGGTAACTTCCGGGACCTATTAATGGACAATTATTCTATATATATTCTTAATGTTTAACTACCGAGTAATTAGATTGTGTATATCTACATTCATCTTATTATAAGCTTCATTTTGACCTATCGATTATTATTGTACGAGTTACCATCCCTAAATTATACCCAGTTTATTGATTACTGTATCCCATGTTCACAGCCACATTTGGCTTGATCTTGTACAAATATTATTTTCTATTTTATGGTGTGATGCGGTCTGTCTGTTTGGTATATAAACTGACTATGCTTGAAATAAATGATTCGTATAGCAGATGTAATTGGTGTTCTGAACTCAATTGGAAGGGCCAGGCGGACAAAGAGCCAATAAGGACACTGGGCTGCTCATACAGGTCTAACGTCATTGATTTGGCACAGTGTTAAGATTGGGAAAGTCGTATTCCGATTGGCGGATAATTCACGTGATAAAAAATCGGGCATAAATTTACAACGCATACTAATTATATCGGGAGACAAAAGTAGCATACATTATACATGCATATTTAAGCACAGGTTACATAGTAAAGTGTGTAAGAAAACAACCACTAAAAACTAGAGAATATGAAACATCTATTTACACTTAAGATCTCAAATATGATCGATTATGGGGTCTTTATATCTTATGATATGTGAAATAGTATTTAACTACTAAGTTGATATCTAATACCTGAATTTATAAACTATCTATCAACTATGTCTAATTGTCCTTACTCAAAATCAATAAATGGATAGCTTCTTTTAGTTTTGTTTAATTATTCCGTCATATTCACTTGGTATTGTTTCTCTGAATCTTTCCATTGATGTTTAGGACTGCAATTGATTAGTCTCTTATTGGCATATATGCATGCTGCACGTATTGCCTCGATATAGCCTTAATTCACAAGCATTATATACAAAAATGTATAGTGGCTAGCAGTGAAATCGAGGACGCCCATTTTGTTTCAGTAGCTAAGTGGATAAAGCGATGACGTTTAAAGAGAAAGGTACTGGGTTTGAGTCCCAAAGTGAACATCAACTCTGAGATTCAGGTACATCCAGCTGACGAGTCCCAAATAGGATTTCACTGCTAGCCGCTGTCCATCTTTGCATATTATTCTGTCATATGCCTAAAAACTCAAAACATGGAATTCGAAAGCCTATTACTCTAATCTGAGACCCATAAAAGCTACACAGAAAGTTTACCTCTATGATATTCTTAATTTTACATCAAAGTGATCTTAATTACTTCACTAAAGTTGGAATCTATCAAATTAAAAAAAATAATTTGATAGAAATTTACCTACATCAGGACTTGTTGATAATTCACCTAATCCTGTACTTCTACGTAACCGTTGCATTCTTTCAGGTAATGGATAATATGGTTTTGATTTAACAAGTTGTTTTGACTGTTCATATTTCATTAATGGTGATATTGAAATTGGTTGATTCTTCTTTTGAACAATTTTATCTTTCTAAATTCAAAGTATATAAAATGAGTTGTATAAATCTTGAAGAGTTTAGTTCAGTTTGAAGAATGATTGTTTCTAATTTTAGTCTTATAGGGGCTAAAATGGTATGAACTTCTCAACAGTTTATACAAAGGCATATGTGAAAATGAATCCAGAGTCTTCATTGCTCGTACCAAGCACAATAATTATTGATAAACTTATTGGATTTCGATTAGTTAGTCAGTCAGCTACAATGCATCGGTCCAAGTTGCCATACCTTGTTAGATAAAAAGTGTATACACCTGCGCCAATGTGATCGATTCTGAGCCATGTCACCTAGAGTCTCCAACCATTGGTTACGATAGTCGCGCGGACCCCGAAATGAATTAATTTCTAATCTTGATAAAAGACGACGAGACTCTAATTCATGAACGACCTTTGAAAGAATCTTAATTGACCCTGAGAAATTTCAGCCAATCACAAAGCAGTCGACATAGGGTAAGGACAACGATACAATGCACGTAGCCAAGTCTAGATAGGCAGAGATATACTCTCCAGTCATCCGTGTATATCTTGGTAACCAGATGCACATACTCTCGTTTAATTGGTATTATAGTGTTCCTTTTGAGGTGATCTATCATATAAACCAACAACCTCCAAAGTATATTTAAAGAAGTTCTACCTACCCAGTCTTCCTGAACATTTCTCACTCTATTGAATTTGCATAATCTAACGATGGTTTTGTCGATTTCCAAGTCTCCTGCTTCCTGCAGAAGACTAATACAAGCTTATCATTTTCACTGTACATATGTCTCGAGAGTACTCATACGACTGAAATGCCGAGGCTTCACTAACATCTGTAAACGTGGCAGCCAGTGTTACTGGTGCTTTTATTATCTAATTAGCAACAATCATCATAATCCGTCTTAGTGTCAATCGGTATCGAGCGAAAAAAAAACCTACATCATATATTACATTGAAATACAACATGGTCACAATAGTCTGCACAGTGTACAGAAGTCATTTGAACACCACAGTCACAAAAAAAGAACTCAGTAATCTCATCTATTGTAGCCACTCAATTATAATGTGCGTAAGAAATGAGTATAGAATAGGTGTTGTGACCTTGAAATCGCTCACTGACTCGTGATTGGCTCGTCCATAAACTGTAGTCTCACCTGAAAGACTATTCAGTACACTTCGGTGACCAATCCTTTTCCAACATACGTTAGTTCATGATAGTAACTTAACTTAAGTGAATAACTAGAAAGGATATTAAAGGATAAGAACTAGAAGTTTCAATTTTGAATAGCCCTCAGTTTCAATATGCATGAATCCATAGATAACAATAGGTTGTTTAAACTAGTGAAAAGTTCAATCGAATTGTCATCCATGTGTAAAGTTAAAAAAGTGTTTATTAGATCAAAAGTTGTCCAACATATAACACAATAGTGTGATGAGTTTTGGAACCTTTAAAGTTCCAATCATTAAAATAGACTATTTACAAATTAGAATAAGATCAACTTACAGTCTCTTCTTCCACTATACTTCTTCGTTTATCAATGGAACGTTGTTTTATTTCAACTGGAGGAACTATTTTACATGGATCAAACAAAAAAATAAATGATGTGAGTCTTTAATAATGTCTCACTGCGTGATGAAAAACCTAAGGAATACTGCCAAAATATATTTCGTAATGGATGACCACTTACTAAATAAAACCCTAAGATGTACAAAGACAAATAAATAGTGACTAAGAACTGACAGATCTTTAGTTCCCGTTTTTGTTACTGGGCGATCCCATAGGTGATATAATTATCACTTGGATCTATAGAGTTGGTTGTTATGGTAAGCCCACACAGCTTATTCAAGGTTTCGGACAGACCAGTTTACTCATTCTTCTTGACTCATATTTTGATCTTGCTAATTATTCGCTTATCAACCTTGACTGTTTCTATATTAGCGTATGTGTGTGCACTTCTTATCTTACCCATCACATATCTGCAGCTTATTTTTGTTCGACCATAAGAGCAATCCACACTTGGCTAAATTGAATTGGTTCATCCGTCTTCTCCATTGCACGTAATTTTGTTTTTTGCTTTGCTTTCCGATCAACGATTGTAAGAAATAGACACTATCGTATTTGACTTATTTAATTCCGTTATTTACTAACGTGATTTATATACAAGGATTGGTGGCATATATATTTCGACAGCAATCATTCATGCCATCTGATTGGAGTCAGATCGAGGACCACAGAAGATCATCATAGGCAGCTATTTAAAACGCTTCAAATTTGTTGTTTATCGCTATAGCATCGAGTGATATTTGCTTAAATCTTTGACAAAAGATTATTTTTTCATTGGAATTTAGATATGTCTGGCTAATATGTGTTAAAACTAAGTTAAAAAACACTTCTTTTTGAATAGTTATGACGTTCATGAATTCTTCACATCAGGCTTCGATAGACATCATATTAACCAGAATACTTATTTTACTATAGTATAGCTACAGGTTAATAATATCAAGGTTCAACAGAAATATAACTTTCTTTTCTCGACATTTATCTGAAATGTTTACTAACATTTGAAGCAATATACACAAAAGATTTGTTGGTCTTAATGAAATTGTTCTGTAGATATTAATTTCTTATTAAACAACGATCACTTTATCTTTTATCCACAGTAATTACATTAATTTACGTTAAATACTATTTGCATCCAAAGTTATATAACATATTTTCATATATTCAGTTTGTTAATCTTTCATTCAAAACATAATCATCTAAACGATCTGCTCATTCATAAAACATCACTCATTGCCAGATGAATGGAAAGTACAAGGCGTAGTATACAATTCGTAAACCTAGTAGTGGTTAAAAGATATAGTAGCTTAGAAAAACAAGTTTATAGATCCTGAAAAAATGCTATAATTACATCCTTGGTGCATAACATTCAATTCTAGCAAAAACTGCTTTTACAGTTTAGTTAAAGGAAAAACACTTTACTGTACAGTGGACCTTGACAACTGGATCTAGATGTGAGCTTATAAGTGTAGTATATGTTATAGAAAAGCCATAAGTTAGTGATTCAACTATATCAAGAAGACAAAACTAAGGTAAAGATGACATACATCAGCTTTTGAAGGGCAATGTTAAATTTAATATGAGAAAACCTGTGAAAAATGAATAAACGAGTATATTCAGAACCCAGAATAAGCTATATGGGCTTGACACAGCAGCCGACACAACAGATATATCCTAAATATACAATCGATCCGCAGATACGATAAGGAATAACTCACTGGCTCCCGTAAAATTGGGGGAGTCAAAATCATGATGCACATTTAACGTGAACTTGAGAAGTTAACTGACCACTCTTAATACTCTCAGTAGCCATATCGCTTGAACGAATAGTTACAGGTTTCTTGGAACTCTTCTTTCTTTTTTTCGCAACAGGAGGCTTCGAAACAGTTGGTTCATCATTATTTGATTTTGTTACGTCTAGTTTTGTCTTTTCACTGTCTATGAAATCAGGAAACTGAAAATTAGTCCATAAAATATACAAACGTTTTCAATACAAACCTGACGAGACTTATGCTTATGTTTTGTTCTAAGGCTTGATTCAAGTACTCTCACTTCTTCGGGATCGGAATGAGAAGTATGCTTGCTAATAAGTATACGAAAATTTCAACATTTACCTGGTTATTTTTAACTGATTCGTCCATCGGTAATTTCAAAAACCTATTTAAAGCAGTGCTGAAAATATGTAAACTGACAACCACAACCTTGAAAAATATAAACAAACAATTTGAATACCTGAGATCATATTGTGATCCAAATAAATAAACAGCGTATTTTTTCAAGGCTTTGCGGACCAACTTGAGCTACTATTCTGCAAACACAAGTGGTTTATTGTGTATTTTGGTTTTTCGTAGACAATTGGCGGTACAATACTTCTCAAAATTTAGACTTTGTCCTCCGAAATTATTGAACTATAATTCTTTTGTGACCTTCCTTATGGTTCAAGATTTTTTCAGAGGAAAAGTAGGGCCAGTATCAAATTTTTCCACAACCGATGGGTAAAATAAGTTAGATATTAAAAATAGGGCTTGCGGGAGTAGATAAATCCCAAAATCAAATCAGTGTAAAGATAACACACCTGCATAATCTTATAAAACCGTTGTAATACATTCGTTGGACTAAGCCTCCGGTATATGTAACTTCACTGATTCGCCGTTTTCTGTACCAGAATCTCATAAACTGTTACGGAACGCCGTTAACTTCATGTGGCTTTTTGGTCCAACTACCTTTAAAACCGGAAGTTTCCAGTTCAGCATATCGAATTCTTGAGATCACAATTGATTGATCACTGGGTGGTGATCAATGTCATGCATGTCAAGTCCTCCTTATGCTGATCGAAAGCTATCGATCAAGTTGCAATGTGGCCACCAGTCTAGGTGGCTAAACACTGCGTGCACTATATATTAAGGTAACATGGTGGCTGGAGGTGGTCAACAAGAAACTCTGGACCCGGGTTTCGTGCTACTTGGCACTCATCAGCAAGGTTTATCTCTTGAGATTCTATCTGGAAATCCGTAGAAATCGCGTAGTAATACTACCGCGAATATTACCTTGATTGGAACACTTCAATTCTGAGTACTATACGATTGACGGACATAACAAGTTGTACCAAAGAAATGAAGACACGATCGGAGTTCAACACTTGCCACTAAGACTCAGAGCATTTTCCCTTCATTAAAGAAAATAAGATATCCATACAAATAGATGTCAAATCACTCTACTGCGTGTAATTTCTGCTTACGAATGTCCACAGACTTTCCATTAACCTGTTTTCTGAGGTTGAACGGGAAACATGGAGTTAACAATACTGCCTTTTTTCAGCCTTCATCAGAGAGCACACAACTGGCACTCCAGTAAATGCACTATCTAGTCTACCTTGATAACACTTGACACCATTAAGCCGTTACAAAACTATTGAACCTCACACCTGTAACACTGTTCTTCTAAACTGCTTTGGAAATTAATTTATCTACCTATGTCTACCTTCAGTAGTTGGTCCCAAAGATTTAATACTTGACAGAACAGTCACACCAAGACATGTCATCATTCCAATTCCTGTTATTGTTTTGAGCTGACCAGGTATTTAGAATGTAAAAATAAAAGTTCCAAAACAGTCCTCCGCATCATTGAACTTACGACTCTGATACTATAGCTACTACCCTACAAACAATTTGGATTATGGTTAAGGCCTTTTATCAACGTACCTAACAGACATTGTCATCTGGGTGGTAACAATTTGCATATTTCTTCGTACTGTTATGATCACTAGAGCACATGACAGACTCCGGCCAAAATGTTGATTACTCAAGTATCATTCAATGGCTCATCCTCCTCCCCCATATGTGTATGTACTTAGATCACACTATTAGCTTTGGTTTTGTTTCGCAGCACCCTTAAACTATCTGACTATAAACCTGCCTATGTAATAGCTTGCGCTCGCTAATACTTGCTCACGTGTTTATAGCTTTGTGGCCTGCGTAATTTGATAATCAACTGTTGTTGCAGCTTTTCTTTGCCTTCTGATTTCGTGTGCTGTTAGGATGCGTTATAACGGTCATCGAGGTGAAAGATTAGGGAAGCATTATACTACAATACCTAGTGTTGATCATCTTCATGATATTCGGCTAGTAAACCTAACCTACTAAAGTTTGACTGTCTAAATTATGTAATTGTACACCTGAGCAACACCACTGATGCTTACTCACTCTGGACTGCCACGTGTTTAAACTACCCATGAGGAACATAATACAACTGGTAAAGCAGTATAGTTGCGACAAAGATGAAACTTATACCATTCTCGCTTTACCCAAACCATGCTATTTTCGTCAATTAAAGGGTTGACTATCTATAATTCATCTAACATACACTGACGACTCTTAAGTTGACAACTTCCACATGCATGAACCGCTTCTTCACGGTATTATCTCAATGACACTAGTGTCACTGTTGTATAGTGGACTAGTATATTATAAAGAGACGTAACATCTCAAGATATCCATGAGCTTCTGTTCTGAAAAGTGAGCAATGTCTCTGCGAATCCACTAGTCGAATTATCGTGAGCTTTACTGTTGAGCCATGGCTCCTAACTGTCCTCACCTAAGAACAAACAAGAAGGTTATCTGCACATCTTACTTCCATGGGACACATATCTACAGTAAGACCACGTCATGTGCTACGAGCAGATAGTCAGACCGAATTACTTTCCAACAAGTGGCGAAACAAGGTCCTCTGAAGTTGTTTTTTTCCAGAAGGTTCTGCAAAGAAGTAAAAATTTGCCCTTTTCCAGCCTAGTAAGTACTATTTGAACTGTCTTGTTGATAGGACGACCACCAAATTATTGTCTTGTCTATTTCCTAATTGAATCACTACTTTTGAATCTTTGTTTACAACTTCTAGTTAATCATTTTATCATATGAATAAAATATATGAGATTGGTTGAACCATTATACTCATTGTCAGGAAATGAAGCTTTACAAGTTTTACTTTTTGCAGATTTTACGAAGTGTGTAACGTCAAGTAATGTGACTCCTTGTGGAAATATCTGACTACCTGAACAGAAGATTATATATACAGGTTGATCAGTGAACACTGACCATTCAAGTATAAGTCATACACACATGGAACAATAATGCTATATTCATAAATAATTAAACAACTGAATTAATATCCAAATGATGTACAAATAATAATATTGTATCTCTGATTGCAGTACGTGTACTTTCATCCATACAGATAATATGACTACCATGATCATGCAAACAAATCAATGTATTTGGATTTGGCTGAAAATTAAAAACAGAATTAGGCGCAAATAAAATTTAATGAAGCACAAAACTTATGGTAAGTGAGAAATGATATTATCATTCAGCGATGTCAATATAAAAAGACAATCACCTACGCCTTGATTACGTACGTACGTACGTACGAAGTTCTACGTTGTAACTGACTGACTGACTTAGCAGTCTTAAACCTCGATCGAAAAAAGTAGCTTAAACACACTCTATGCAGGTCATTTTTATTCTTTGATTTGAATTCCTTCTCTAGAATTTATAATTAACATGTTTAGCCTTCTACCGAACTTATTAATATTTAAAATTCTTCACTTTTCATTTGGTTAATGTTTCCTCTCGGTGTTAGTGTGAAGTGCCCCACCATGAACTGATATGCAGTCAGTCAAGTTGAGTTTTACTTCACAAATGAATTAACGGGATCGCAACTCTTATTACATACTGTTCAATGACTTTGATAGAAGTGATCGTGGCTTAAATTATTCCAGTAGTACAGTGTTTATCTATCGTGAGAAGCCAGCAAAAACTTACTGACTGGTGAGCTTTCTCCGAGGTGTAGAAGTATAGAGTAACTAATGAAAGTAGATAGATAATGAACCTTATAAAACGAATGTCGATAAGTAGTGCTAACTAAATACAAAATTTAAAAACAATATTGTGCATAAAACGGGTAATCATTATTTATATCGATGCTGCCTTTTCCTAATCGGAAGTTGAGGTTACAGAAGATCAATCTCACAAGCATATATCCCTATTGCTTCATACAGTTACACAGCTGTATGATTCCCTCTAAGCATATTTACTTGAGGTAAACTGTTATGATTCTAGTCATTTATTTCGAAGACTACCTAATAACTTTTTTTGAATAACAGCTTCCTTTCCAAGTGATTGTCTAAACTCTTATCTGTGTGCAAAGAATAAAGCAACACACTGAATCATCAAAAAGACCACTATTCTCCGTTAGACAACCTTTAGAGAATGCAAGTAAACAAAGGTTCAAAAACTTACAAATAAAATTACATCTTCGTTTTGTATGGAACCTGATTGTTTATTGGTATTATATACAGAAAATCGCGAATACACTTGACGTGCAGTGCTTGGATCAGCAAGATAAGCACCAGTAACACCACGTTCTGTTAACTTTCGTATCAACTCATGTGGGTTTATTCTGCTTGACTCATCGCAACAACTAACTAATATACGATTTTCAGAACCTAACATATTGGATTTTAATATGGAATCTTTAGATTGATCACTAGCGTTGTTTAACGAGCTTGCTGTTGTTGTGGCGAGTGTGGAAGTGTTCGTTGTAGTTGGAGGAGTCATAGGTCGCATAATGGCATCTTCAACAGGTTGAATTATATCTGGTTCTAGCTTCTCATGTTTACCAATCAACCAGTGTTTACCTGTAAAATTTATGGAACAAAAGTAGACAGTGATGACAAAGACAATTGGATAATCACTCCTCGGAGTCAATGAACCAGACTGACATTTACTTAACTTGTTAAATGAGTGACCGATCATCTACACATCTACATGAAGCCAGTCACTACTGGCCACATGATAATCATTAGTATAAGTCGAGTCCCATATTATGATGAAACTGTCATTCAGTACTTCTAAGTTTTTAAAGGTGGTCTGAGATCAGTTCGTGATTTAAACAATCAAAATCCTAAAATCTCCACAAATATATTTACACTAACAGAAGCCATGTGTTTAAATCACAAATAATGAACAAAAGGCCATATCTACAAGTTTAATTAAATATGAAGAATAATGTAACAACGATAATACAAACAATCAACGTGAAACGTACGTTTAACAGCTCAAAATCGTTTGGAATCACGCAATTGCATTCACTGTATGTATTTTTTTCTAACCAGAGTCTCCTTATGGTTTGTTTTTATTTTTATAAGTCTATTCATCCCCACTAAATCGTTACTATTACTACTTCACCTAATTTAGAATTCGTTTTGAAATAATTCTATTTCGCTGTGTTAATATAGTTTGACAACGTGAATCGATGCATATGGTTGTCAGATTGAGGTTGAATATGACTGACTGACGTACAGTTTTAACTTACTCCCAAAATAAATGTAAGTCTCATTTATCAAGTACAAGTATATGGTAATCAACTTTAAGTTATACTGTTTGTATTCAGATGTCTAATGATATTAGTGGTCTAAGAAAGCCGAGATAGTGTGGATATATTTTGAATTCATGATCCATTGTTCGTAGAAAATAAGGTCTTCTCACCACTAAACTGTAAGTATACTTCTTAAGAATTACAAGATATAAAATTTGTTTATGATAAAATTCCACGGAATAACTATTAGATATTATACTTGCTCACACCAGCGGGATGATAGCGGAGGCGGCCTCAGACAGAAAGCACGTGGAATCCAGAAATGTAAGAGTGAAGAGGAGGTCATAAATAACTGACTTATTCATTTAGCAAGGTCATTGCCTAAACATGTTTATCTTGATCACTATAGCGCTATGTATATATGGGCATGATTAATCAATGTAAACTATTATTCGGTATTTGATGAAAGGCTTTTTGCTCAATCTTAAGCTGTTGTTTTTTCAAAGATGGTTTCGTCAGACAAGATCTCATAATGCAAGAAGATATAACACATTAAAATGCATATCACTATAATTTGTGAGAAAGTTTAACTAAGACAGAATAACTTCAATCGATCCATGATTTTGAGCAACCGTTTCTCCAGTGTCTGAGGTAAATACCTGTGTCTATCTGACACGGATTGGACGCCACTGGTCACGGCTTGAGTTCGACTCTCGAATGCGGCATCTTGGATGGGCACTGTAGAAAAGTCCCAGGCTAAGACGAAATGGCCGTCCAGCGCTTTCAGGTTTTTAATGGTAGTCTAGCTTAGATAAACTTACCAATTCAACTATTAAAATTGTGGTGTGAGTTACTTATATCCACATAAGTAGTATATAATGATGGTCGGGCATTGAATGTATTTCAATACAAGATCGATAGCGGAAGAACGGAAACGAAGCGCAGTCGGTATGAAAATGCATGAACAATGAAATCTGAGACAATGGAATGATATTTGCAGAAGAAACAGTGATGTTTGAGACGATGGATTGTTATTTTGCAAATTAAGTATCTACTTTATGGTTATCATACTTTATTGAGATATTTTGTAATTTTGTGCTCAAAAACACTCAATTGTCCCCATTTGTGTTCTGTTCACTATGAAATTACTACAATATCCACACACCCCCATTCGTATAATAAAACAGAAAAAAACAAATTCATTCCATAAGAGTTTGTTCCCAGATTACTTGGATTACTGTCCTTTTCTTCAAACAACTCTTAAGAGTATATAAGAAAGTATCAGTTATGTTAGTTGATATAAATCAACCCAAATTCAAGATTACTAAATACATTTACTATTGTTTGCTTCAATTTGAAATCTCTAAATTCACAACTACATATATATATATATATATATATATATATATATATATATAATCATGAATCAATCCAAGCTAGACCACCATGGAAAACCTTGACCGCCAATTCGTCCTAGTGTGGGACTCCTAAAGAGATATTTCCTGGAGTTTTAGTGAGAAGCAGTGACCAGTAGAGTACAACCAGGTCTGTTATGAGATATCAACTCACTGAAGAAAAATGGTAGACGGTTGCTCAATTTCGTGGATTGGTTGAAGTTAGATTTTAACAACGTTGGATACTGGCCAGTACACTGGTCTAGTGGTTAAGCGCTCACGCGCGAGACTTGTTATATCTTAACGAAGACATATGTACGGATAACTCCCAGGATTTATTAATGGACGATTATTCTATAAATATTCTTATTATATTCAGTGATTAGATTATGTATATCTATATTCATCTTATTGTAAGCATTATTTTGACCTATTGATTATTATTATACGATTTACTGTTCCTAAATTATACTCAGTTTATTGATTATTCTATCCCATGTTCACAGCCACATTTGGCTTGATCTTGTACACATGTTCTTTTCTATTTTATGGTGTGATGTGGTCTGTCTGTCTGTCTGATATATAAACAAAGTATGCTTGAAATAAACGATTCGCATAACAGAAGCTGTCATTGGCATTCTGGACTCAAGTAGAAGGCCTAGGCAGATAAAGGACCAATAAGGACGCTAGGTTACTCATACTGATCGAACGTCATTTATTGTCACAGTGTTAAGGTCGAAGAAGTCGTATTTCCATTGGTGGATAATTCACGCCATTAAAAGCCGGACATAAGAGAACCAATAACGAATTAGGATGCGTCCTTGGTTTATCTTGTAATGTCATAACAAGTCGGCGACGACCTTGATCAAGTCATAACAAGACTAATATGTTCACAATTGATTGATCACTGGGTGGTGATCAATCTCATGCGTGTCAGGTCCTTAGTGCTGATCGAATGCTATCGATCAAGTTGCAATGTGGCCACCAGTCTAGGTGGCTCGACACTGCGGGCACTATATATTAGGGTAACATGGTGGTTGGAGGTGGTCAACAGGAAACCCTGGACCCGGGTTTCGTGCTACTTGGCACTCGTCAGCAAGGTGTACCTGTAATCCTGAGGGAACTGATGCTCCCTGGCGGATTCGATCCCGCGTCACTCAGCTTCACAGTCAGAGACGTTACCACTGAGCTATTCGGGCCGCGACCGACCTCCTGTAGGACTGAGATCTAATCACAATTGATTGATCACTGGGTGGTGATCAATCTCATGCGTGTCAGGTCCTTAGTGCTGATCGAATGCTATCGATCAAGTTGCAATGTGGCCACCAGTCTAGGTGGCTCGACACTGCGGGCACTATATATTAGGGTAACATGGTGGTTGGAGGTGGTCAACAGGAAACCCTGGACCCGGGTTTCGTGCTACTTGGCACTCGTCAGCAAGGTGTACCTGTAATCCTGAGGGAACTGATGCTCCCTGGCGGATTCGATCCCGCGTCACTCAGCTTCACAGTCAGAGACGTTACCACTGAGCTATTCGGGCCGCGACCGACCTCCTGTAGGACTGAGATCTAATCACAATTGATTGATCACTGGGTGGTGATCAATCTCATGCGTGTCAGGTCCTTAGTGCTGATCGAATGCTATCGATCAAGTTGCAATGTGGCCACCAGTCTAGGTGGCTCGACACTGCGGGCACTATATATTAGGGTAACATGGTGGTTGGAGGTGGTCAACAGGAAACCCTGGACCCGGGTTTCGTGCTACTTGGCACTCGTCAGCAAGGTGTACCTGTAATCCTGAGGGAACTGATGCTCCCTGGCGGATTCGATCCCGCGTCACTCAGCTTCACAGTCAGAGACGTTACCACTGAGCTATTCGGGCCGCGACCGACCTCCTGTAGGACTGAGATCTAATCACAATTGATTGATCACTGGGTGGTGATCAATCTCATGCGTGTCAGGTCCTTAGTGCTGATCGAATGCTATCGATCAAGTTGCAATGTGGCCACCAGTCTAGGTGGCTCGACACTGCGGGCACTATATATTAGGGTAACATGGTGGTTGGAGGTGGTCAACAGGAAACCCTGGACCCGGGTTTCGTGCTACTTGGCACTCGTCAGCAAGGTGTACCTGTAATCCTGAGGGAACTGATGCTCCCTGGCGGATTCGATCCCGCGTCACTCAGCTTCACAGTCAGAGACGTTACCACTGAGCTATTCGGGCTATTCAGTCCTACAGGAGGTCGGTCGCGAAAACGTCTCTGACTGTGAAGCTGAGTGACGCGGGATCGAATCCGCCAGGGAGCATCAGTTCCCTCAGGATTACAGGTACACCTTGCTGACGAGTGCCAAGTAGCACGAAACCCGGGTCCAGGGTTTCCTGTTGACCACCTCCAACCACCATGTTACCCTAATATATAGTGCCCGCAGTGTCGAGCCACCTAGACTGGTGGCCACATTGCAACTTGATCGATAGCATTCGATCAGCACTAAGGACCTGACACGCATGAGATTGATCACCACCCAGTGATCAATCAATTGTGATTAGATCTCAGTCCTACAGGAGGTCGGTCGCGGCCCGAATAGCTCAGTGGTAACGTCTCTGACTGTGAAGCTGAGTGACGCGGGATCGAATCCGCCAGGGAGCATCAGTTCCCTCAGGATTACAGGTACACCTTGCTGACGAGTGCCAAGTAGCACGAAACCCGGGTCCAGGGTTTCCTGTTGACCACCTCCAACCACCATGTTACCCTAATATATATAGTGCCCGCAGTGTCGAGCCACCTAGACTGGTGGCCACATTGCAACTTGATCGATAGCATTCGATCAGCACTAAGGACCTGACACGCATGAGATTGATCACCACCCAGTGATCAATCAATTGTGATTAGATCTCAGTCCTACAGGAGGTCGGTCGCGGCCCGAATAGCTCAGTGGTAACGTCTCTGACGGTGAAGCTGAGTGACGCGGGATCGAATCCGCCAGGGAGCATCAGTTCCCTCAGGATTACAGGTACACCTTGCTGACGAGTGCCAAGTAGCACGAAACCCGGGTCCAGGGTTTCCTGTTGACCACCTCCAACCACCATGTTACCCTAATATATAGTGCCCGCAGTGTCGAGCCACCTAGACTGGTGGCCACATTGCAACTTGATCGATAGCATTCGATCAGCACTAAGGACCTGACACGCATGAGATTGATCACCACCCAGTGATCAATCAATTGTGATTAGATCTCAGTCCTACAGGAGGTCGGTCGCGGCCCGAATAGCTCAGTGGTAACGTCTCTGACTGTGAAGCTGAGTGACGCGGGATCGAATCCGCCAGGGAGCATCAGTTCCCTCAGGATTACAGGTACACCTTGCTGACGAGTGCCAAGTAGCACGAAACCCGGGTCCAGGGTTTCCTGTTGACCACCTCCAACCACCATGTTACCTTAAGACTAATATGTCCCGGGTTTGAATCTCGCGAGGCGGGATCATGAATGCACACTGTCAAGGAGGAGTCCTATAATAGAACGAAACAGCCTTACAGTATTTCCATGATGATCTAGCTTCAATTGACTAATGTTCTCAACTATAAAAGTGTTACTAAAATCTCCACAACCCCCCTTTGTGATATATATATATATATATATACTTACCATCTCTAGTAGCTAACATTCCATTGACTAATGCAATACATTTTCGTTTCTTTTCAATTACTTCATTATTATTATCATTCAATTGATTCGTTTGTAATGATTTCAATTCTTTTTTTTTTTCATTGTTATTCTCTTTATTATTTTTCTCTTTTGATGGATCAGTTAATTCTATGCCATCATTAGATTGTTTTAATTTAATATAAATAGGTTTAATATGACGAATTAATTTTGTGGATAAATGAATTTGTTCTAAACGTGTTTCGGGTAATTGAATACATAATTGTTGATGATATGATATACCATACAGTTTTGTTAGAAATTGTTCCGGTTTCGTAGTGATACTTGACTGAAATATAGAAAAAAGATGGAACTTTGATGATTATATTCTACAAGGAATTATTCTAGTGTCTGACGATTGAATCAGGTTGGCGGATATGGAGGATCCACCTAGAGGGTGGTCAGTGTATGATATGGTGTCGTGGTATGAAAGAAAGCTGCAAAGGGCTGACCTCTGTTGGTTCTTCACGACTCCGTGGCTGGGGTCCATCCAAGAGATGGTGCAACATAGTGGCTAGAGACGTTATCAGATATGGTTCAGAATAGAAGCCAGTGGAGAGCCTGCTGTAACCTTATTTTATTTTCTTCATAAAGAGTGGTTATAACTTTTTTAACTGAAAGAGTTCTTCTAGTTGTACATTTCAGTTTCCCCCATCATTACTCCTCTTTTTTTATTGTATTTTTTATATATACGCGTCTTACCCTTTTTTTTCCCATTCTCATTGTTTTGTGTGGCGCATATATATCTGGTGCCCCTTTGTACCAATATGTATGCGTTTAAATAAATAAAGGAGTTAGAAACCCCTGATTCCAAACCAATGGTGCACATGGGCTCCAGGACCCTAAGGGAACAAATGGCGTATGAACCAATTATTGGTTACCGGCTATCATGGAATTGAGTCTCCTAACGTTGCTGTACTGCCCTGTGAATTAGACTTTCAGGTCAAAGGCTCCGGGTGTGGCCTCCCAAGAAAACCACCTGTTTCGGTCTGGGTACCCTCACACAAATCAATGATAACTTCTACTCACTTCATCGTTATTGCGTAGCGCATATGCATTTCATGCCCACTTGTACAAATATTTATGTGTTCAAATAAATAAATAATGAATTTCCTATATACAAATCGTGATCTCCTTGTTGTGGCGAAAGGAAAAGAGGTAGATCAAAGAACATACTTCGCTGGGAATCACAAGCAGATATCAAAAGAATGAATAGTACTTGGTGACAACTAGAAAAGAGACACTACAATAGAGTAAGTTGCAGAATTTTGGTCGGTGGCTTATGCTCCATGAGAGATAACATGTGTAAGTAGGGTGCGTTGTGGTTGATGAATATTATTATGTGAATTCTTCAGCCATAATAAAATTTAAGACGGGTTGCTATCTTCATATTTTGATTGACCATTTGAGATAGACGCTGCACATACAAGTACCCGTTAGGATATCTGGTCGGTGTTGGTTATCGTCTATGTAATTAGTTAAAGCAAAGGTCATTGATATGATCAACATAAACAGTATTCACTAGTGAACTATACAAACCAGTGACTCTATTAAGTGGCCATAACAAATTGGAGTTGAAACTGTTGAATCTACAGAATGTCAATTCATTAATCGAAATGCAACGTACTGCTTATTGATAAGTGCAGACTAGCACGAAAACAAAGGTCAAAAAGAGTGTCTTGGCAACTACATTTAATCATCGAACAGTATAATCGACCTTCAAACATAAATTGTGGCTTAAAAATAGTCATTATTGACGATCATAGTGCTTGGATATGAGAAATATATATTTCAAACACCCATATCAATGAAGGTTCATAGCCTCATCAGCTGCTCCTACTAAATGAAATCAGTCCTTTCAGGATATCTAAGATCAAATGCTAACTATTAATCCATGTCTGCTATCTTCAAATGTCATAATTCATAAACATCTAGTAATACGGAAAAAAATGTAGCACGCTATACTCACTTTTTGTTAAGCAAAGAGCTACTTCGACCACCCACAGATGATCTAAGTTGTCAGTAAGTCATTTGAATTTTCGGCATCTAAACCAAGATCTTATCAACAGCTAATCTATATCGAGGTTATCAATACTTTGAGGGTAAAGTCAAATATTCAACATACTCAAATGTTTTACTTCTTATAGTCAGGTAAGACATTGGTGATAACCGTTTCAAAAGTAATAATCTGTAAATTTAAGCAGACAATTGAATCCTAAATATACTAGTATTGTTACTCACGGATTCTAAATTATATAGCTTCACCAGAGACAGACCTATGTTATCTACTGAATAAATTTTAACACTTACCCAATCGAATGGCTTATCATAAACTTCTTGTGGAAGTATTAGTGCTAGTCGTGGTTCACCACAACGTTTTACCAGTTGATCTATTTGTTGAGCACCTATACGAGCTTCCATGGGCAACCAGTACACAGTCGCTGTATCACTAAGAGATAAGGATGGCGTATTTGACTGAGAGAATGAAATGTGATTAGTGGGTATTTTGTCAGATTGAAGAAATGGTGAAATTATTCGCCGAAGATGTACTTCAGGATTACATAAGCATTTTGAATTCCACTCAAATCTATTAAAAAAGACAGAAAACAAAGAAATTATTTGCAGATTAGTGAAATGTTAAGACAGATGGAATCACGAAAAAAATGATTCACAATCCAAACTACTTACTATGAATAAAGCAGTCTAATATGCTTAACACAAAAAACCAAGACAAGGGAGAAACGAAGTTCAAACACTGAGGAAACACGGAGTTAACAAACACTGTTGTCTGAAACTCTGTGAGCTCAAATCACTCGATTATTTTGTTACAATTGTTACAATATAGAATGAATTTGTGCTTAAGAGATACTAGAGACGATTAAACCCGATGAGTAACACAAAACTGGCTGAAGTAGGAGTAGATTGAGAGAAAATTACTTATTCACTGTTGATTTCAAAAATCATGTTCGCAGATGAAAAACACCTGGTCGAATTAAGCGTGATGTTTCTGATAATTAATTCTAGACCTGGTTCAACTTCTATCGCAGTTACCCAGGCAAGTTTATTTTTACATCGTCCTCCTAATTGTTAAGTCCAAATAATATTTCATTTTTAGTTTCTTACCATATCGCTTTAAAGTTGAACAACATTCACTCTGTTAAGTTTCACTTTATTACCATGATCGATACTAACAATATTCCGATAACTACTTGGCGATATAACCCGTCACTGGGTATAACAATGAACAATGTAGATTTCAGTTGTAACTAGAGAAGTATAAGTCGTTATCAATGAAATAAAAAGGTGTGGCGGGAACAGTTTTATGTATTGTATTAGAATCACAGTTAATTAATGAGCACTTCTTGTCTGCATTAAAATAATAACCAATCAAATACGACCAAAATTTAAACTTTTAATGAGCTAATAACTAACTGTAAGATTGATAATAGCCATTGCTGAGAATTATTTGTATTAAAATTGTACTTAATTTATCAGTCAGGTATCATCAACTCAGGATCTATCATTTAGTCAGTTGGTCATATGCAGCGTAGAATCTGACATATATGCACATCAGTTCAAGTTATCATACCACTTTAGCGTAACGAGATAAAACTATTCCAGAGAAGTAGTACTAGTAACAGTATTGGTAGTAGAAGAAAAAACAAGATTTGGAGATTCAGGATCTAAGGAAAGTCGAAGAACGAACGAATTTCCAAACTGTGTCTGATTTCGATCACTATAACCCAGTGTCTCAACAGCTGATTAAAAAATAATAGCGCATACCGCCACCATGTAGTATACGCTTACGTACACACGTCAAACAGTCAGCACCTTTATGAATTGATGACACGTTGCATGTTGACCGCCCTTAGCCTTCGTCCAACCCACTCTTACACCAGACAACATCGTCCGCGGAGTTAGGTGGATAACGCAGCATAAAGAGTAAATGTATAGACCACTTCAGTTGGTGAGGTGCATTACCTCATTAACTTTTTGACCGTCTTTATCTAAAACCCTACGCTGAACTTAAGTTTTCCTCACTCGGTGGTCCTGAAATAAACAAGAAATGCTACAAAGAGACCTGTGATCGAATGCTAGAAACCTACAGATATTTCTTGATTTTAGTGGCTATGCTTCAAACCAATAAAATAAAACGGAGGGAACTGCAGTTAACTCGTCCTTTGATTGGGTGATGGATGTCTTGCCTACCCAACAAGTGACACAAGTTAAATACTCCAACCGAGCTTTTAAGTCCTTGCCAAGATATCAGAAGAAGAACTCCAAGACGAGGGACCTGATGCACGAATATGTGGTGGTCTGATTTGCCAAACTCAATAACAATAAAGCAGAGGAGATAGTCAACAAAATGAAGAGAGCAAAGAGTACGGGGAGTAAAAAGATGAAAAGTTATACATAACTCAAACTACTGATTAATAAAAACGTAGTTTAATGTTTTATACACAAAAACGCAAAGAAAGGGAGGAACGAAGTTCAGATATTGGAGAAGCATAGAATTAGTAAAACACTGTCCCAGAATCTGGTAATTAATAATTTGAAGCTTAGTGGAAGACTTAACATGGGAGATACGGCTCAAAAGAAATAAACAAGACCAAAGGACGTAAATAGTAAGGAACGATTTCCAATCGAAAATTCAGCGAAAGATGAAAAATGGACGAAAATGAACCACATTTTAAAGCGATTGGACACCAATTCACTATCCAACGGCTCAAAACCATGGATTATGAGAGTGTTGCACAAATCCTAGCCAAAATTGCGGGTTAGATAGCAAACTATCAGCTTGTGCAACTTATGGTACGAAAATCACAAAAATAAAAACAATTACATAGAGCTTCATATAGTTAATGGATATATATATATATATATATATATGCATTTGGTGAATCAAAATAGTTTCTGAAATCTTACTTACGAGGGTACATAATCACCGGATTCTATTAAAATGATTGAATTATGTGAAGGACTGCTTGTACGACCACTACTACCGCCTGAACGTAAACCACCATAAGCTAAAACACGGGTCAGATGTACAGATGGTCCTAATCGAAGACTTGGATGACTGGCAAATATTAGACATGGTGAATTAGGCCAAATACCACCGCTGATATTGGGATTATTATTACTAGTATTTGGAGTTGAAGAACTATTTAAAACAAAAATAGCAGAATCCAAGTTGTCCGAACTAGTAGATATTGGATTAGACGCGTTTGTACCACTAGTCGCTTCAAAATACCCGCCTGAAGAGGAAGTTGAATTGCCGGTACCCAACAAAAGTGGTGATGTTAAAATATGACTTGAATATCTATTGACGGTAGATGAATCCGATAACAATTTCCTGCTGGATGAACAATCGTATAAACTTTTTAAAGCGACTAATTTACCACATTGTAGTAGCTAAACATGAAGTAAATAAACAATAATATTTTTACTAAATAAAAGTAAAATATTTTAATGATATAATGGGACAAGACGATCTGTCAATTAATAATCTTTTATTTTTTTCCACCCGTCATCTTATCTCTCAATGAAGTGATAAGTCATGCACTTGAAAGTTGTAAGAGTAAAGACTTCTTATAATTCACTGAGTTGTTAAGGTTGATAAAAGTATCATCAATAATGATCGATGGAAATAAGTGATGTAAGGTATGCGGGTTTTTAATGAATACAGATGTGAAGTTAAAGAATCCTATCACTTACATTTCAGTCAGTCAGTCAGCTACAATGTGGGACAAGGCACATATATGCATCGGTCCAAGTTACCATACCTCATTAACACAAAAAGATGAACACCGGATTCACGTTTGGTTATTTAATGCTTATAACTTTTGTCAAAATGATGGTATACGAAGATGAGACTAGCTAACAAACAGTCTGAACTAGAAATTAAGCAAACTTATACAATATTGGAGAAGATTTGAAGGTTTTACTGTTTATGTTGTTTAGAAAAACGATCAGAACTTTACAGTCACACTAACCAACTTGGAAGATGTAACCTCACCAAAAAAAACTATTATTTAATTTTCCAAGTTTACGTAAAACGAGCAACCTACATACCTGGACTATAAAGCACCAACATAGATGAAACTTTATGATAACTCAAGTAACGGTGTATATCTAGATTATTTGAAACAAGTCGGGTTGGAGAACTGTAAGATTAAAAGCGGAAACTTAAGGTTCAAGGGTTAAGTTGTACTACTGACAGCAATAGCTCCAATTCACTTTCTCAATTCTCATTCTTAATGTATGTCTGAATAAGCGACTGCTTCAAATAAATTCATCCAACTAAAACTATACTTGGCTACTTATTACCGGTGTCGTACAAACGGGGTAAGCCTATGTGCAATGTACGGAGTTAGAGTAGATTTATATCCATGGCATATTCATATATTCCTTTAAATCGGATTAAAATCAACAAGCCACTAAACAAGTATCTCCAACACTGTTGTCTTCCTACAATTGAAGGAGAAGTCTAAAACATATGATCCTGAAAACCTCACATCCCACCTCGTCCCACAGATTTAGGACATTGTCAGTAAAATATTTATTTATCTATTTGAACACATAAATATTGGTACAAAGGGGCACTGAATACATAAGCGCCACACAAGTCACTTGATTTGTGTGTGGGTACCCAGACCGAAACAGGTAGTTTTCTTAGAGGGCCACACCTGGAGCTTTCGACCTAAAGTCTGACTCGAAAGGCAGTGGAGCAACGTTAGGAGATTCAGTTCCATGATGGCCGGTAACCAGTAATTGGTTCACACGCCATTTCTTCCCTCAGGATCCTGGAGTTCATCATTGGTTTGGAATTAGGGTTTTCTAATTCCTCTAGGTGGATCCTCCATATTCACCAAACTGATTAAAGCGTCGTACAATTGCCTTTCGTCTTGTCTACTAAGTAAACAACACCCATGCCGCGAGAAGGCTGTTAGTAGGACTACCCTGACAGTGGATGTATACGCGCCGTCATGTGAAAACATTTGGAGAGGGAGGACTGACTCTCCCCAGCCTCAACCATACCAAGGCATTCGGAGGCGGCAGTAAAATATTTAATGTACGATACCATCTTACAATGAGGTCACTTATGGCCAGTTTCAAATAGTTGTCCCTTAGTTACTGGGGTCACACTCTCAGGTCACTAAGACCATAGCTAGTCCAGTTTCATTTTTAGGCACCACATGTGCAACCAGGAAGTGACAACCACCCACACATCTCTAACACCGCCCGAAAACACTAGATCATTATTTGTCAGTATTAGTGAATATTCTACACGGCGTTATACTTTGACATGCATAGTTGACTTTTTCTTAAACGAAATTGTAAGAGTTCACTTGTTCGATTACCCATTTAAGTTTTCATCAAATAAGGTTATTGAAGATTTAAAAAATATCTTAGTTCAACACACGTGGGATAGCATTTTGCAAAAGAATAAGATTGATATATTATAGATTTGTAAATTAACGTCTTTTTTTAAATCATTAACCTTATGTTAAAGACTGGTTTATTTAACCTGACCTCTCACATGACCACGAGTAAATAGCCTCTGCCATGGAAGTCCTACTCCCTGCCTTCTCGTGGAAAGGGTAATGTTTACGAAATTGAGAGGACGGAAAGCGAATGTCCGGCGCTCTAACCAGGTTGGTAGATATGAAGGATCCGCCTAAGGGAGTTGGAAAACCCTGATTACAAACCGATGTGTACATGGGCTGCAGTATGCTGAGAACTAATGGCGTATGAAACTATTTTTGGTCACCTGCTACTATGGGACTGCATCTCCTTATGTTGCTCCACTGCCTTATGGATCAGACCTTTCATTCGAAGGCTCGGGGTGTGGTCCCCTTAGAAAACCACCTGCGTCAGTTTGGGCACCTGGGCAGTATCACAGCCCTCACACAAATCAAATGAGATTTGTGTGGAGCATATATATCTGGTGCTCCTTTGTACATATCAAGTTTAAATATTTATTGGAAAAAAAAGAAGAAAATTATGTACATCCTACAACTTCAACTTACAGATTGAAAAATAAATGGTGCATCAGCATTATATAGAACGGATTCTTTCACTGAATTTAACCATTCACCATAAGCATTAGAATATGCTAAACTAACATGAACTTGATTAGATATGAAAAATATTGGAGAACGTGCTACTAGACCTGATGATGATGATGAGCTGACTGTTGTCTGTGTTATTGTTGTCGTTGTTGTTATCGGTATTGATGAACTACGATTGCATGTTAAATCTATTTCTATCGATGTAGTTGAATCGGAAGAAATTCTTTGTAGTGAATGACTATTCATAGTTCCTACAGATGTAGTAGTAGTAGTACTGCTACTGACAGTAGTATTGGTATGGTCAGCACTATTTCCAGATGAAGGACGATTATGCATGAACAATGGTAGAATTGTACCATTAAAATTATCTTTGGCCTGAATAGCTGTTTCAAGCAAGTCGAAGATAATACCGGATGGATTTGACGGCACTAAGACATTACCTCCATGAGCTAAAGTTTGCACTGTGTTTTACCATACATTGGGAAGGGAGAAAAGAAGGAAAAAAGTGAAGAAACAATTGAAATAACATAAATGATTTTAGTAATATATTGGGGGTCAATAGGCGTGTTTCGTCCTATCTAGGAGTCGTCAGATGGAGGTACCTCCATCCAGGTGTTGATATTCACACGGACTTTAACCTGGAACTTTTTGTCTCAAACGCTCAATGCCTTATTCACTAAGTAATTGATTTCATTCACAGCTACTGGATTTTACAACAGGTAGTCACTATTCGACTTAAGTGAAAAACAAGTAACTAAATGGCAACATCGAGGCAATCCGCTCAGGATGCACATACATCATAAGGGAGACTGATAGATTGCGGTTCTTAGTCTCAACACATGAGACAATACAAAACCTTACAAGCACGATCAGAAAACAAATAAAAATGAATATAACTTGACCGAGTGTAACAATTTGTTACACTGCATTGTTAATAATTAACCTGATTCTACCAATTACAAGCAGGATTATAAACCCAATAAACTAATGTATTTACTTTACAGAAGCGATTTTCTAAACACGAATGGACCTTTTTAGATGGTTGAATGTAGTCGGCAAGAAACCCTGCTCGACCTAGATTTTGTGCACGTTGGCATTCGAGGATACATCCACTTAATAACACAGGGCATAGTGTACGTAGTATCGAGCCACTTAAACTAGTAGTTAGATTGCAATTTGATGGATAAAATTCAATCAACAATGAAAGATTAGACAAAAATAACACTGACGATCAATCAATTGTACATTAAAGTTAGTCAAATAGTCATCGAAAACAAAGAAACATTAAAGAGTTGTTTCGTCCAACTTAAACACATTCAAAAAATTATGGACCCATAACTGTCACGTATCATAGCGACAACAACCAAGATGCAAAATAAGACAGGAACTGACAGATGAAAGTCGGATTTACATGGTAACACATCGTCAGGATAAATAGGATAGCATAAATGGCAGGTGAGATTTCGCTATCACTAGATTCAAAATTCACAACTAAATATATCTAACTAGAATATAAGCTAGATAACACTTTGTTAAACACAACTACAAGCAGTTTACACTCAACGAGTCCAGAGTAGAACTGAATAATAGGAAAGAAACCACAAACTAAGTGGTCCATAAGCTGAGTCTTTTAGTTCACGCTCAGTGAACAATCAATAGTCACATATGACATTATAAACCGACTAATGTTGAATAAATTCAAGCTAGTAAAGGATTAGACTCCTATTGGATGGTTGACAGACGTTCGTTTATGCCATGACATGAGAAAGTCTTCAGTTCTATTTCATGTCAGCGACTATGCCATGAGTTTTCGCTAATAAGGAGTCTCAACAAGTTATTTATGTGAATAAAGGTGTAAACACATAACAGTTAAATAAGTTTTAGGAAAATTATATACTATAAAGTGGTATTGTCGACTTTCAATTTTTTGATGTTCGTATTGACATTAATACTCGTTAACAGTCATAATAATGTCGTTGAGTTTACAGATAAACATATCAAAATCTAACTGAGGTTCACAATAACCTTATTTGTCATGAGTAGTAGTGTTTGGGATTGGGCATACTTTGAGGAAATCACTCAGTTGCGTCACAAGACAAGCCCTCACATGGAATCCTGAAGGTCAAAGAAGAGGAAGACCAAAGAACACATTACACCGAGAAATAGAGACAGATATGAGAAGAATGAACAAACAATGGATAGAACTAGAAAAGAAGGCGCAGGACAGAGTGGGTTGAAGAAAGCTGGTCGGCGGCTTATGCTTCATTGGGAGTAACAGGCGTAAGGAAGTAACTAGTATTTGAACAATTTGGTCTTTTTTGAATTCTAGGTGGTGCTATATTATTTGACAATTTGAATGACATCTACTGTTTACTCCTATTTACAGTCAATAATCAACAAAATTATTGATTTAGAGTGACATCGAAATATTAGCTGCATAAAAGTTTCCATAGTTTATATGACGAACCGTTTTTGGCTGAACCACTGTTGAAAACCTAGCAACACTGGACGTCCATTGCGTTCATTTGTGAGATTCTTCAGCAGTGAAAATCTACGACACTACAGTCGTGATCCGAACCTAGGATCTTCGATCTCGAGTATGAATGCTTAGTCTCCAGACTAACTGAGTCGATATTCTGTGGTGCACTTGTTTCACTTTAATCAATTCACAACACTACATACAGTTAAGGAGCCCCATTCTAGGATGAAACGATCATCAACTGCTTCCAGGTATCGAAAGGTGATCTGACTACGATCCGTTCATGATTCAAATTATGACAATCCAACAGTTTCCATAAATCCCTCTATACAGATAACCATTTATCACTATCATATTAAAATTTGTTTAAAAATTACCAACGATATGACAAAATTCTTCCACAGTCTTTTCCAATTGATCACTTGCATACATATTGACAGTGCCAATGATTAAGACATCAGTATCTTCAAATGTACTATCATCGAAAGGCTGTAAAATGCAATATTAATAATAATATTAATGAAGATCTTAAACAATGTCATGAATTAACATTGTATAATCAATCAGTCATAGACAAATTAGAAAGTGGCATGAATTTGCGATTATTCAAGTTACGAAAACTACACAGTACAGAGAGATGAAGTTATTATGACAAATACAAGAGTAGTATGGTTAGTTACAGTATCAGTGATAAAAAGGGCTAGGTATGAACGATATGATACGAGAAGTATGGATCCATGGAATAAAAATTATCAAACAATAGTTTGTTTCATATTGGTGACGAAGACAGCAGTGGGATATTTAAGATTTTTCTAATAATTGTCAAGTTCGTGACCACGTGAAGATCCCGATTAGGAAATATCGAGCACCGTAGATCAATATGAAAGCTGAATTATCCAACAAAACATTGGGGGTAGATATAATTGAACCAATGGGGGAGAAAACAAAGGGGTAAGTACATATATTGGTCAAGGTAGATTATTTCACGAAACGGTGCAAAGCTGTTATCCTGGGAAAAATTGATGTTAGCATAGTAGATAAAGCATTTTTTGATAATTGTGTTTATAAAGAACTCTTTAACCGAGTCTCCTTCTTATAGTTTGACAAAATGTCATGAAGAAGAATTGTTTTGTATTCTTATGTCCCATTAGACGATGGAGACAGTTAGTTGACTGCTTTCATCATTGTATCTTCTTTGTCATCCAATGAGAACGAATCAACAGCGAAATTCATCAGGAATATCTTCATGCTACATAGCATGCAGCTCTAGCAAGATCACCATATCCGCAACGGTTTTCCTTCGTGGCATAATATTAAGCGAGAAGAAAAAGACCCGTTTAAATTTATATACACAATTATTGACGGTTTCAGTCAGATACAGAAGATATAATTAGTTCAACACCAGTTTTGTCTTTCTGCTAATGGCGACACCTCACATAGCACTAGAGAACTCCTCATAAAGCAGCTTTATCTAAGTGCCAAAAGCTCTATTCAAAAAGCGTCACATGATATCTCGTATAATATTGTGCAACAGAATGACATCACATATGAAGAAGTACCATTATTATTATTAATATTATAAGCTTACTAGGACGTGAGAATATAACAACGATGTGTGTGAGATATAAGCCACCTATGGTAAGCAAAGAAAAAAACCCAGTTAAACTTGTTAAAATGATATAAGAATCAATTGATTGCTTAGACAAAAATACAAAGCTATTATTACGGAGTTTGTAATGTTGCATTATTGATATAAAGGATTGCAAATAATCCCTGTCGAGATGGTTCAATAGGCAAAACATTAGGCATTTAAAGTGATAAATACTGGAATCAAGTGAATATATGGACATCAAACACTGGGATGCAAGTATACGCCTAGTTGATGGGTCCTAAATAGGATTGAACGCAAGTCTTGAACTTCACTGGTGGTCATATATCGGAAATACGAAGTCTATCTGGATGTCAGATATATGGATTTGAATGATAAACGGTCTCCTAACAGGAAATATAAACACGTATAAAATCCTACCCTTGTACCTTTGTCAAATTTCTATCTTGATTTAAATCTGATTTCTTAACGAACGGTGGGATCATTGAGCATGAATGTATCAAGTGATTAAGTTAGTCAGTCGGTCGTAAAGGGGAACCTAGTACGTAGTAAAATCGATTCAAGTTGCCACGGCCCATTAGCACAAAAATATGAAATTGTCAGGCCAAATTCCAGAATGGTAGAGGTAGTAACAGTATCAGTGCTAATGGAGAAGATAAGGTATCGAAGATACCACTCAAGAATACATAAACTAGTGAAATAAATACAAGAAAAAAATTATGAGGAATTCAGAAGACTAGAATCTGGAGAACCTACACCACTGCAAACGAATTTCAGCCATGTTATTCAAAACATCTAACCATTGGTTACGATGATCACGCGGACCTCATCTAGTTAGTCTATACCTACATTAACATGGCTAAGTTCAATTATCAACGGCTTCGTGGACTGATGTTATATTTTAGTTTGGCCACCCTTATCTTTCTTCTAGCCTAATCCTGCACCGAAAAACATCGTCCGTCGAGGTGAGCAGTGGTTGGGCATACGTAACACATAGCTAAACCACCTCAGTTAATGAAGATTTAATACCTCATCGATTGATTTCCACACCTTACCCAGTACCCTATTCCTAAACCAGAAATTGCTTACTCCGTGGTCCCAAAATACACGAGCAGTACCTCGAAGACATTCATGAACGAATACTAGAAACTTACGAACATCCTCTATTCTTCATGGTCACTTTTCACATCCTCAAAGTAGAATGCAGTAAACTTTTAGTTTACTTGGCAGAAGAGTAGATTGCCTGCACTACAAGCGACGCAAGTTAGTAAAAGGCATTCAAGAATTTTAGGTCCATGCTGAGATTTCGTCATACACCAGACCATCAGGAATAATGAGACTCCCGAGGTAAGTGGAGAGGTCGATACATTAAACTACTTCATTCCCTACCATTAATTCAGTAACGGAAGCAATATGTTGTATTTGAATGGGGAGAACCGCATCCCAAACATTCTTGTCACAACTTTGATAAGATCATGTTTTATTTCCGATGAACCATTAAACATTTGTAGGATCAAATGTTATACAATTATAATCATCAAAAAAACTAACTGAATATACCTACTTTAATGTAATGTCAAAATGCAGCGTAATGATCAAAAAAGTGAGTGTACGGTTAATAATTATCCCCTCCAGTTAAGATAAAGACTAACAATTAAAAGCTGGTCAACTCGAAATCCATAATAAAACGAATACACCAAAAAAAACTCACTTTCTCCGTGCTCGATGTAATAATCCAATTACAACTGCCAATTCCATATCCAGCACTTAAGCCTTTGATGGTTAATAGACCAAACAAATCCTGAAAAAGAAGCTATTTCCCTCAACAAAAGATATTGAAATATATTCCACAAAATCTTACAAGTAGTTATAATCAATGTCGGACTTGAGAAAAATGTGTATTAGTCCAAACTGACATTGAACATTAGCATGACAAAACAAAATTATTGAAATTAGTAATGAAATCGAAATAGTGTAGCACAGATGATAATCAATAAGACTGAACATTGAGAATATACGTTAAAAAGGTATGAAGGAAAGATATGTATGAAGGAATACTGGTATTCAAAATATAAAGAGTAAATCCGATGTGATCAATCCTAACCCTTGTTAACCAACGTCTCCAAGTTTTATAGCCGAAAAGTAGAACAAGACAAACTGCTATGCAGTATACTCAGTCTTGAATTTTATAACTATGATTGGTCAGAAATCGTAAACTTACAGAATTCAGACACTAATGTTAGCACTTATAAATAAGCAAATATTGATATTGTGCTTATTTATTTATTTATTTGAACACATAAATATTGGTACAAATAGGGTATCAGATACATATGCGCCACACAAATTTCATTTGATTTATGTGAGGGCTGTGATACTGTCCGGGTGCCCAAACTGAAGCAGGTGGTTTTCTTAGGAGGCCAAACCCAGAGCCTTCGACCTAAAGTTCTGATCCACAAGTCAGTGGAGCATTGTAAGGAGATGCCGTCCCATGGTAGCCGGTGACCAACGATTGATTCATACACCATTTGTTCCTTCAGGATACTGGAGCCCATGTGCACCATTGGTTTGGAATCAGGGTTTTCCAACTCCCCTAGGTGAACTCACCGTGTGACTGGTTTAGAATCAGGGTTTTCTAACTGCTCTAGATGGACTTTCCTTGCCCACCAACCCGGTTAAAGCGTCGGACATTCGCTTTTCGTCCTCTCAATTTCGTAAATAACACCTGACTATGAAATGAACAATCAATATAAAACTAAGCTCGAAAAATCGTCTTCATCCCAGTATAACATTTAAAAATATACACATAAAACAAGAATTGAACAGAAAAATTACCACAGGTTCATGATAAGCGACCAGATGAATATTATCCAAAGCTTTTATAACTGATTCACGAGTGTAGAATTTTGTCCAATTAAACTCATCAGAGTTAAGTAAATAGCCTATTGGATTATTTAGTTTACTAAATTATTAAAATGTAAAGAAAATAGAAAAATAAAACAGAATAATTGAATTTCTTAAAAAAAATATTTACCTTTAATAATATTCATACATTATAAGCTCAATTAAACATTGATTTATATGTTATTGAAATGATAATTTGTGAGGTAGACCAGAGAATGTGGAAGATGGTTATGTGATGCGAGTGTAGTTGCGACACTTGTTGAGAAGTGTAATCGAGCCTGCTAGGATTCGAACCTGGAATCTCCTGATCCGTAGTCAGGCGCGTTATCCATTACCCCCAAATGCCCTGGTGCGGTGAGAGTGAGAAAAGTCCATTCTCCCTCTCGAAACGCACTCACATGGCAATGCGTATACAGACTCTGCCAGGTAAGTCCTACTCACTGCCTTCTCGTGGCATTACTGTGGTTTACGAAATTGGAAAGACGAAAAGCGAATGTCCGACGCTTTAACCGGGTTGGTGGGCAAGGAAAGTCCATCTAGAGCAGTTAGAAAACCCTGATTCTAAACCAGTCACACGGTGAGTTCACCTAGGGGAGTTGGAAAACCCTGATTCCAAACCAATGGTGCACATGGGCTCCAGTATCCTGAAGGAACAAATGGTGTATGAATCAATCGTTGGTCACCGGCTACCATGGGACGGCATCTCCTTACAATGCTCCACTGACTTGTGGATCAGAACTTTAGGTCGAAGGCTCTGGGTTTGGCCTCCTAAGAAAACCACCTGCTTCAGTTTGGGCACCCGGACAGTATCACAGCCCTCACATAAATCAAATGAAATTTGTGTGGCGCATATATACCTGGTACCCCTTTGTACGAATGTTTATGTGTTTAAATAAATAAATAAATGAAATGATAGTTACATTCGAACGAAAATCCCAATTGAGACACAGGATTCACGTTTGTGGTTAACGGGTGTTTTATGAAGTACTGTTATATCCCGATAACAATAGTGAATGGTAACTTTGGGATCCATTTATGGAGCAATATTATACATATAAATTTGTCGTATATTTACTAAATAATTAAACTATTCATATTCATGTTCCTTTCATTGTGAGCCTTATTTTGACTCTGCTTCGGTTCGGGTACCTGGGTAGTATCACAGCCCTCACACAAATCAAATGAGATTTTTGAGGCGCATATGTATCTGGTGCTTCCTTGTACCAATATTTATGTGTTTGGTATCTGTTTGGTATATAAACTCAGTATGTTTGAAATACAATTATTCATACCACAGAGGCTGTTATTGGTGTTTTGGACTTAAATGGCTGGGCTAAACAGTTTAGTCCACAAGACAGTGAAGTAACACCAGCACATTCAGTACCATAGTAGTCGGTGGCCAACATTAGGTTTATACTCCATCTGTTTCCTCAGGATTATGGAGTTCATGTGCACTGTTGGTTTGTAATCGTGGTTCGCCAACTTCCCTAGGTGGATCTTCTGTATCCACGAGCCTGGTTAGAGAGTCGGACATTCGTTTCTTGTAGTCCCAACTTCGTAAACAACACCCCTGCTGTGAGAAAGCAGTGGGCAGGACATCGTTGGCAGTGGCTGTATACCTGTGGTCATGCGTTTGGAGGGGGAGGGCTGACTCTCTCCACTATCGGCTGTACCAGGGCATTTGGGGGCCATCACGGGTTACATGGACGGACTATAAATCTATTGTTCTAAACACACCGAAACTTATTTCGATCTGCTTCTACTTCAATTAGTAAGTGATAAAGATGTCAGTCAGTCAGTTACAACGTAGAAATTCGTACTTACGTACATTAGTTCGAGTTGCTATACCACATTAGCACAGAGATGAAGTTTTCGATTCAAATCCCATAGTGGTAGAAGTAGTAAGAGTATAAACAGTAATCCGAAAGATGAGGGTTTGAAGATGTTATTCAAGGAGTATAATACAGTGAAATAAATTTGGGAAGAGAAAAAGGAAACAAATAATTCAGAAGAATTTGGGAGAACACAAAGAGTGGATACACCTTCTCCATTGCAAATGATTTTGAACCATGCCATTCAAGGTCTCTAACCATCGATTACTATCATCTCGCGAATCCCAACCAGGTAGTCTACACCTACCAACATGGCTCAGTCCACTTGTCACTGACTTCATGGATTTATCCCATGTTTTGGTCTGGCCACCCCTAGCTTTCTTCCAACCTACTCCTACATCATAAAACATCACTAATCGGGGCAGTTGGTGGTTGGGCATACGTAACACGTGTCCCAGCCATCTCAAGTAATAAAGTTTCACTACTTCGTCAATTGATTTACCATCCTTACCTAGTACCCGTTTCCTAACATCTGCATTACTTACCTGGTGGTCCCAGGACATACGAGCAATCCTTCGAAGACATCTATGATCGAAAACTAGTAGCCTACGAATATCCTCTACTCTTATGGGCCATGTTTCACTGCCATAAAGTAGGACGGAACAAACTGCTGCACAGTAAACCTGTCCTTTTGTTGCTAGACGGATATCTCGCCTACGCCATAAATGACGCAAGTTGGCGAAAGCTAGACGAGCCTTCTGTATCCGTGCTGAGATTTCGTCATACACCAGACCACAAGAGCTGATGAGACTACCAAGATAAGTGAAGCTGTCAACACGCTCAACTACTTCACTCCCTATCATTAGTTCAGGTGTCGATGCAACCCAATCCTGAAGTAACATTTTGCACTTCGAGGGAGAGAATCGCATCCCGAACATGCCTGCATAGTTGCTTATAGTAGTCAGAAGACTCTGCATTTTGTCAGCGTCTTCACCGAGTAAAACTATGTCGTCGGCATATTCTAAGTCAACAAGTGAGCCTCCTGGTAAAAGTTCAACTCCTGGAGATTGAGATGATCAAAGTGTTATCTCCAAAAGCATGTTGTGTTCGAGTAGAGAGCCTTTATGAGGTTAATGTACTTCTTTCACTGACAAACACTGCCATAGAACCTCACGATCAACGGAGTCAAATGCCGCCTTAAGGTCAAGAAATACTACTATTGTGGGACATCTGAGTGTATGCCTATGTTCTAGGACCTGACGTAGAGTGAATATCTGGTCTATGCAACCACGTCCAGGTCGGAAACCAGTGCGGTAGATGCTGTTGAGATCCATTGTTTCTCCCTGACCTTATGGCTTACCTTACTAGCGGATATCACTGCTGTTTCCACAGCTTTTCGGATGTTATTCCACGCTGCCTCGGGGTGGGCACAACTTACATGGCTGCCTAACTGTATTTCCAGTTGTTCCTGAAAAATATTCTTAGCTTGCTTATCATTAAGTAGAACCCTTAGAGGCTTCCCTGCAGTGTCTTTCTTACGTCCAGTAAGACGCAGACAGATACGTGCTCGCACTAGAGCATGATCTGAGTCTAAACATGTGCTCCAGAATGAGCGACAGTCTTCTATCGAGCCCCTCCATCGGTGGCTGATAGCGATGTGATCTAATTGGGTCCAACGTTGGGACGAATTCGGGGGTCGCCATGTCAAAAGATGTTTTTCCTTATGCTTAAAGTTAGTACTTGCAAGATGTGACGAAATAGTTTGTAGCTCACAGTTACATAACGCAAAATCAGTAACATAAAATGAAGTTCAGACAACAAGATGGTATGAGAAACCTCTCCCATACACACCGACACACATATACACATAAAGTACTTCAAGATAAACTTACTCCACTTTAACCTTGGAGAGGTCAGAGTTGACTTCAGATTCGGATAACTGATCAAGTTCACATAATAAATCATCTATTAATATTCTAAGTAAAATCTCAATAATCTTTTCTGAAGAAGAAATCTCAACTATTACTTTCCAAATTTCACAACTGGTTCAGTTGCAAAAACTTTCCCACGAAAATTCGTATTTTCAAATAGAAACGGTAAACCAAGGATACTTCGTGTATTCGAAACTAGAATTACGTCAATGGTTTCCCAAAATATGGAAGACATCTAGGATTATTAATAATTTTAAAATAATGTTTGAAATTTACAAATAAACTAAAACCTCTGATAACTTTAACATGCAGAATTTGAAATCCGTACTAATATAGTTCATATCGCCTATTTTGGTAAACTAAAATGTAAAAAAAAATAATTATGGGCATGATACAAATGTTACATAAGAAAGAACTGACCATTCCGCCTTCTCCATTGCCACTCCACATAGCTGGTAGGTCGGAACAACCTGGACTAAATGCATCAATACATAACAACTAGTAAATATGAAATACAGACCTCATAAGTTGATACTTTGGCAGGAAGTATGACAAATTTGACAAATCCATACAACAATCTAGCAGCAGATTAACATCACGAATACGCAGAAGATAACAAGGGCTATGAACATCAGTATTCAAACGCCGCTAAATTGAGTTACACATCAGAGAAATAGATAGCAGGTCACTTACAAGCATGAGTTTATTATCATCTGTATTCGCCATAGTTTTACAGCTGCAAAGTGCTTATTTCAGAAGTATGAAGAGTTGTTGTTTTAGGATGAAAGCACTTATTTGGCAATTATTCTGTTAAAAGATACAGAAGCATCCTTATATGGATGATCGTTCAGTACTCGAATAATGATGAAAATACGCAGTACTCTGAATAGTTCTCCTTTTGATGGTCGATGACTGAAAGAGAAATCTAACCCAATAAATGGTCTTCAGGGAGGAAGTTTTACTGACTAACACTGATGATACGCTTTACAATTTAAAAAACTAATAAGTTATTAACAACCACCAATCAACTAAGCATACGATATATCACCATATAGACACTCTTTTGTTGAAATATGGACTATTTTAAAGTGCGATGTAAATAAATTCATAATCAGATCAATGTACTGGACTGAGTCATATACTGTGTGTAGGATGCTGTTAACATTGATAAATCCATGTCATCTAGGAAGTGGTGACTGAATAACTTACCTCATAAGAAATTGAGCCATCACACTGCTGACCAACAAGTCAATATGTTCGTACCACGTGGATGAAGGCTCGTATAGTACACAAACCAACAAGATTATTACAAGACCGATTATAAAAACTAGTTATTTATGGAACGAGATAGTTTGTAAACATCAACTAGCAGTCGAAAAGTACGGTAACCAATTTACAACGAATAGGTGGAAATGCTCGGTTTTGAGGTACACTTACGATAAAACCTGTCAATACTCCACGGTTTCCAGAGACTAAGTAGGTGAGAAAATGTTTGGAACTATAATGAGTGTTGAAATTCATATCCGATAAACCGATGTTCGAATTATACAACACATACAACTAATGATTTTAACACAACGATAACTATAGAAAGTCTTGACCCCACAATATACCTTCTACAACAGAATTTAAAATGGGGAGAGAATTAAACAGAAAGTTGTTTTAAGTGACTACCAATAGTTTGCGTTAGTAAAACCAATTTACATATCAGTTGAACGAAAACTCCAACATACCACAAGCGTACGCTCGTATTGTCATTTTAAATTTCGACGCTGAATAACCTCGACAAATGCAAAGAGTAAGAATAACCTAATAAGTAGGCAGATATAAGACCCGTGTTCAGTTGCTGATTTTTTGATAACACAAGTTATTAGGGATATTCTAGTACGGGAAATAACATACTGCACAAACCTTATCAACAAGAAGTGCGCAGTGAAGATCAAAATGAGAAAACGAGACTAATAAAACATTTTTTATTAAATTGCGACCTCTACAGTTCCAAAATTTACATTTTTGCCGTATGTATGACACAGGTGGCAGCGTAACCACATATTATGCAGGGCAATGAATGGTACGACTAAAACATGTTAATTTACTCTAAATACAGATACTATGCTGAGATTATTTATTCTGTCGAAATAGTCGATGACCCTAAAAACCCGGTGATTTGCAACATGTGCACAAACAACCGCCACTAGTCGGAGAAGTCCTTGAAGTTCAATATCCAAACCTTTTGTGACAAGGTTGTATAAACCGACTGACTTCTTTGAGCTAACTTCCAATGGTTCAAGTGATTCAAATGGTTTTAGGTGGAACAGAAGTAGCTTGTGCTTATGAGATTTAGTATCCAGTAGCGGCTGATCACCAATGCCTTAGGTTGGAACCCAAGTAAATTTAACAGACAAAGAAGAAATATAAGTAAATTATAATAAATGAGTGGTAGTTAGCGAACCCTCAAAATCAGTAGCTTTATAAGTCTTTAACACGCTACAGTCTAATGTAAAACTGAAACTGGTGTCAGAAGGTTTATTATTTGTCATACCATATGAGTTATGAATTTCCTCCATGTCCCAAGTCCTGATGCGAACCTGTCTCAAAGGCTGAAACATATAGGAACCCCTACAATTCCAATCAGGGCCTTTATCCGTTTCGAATATTGTATTTCATATAAAGCAGGTTTTTGATGTCTCAAATTACTTAAGATTTATCGTTGTTCCATCAAATTGCAAAATGTTGGTATTAAACGAGATTACCTCCATTATCTATCTACTAACTGTTCCATGAATCCTCAATTTAAATTGTGGTTTCAAATCCATAAATCGTAAAACATGTCCGGGATAATCACCCTGATAGTTTGTTTTACGGTAGTAAAGATAAAAGAGGTAACCGCTCTGTGGTAGAAGATGCACGTTTGTAAGCCTCCATAGATTAATCCCAGAATAGGTGTTGTTGAATCCAGTTTTTTGCCCTTTCACAGTGCATAGGCGTCTTGTTAGGCGTGTCTAGATGGCTCTTCACATTGAAAATAAAATACGTTGTGAAAAATAAGGTATGCATTTCAAATGTTGTCTCACTCAACGAAACATGTCAACAAAAATCATTCTATCTTCCCATTGCTGGTGATTTAGTGCCACCACTAGGTAAAATTGATCATAAGGATTTAGTTCCGACTTTCCACATGGTCGTCAACAAAGAAGCATAGGCTGAAGCCTTCACAAACGTTTGGATAGCAAACGGTCACGATATTGGAAACAGCAAAGAGATATCTTTTCGACGAATTTATTATGTAGCTGTACAGTCCTACATGTATGAAAGTTTTTTGTTGAAGTACTAATTTCGTGAGGAGATGTAAAACTGAATGAATAAAATGGCGTAATAGGAAATTTATAATACTAGATTACGTAGTGCGACTGATAACAATAGGTTTAGTGAATGTAATAAGATGAGTAAAATGATTATAATCTTTTTGTTATCATAATTAAAAGTCATGTGAAAATAAATAAGGTAATACGATGAGCATTTATGAATAAAATATTGAGAATATAAAACATAAGGGGAATGCAATAATAATGATAATATTAACAATAATGATTACAATAATAATATTTAAGGTCAAGGTTGCGAAAATGACAGGACGTACCTCTTTTGTATGCATAGTTCTGACTTGAGCTCATGGATGGTAAGAGCTTCAGCTATATTTAGAAGATGGATTCGAAGAAATGTAGGTGTATTTGAAAGAATCACACATGCAACTTTAAAATCAAATTGTTGAATGCCTACATTCAATTAAGTGTCCAAGTATAGAACTCCTGACTGCTTTCCTCTCATCCTTGCAGAAACATGTCGATGATTAAATATTTTTAGTTTACTATACGCCGTTTGTTCGCTGTAAATTGGAGCGAACTGTCCGAAAAGGTTAAAACAACTGCATCTAAGTCGATATCTGGTGTAAGACCATCTACGTTGATGATCTATGTCAAAATGATCGGGGGCCTACTATAGTTAGACGAGAATGGGGACGAACCAATTAACGCTGAAGTCACACCTCGCGACCAGCCCTTACGTGGATTGAACCATCGACGCATCAAAGGATAATAGATGCTATGGAGACTGTACAACACAAAGGACGTTATTACAAGAATATATTAGTTAAGGTACAACTACGGAAGTACAGAAGTGAAAGAATAACCACTGCAGCGTGGGCCAGTCCATGGCGTACGATTGGTTTGTGCGCGTTGACTATCTTTGACCTTGACAAGAGTCAGTGATTTGTTCGATATTCAGTGACCCTACAATACTCCCCCACCAGATTCAACGGCCGTTTGAATCGATACCAAACAAGTTGGGAGTAGTCGAGCGACGGAGGTTGCCAGACGATTAATATGAATCCTCCGGGTATTGCCGAGCTGTAAAAGAAATGGAAACGAGGCTGCAGAAACTGATCGGGAAACAACGAGTAATAACACGTAACAAGGACGTTGGTTGAATGTTAAGTGATCAACCATAGAAATAATAGAAAAAGAAACATTTTGGAGTTTTATCAAGTCGCGTTGAAAAATATAGCTCTGACAAGTGGTTGAGTTCCTCAGGTGAGAAAAGGTAAGTTTGTCGCAAGAGTAGTGATGTCATAGTGATAGTACGATAAGTGTATTGTCAATCGATGCCGATGTTTGTACTGCCCTTGGTACAAAGTGGAAAATCAGTAAGTGTCGCGGACAACTGTTCGTAAGCGTCGATTTCTAGTTATATCAATATTTAACAGACTAACTGTAAGTACAGATGTATAGCCGTGAAGATAAGTCGTGGTTTCCTTGTGCGAAGCTTCTGATCAACTTGCAGCCAGTTTGGAAAAACTGATAACTGCTGTGAAAATCAATAAGGGTCGAAGAAATACAGATCGAGAGCGATAGGTGGCACGATGAAATCTCTGAAAGATGATAAACGGTGGGTGCTGCACATGTGTTTGATGAGTGAACCGAAAAATGTCTAAAAGAACATAAGAAACCAAGAGTGTCACTCTGGACTCATGTCAATGATATCGGTGAAAAATGCTGTCACTGTTGGGGTCGAGACGACAATATCGTTGTCAGTTTGCAGGAGATGCGCTCGACTGCGTAAACCGATGATTCGCGTGAATGAGTGTCGTCAAACCACCAATTGAACTGGACAGGCTTTAGATCGTCGAGAAGTTGAACAGCCGATTGATGTACCGAAATCATCTGTTAGATAACAGCCACGCGGAAACAATACTTCATAAGATAAAAATACGACGTCGAAGTTGAATAGCTACAATAGTTCGGATGTGTTGTAATGTCACATCGAAGTAATATCATTTCGTATACTGACAATTGTACTGGACATTCGTTTGGGCACTGTTTATGTAGCAATTGGATGTGCAGTAGCAAACATATACGAAGACTATCGTGGGGTTTGTGGAGAATTTCAGAAGACGTTTAAATATTTTCCAAACCCGTATTGCATGTGAATAAGCCGAAGACGGAATTAAAGTGACTTTCGTGCAATAAAGAAATGGAGCCATGATTTACTGTGTGAGATAACAGCAAATACAAAGCGCATAGTAAACAATAATTTAAATGGTAACCACCAATGTAACTAAAGTTTAGGTTTAGATAACGTGATCGTTTCGTAAAAATAAAGCGTATTATCTAGCTCTAAGTGACATCAAGTACGACGAAGTGTCTCATTAAGACATGGACTAAGATTGCTCGTGTACATAAAATAAGTTTATTCAGAGTATGTTGACTTACGAGTCATAAATATACGTAGTTTCGACTAAAATTTGATGGCAGGGACAGAATGTATGTCTAAGTGAAAGTAGCCGCGAAATGTTTAGACATCATAAACATTATACGAAATTATTTAACACAGTTATGAAACTCGCCTGGATTACTCTTGCTCCCAAGTAATTGAAATCTGCTGATGAAATTCGTAGATTAACGAAGCGTTGTAGACCGAAATGGTATACGTCCAAATTTAGTTTGAGCCAAACACGAAGCCTTGCCTGGCGAAACAGTCTAAACAAGATATAACATTGCAGGAAATTTATGGCTCAAACTCACCGTAAATTTCTAGCATTTGTATCCTCTGATTCGCCATGGAACTCAGCAATTGGAAACTAGGCATGCAGTGGTCAAGAAAGTAAAATATTCTAGTAGATATTTTTGTTAGTAGTTAGTTGACAGTGAATAAGCAGAAAGATGAATTTAATAATCGGCAGTTTATCCTGTATTGGTTATACAAGTGGATAAGTTGCAAACAGATATGCGTTCGTGTTGTCTTCAGGCCATACATACGAGTGGTTGATATTTTAACAGACATATTACACAGGAGCATTTACATGCTGCTAATGCTTGTTAAAGAACCACGATAGTCGTAGTTGTTTGGTTAGTTCTATCGATTGAACTAATTATTTCAGTTGAAATACTAATCAACAGTGATATGAAGCAACGAATGTTCAGAGAAACTGATAGAGATAGCCGAAGTTAAAAATGAAAAATTGTAAGTATAGAATGCAATAAAAAAGATCATGATAGGTTGCGTTATTCGAAGTCTTGCTCACCAGTGTAAGACCATCTACGTTGATGATCTATGTCAAAATGATCGGGGGCCTACTATAGTTAGACGAGAATGGGGACGAACCAATTAACGCTGAAGTCACACCTCGCGACCAGCCCTTACGTGGATTGAACCATCGACGCATCAAAGGATAATAGATGCTATGGAGACTGTACAACACAAAGGACGTTATTACAAGAATATATTAGTTAAGGTACAACTACGGAAGTACAGAAGTGAAAGAATAACCACTGCAGCGTGGGCCAGTCCATGGCGTACGATTGGTTTGTGCGCGTTGACTATCTTTGACCTTGACAAGAGTCAGTGATTTGTTCGATATTCAGTGACCCTACACTGGGATCGGTAGTCTGTCGTATGAAGAGAGACTGGCGTAACTAAATTGATTTCCTTTCTCACATGGAAGTACTGCAGGTGACTTAATCATAAATTCACCTGTTATATGACCACAGTCAACTTACCTTTAGGAACGGAGGACACTAAAAATGTTCACAAGCTTAGAATAAGTTACTTGTCATCTATCCATCGACATTCCCATCAAGTCATCAATGAGTGAAGCCCGTAACCTCAAGACATGGATAAATGTC